TTTTTTATAGTTAGTAATATTAGTCAGAATAATGATGGGTGCCCTGGGAGGAATGCTTATCCTAGTTAGTTTCATAGCCTTATGGTGTATCTGCAGGATGAGGGTTTCACCGAGAAGTAATGCCATGATTGCACAAGCCTTCGCAGCCCTGGAGGCAGAGCAGTCACCTCAGGTTTGGCTAACAGTACTAAAGAGCTAAGCAGTCATCCCACTCAGGTTTCGAGACATAGTACTGCACATGAAGTGTGAACTTCATGAAGGGCAAGTCTGACTGCATATGGGTTGGTATCGTAATCCCATCTCTGAAAAAAGATACCAGACTGGTGTGGCACCAGCTTGGCTGATACCTAGGCGTGGGGCCATTACATTGTCCCTTGTTTTCAGTGATCAGACCCCTACCCTTACCTGTTATGCTATAAAATAAAAAAGGGGGAACTGTGGAGAGCCACAGCCCTAAGGTGGCACCTGGCTGGATGCCAGGTAGTCCGAGCTTAGCTGTAAACAAGCCTTATTTGGAAGTGCTTGAGGCATCTGGCACGCTTCCTCCTTCTGTGGCCTATCCGGGATTGCCAGATGGCATGAGCTGATTGGGCACTGAGCATCTACTTAAGGGCTTTCGGGGGCTGGGAGAGAGAAGCTGATGGAGAAGCTGAAGAGAAGCTGATGTACAAGGTTCCTGAATAAACTGCTTGAAGAAGAGTCATGGTCATGTTTCTCTTGCTGGTCGAGATAGACGAGACACACTGGAAGGAATGCGGTTGCAGGCTGCTCTCCTATGGCTGTGAGGGTGAGCACTACTTTAAATGTTTGGACCCTGAACAACTTGTGCCACAGTAAACCTGAGGCCTCAAGTATTCATAGCTGAACTACATACTCCAACCTGGGGAAAATGACTGGATACTTTATCTGCATTTCTACAGACAACTATAGACCAGGAGATAAACAATGATTGTCTCAGCTAGACTCAAGCAGCCTGTTAGCTGTTCTTAATCACACAGTGTCTTCTCTGGCTATTTGTTAATGTCCTTTTACCTGTCTCAGAGTCAGGGGCACTGACCCAGGACAGGAGATAAGAGGACCCTTAGAGATGCACATGCATGTGGCTAATGTGGGGAAACCAAACCCTAGCTTCAACAGTATCTGTTCACATATGTGTAATAATAGCAATATTCTAAAAGCAATTATTTCTATGTATTTGAAGAGTAGAAAAAAGAAAGGCCCAGCTTGTTGGGACAGAAACCAAGGCAGACCTTAGTCATAAGGCAAAGGAATGTCAAGGAAAGAGGGAATATTCTATCGCAGTTAGAGGAAGCAGACTTGGTGGCCTATTAGTAAGATCTGGCCCTAGGACCCACTCACTATAGGTTCTCTAACTGGAGAAGCACACAACTCAGGGGCCCTCCAGCATAGAAAAGTGGTCCCTCACCCCATAGCCACTAACTATGAGCTGGGGCCTGGCCTCCCTGGCTGCTTAGGCTACTGGATGGTTAAGGTTCAGATGTGCAGGTTGGATGCTCCACCAATCCACATGGGAGCTCCAGCTCACCAGTCCTCTGGAGGTACGACAGGCTGTCCTTTCTGGCTCCCTCACCAGTGCTGTTTGAAACTAAAACAGTAGCCACATTGTTGTTAGGGAACTGTTGTGGTGGGAGCTGTACCCCAGCCCCTGGCAATCATGTACCCAAAGAGTCTGGAATGTTATGATGGAAGTTCCACCCAAGCCTCCCTTCCCTATCTTCCTCCAAACTGTGCTGCATGTCAGAGAGCTGGCCAAATGATGACCCCCCTCCCCTAGAGATGCTCAAGACCACTCGCACAGGATATTCTAACTGCCTCCCAGAAAATCCACTCATGGTTTTCTGGTCTCTCTTTCCCTTCTCCTTTTGGGGGGCTGGAAGGCCATCGGGGAGCTTTGCAACTACTAAATGTAGGCTTTTCCTAATTTGGTTTGATTTGGCCTGATTTGGATTGTTGCATTGGTGGAAAAGTTCTGGGGGTGCATAAATTTTTCAGAAGCCACATTTTTATACATTGTTATTAAGTTTCCATAGCTTAAAAGTGTAAGTGACTTTTTCCTAAGCCTAATGTACCCTGCAAACCATGTTCCAATCAATGTTGAAGTGTGCCTTATAAAAATAATCTGTTAGGACTGCACTTTTGTCTTAAGAAAATGTTTTTCCAGAGAGCTTTATGATTCCCCTCCCACATGATGGATTATTAGACTTAAGTTCTTTTTAATTTCATCATTTCTCACAGCCAATTATCTCTACAGCTGTTTTCTATGAAGCCTAACTCTTCCACGGAAAGGGACCACAAAGTGCAATGAGGGGGCTGCTCTCTGAAATACCGACTTTGGGAGAGAAAGCTAATTGGCCACTTTCTGGTGATTCTGTAAAATAAAGCTTACTTTAATCAGACATTCGTGCAATTGGTTTTTCCCAAGCCAACAGCTATCCAGCCCACTCTGGTTTTTCCTCCCATTCTGTACTGCAGGCAGCCAGACACAAGTCCAGCAAGAGTAAATATCACCTTGCAGGATTCAAGGAATTCCTTTGCTCAGACTTCAGGGAAATGTAGTCCCTAAGACTGTGACGTCACAGAGAGCCGTCTAGGAAAGTCTTCTATGGCTTTGGTCAACTCACGTGCGTCTTTCCCAAAGCTGGGCGCCAGTCCTGCCCCGCTGCGTCTCCTGCTGCATCTCTGACTTGGAGGTTGGTCCAGGGTGCAGCGCAGCCTGGGGCTCTGTGCAGGGTGTGGAGGGAGCAGAACTGGACTGGGGGGAGGGCGGAGAAGCTGCCTGGGAGGTGCTGGGCTGAACTGACTGGGACAAGGGAGGTGGCAGGTCAGGGCTGGAAGAGGGCAATGGGACTGTGCCCTGAGTGATGGTTTCCTTAGTGCAGCCCGAGTCCGCCTTGGATTTCTGGGACAGAAGAGCTGCCTGGGAACGAGGAGTAGATGATAGCGCAAGGTCCAGGACTGCAAGCTAGTGATGGTCAGCTGAGGTGACCAGGACTGCAAGCTAACGATGGTCAGCTGCTTACCTGCTCCTAGGTGGAGCTTGGGGCACAGTGAGCAGCTTTGGGGGGGAAGCAGGCTTCACTAGCTGAGCCATTCTAATGTTGCTGCTGTCAGATTTCTCAGTGTCTGAGCGCAAAAGGGGTTTCTGACCCTTCCTGTACTCTATCCAGCCTAGTGTAAGGGGCTGGAGATCTTGACTGCGTTCATTTTCTCAGCCAGTTGAAGAATTAAGAGAGGACATACCCAAGGCCCAAGGGTTCATGGGTGTGAAATTTTGAAACACGGACAGATCTGCCAGAGTCAGATGCTATAGAAAAGCTTAGACTATAGTTGAGAGAGCTCATGTACTGAAGACGTGCGGAGGGAAAGACCCACTGCAAAGCAAATTGGGGACCAGGAAGTCTGAACCGCTTCACCCTGAGTGCTGGGTTGAATTAACCTTTGAGATGCCCTCCATTCCTAATGTAGGGTGGACTAACTGTAATAAAGAAAGAATGTCTGCTTGGCCCACAATGGTTGTGTCAACATCTCTTTTTCTGGCCTTGAGTTGGGGGGCTAGTCCAGAAGCAGGGTCCCTAGGAAAAGGTGAAAAGCTCACATGGCCTTTTTTTACAGTGCCAGGATTTTGTGTCAGGTCAGCAGGGTATGGAGAAGTCACAGACCTGTGTGTAGTCGTGTGATATAAAGTAGACAGACCTGTGACAGAAAAGAAACTCCAGTCTACTCTATGCACATTCCTGTCATCTTTGCAGTTCTGAGGGGGAGGCAGGATCCTCAGGTCCTCCCCTGCTTCATAGCAAATTCAAGTCCTAGGCTACCTGAGTCTGTGTCAGAAAACACTCGAACATACTTAAAAGATGCAACATATCTTTTCATCATTAAACAGATGTTCCACAGAATTAAAAATATGTAACATCTTTAAATAATATTGCATAACACCATACCTTAACTTAGAGTATCCAAAGCTTACCCATGAAATTATTACAGACTACCTCTTTATTCCATAAATTAATGATAATTCATTGATAAAAAAGAAAAATAAGGAGTGACTATTCTCATAGGTCATCATGGGACTTTGCTCGATAAAATTTAACAAACAAATTCTAACAATATGTAGAATTGTGTTCCCAGGCACACAATACTTGTGTTAGGGTTTCTATTGCTGTGATAAAAACCTTGAAGAAACACAGCTTGGAGAAGAAGGGGTTTATTGTAGACTGCAACTTCAGGTAACTGTCCATCCCTGAGGGAAGTCAAGGCTGTAACCTGAGGCAAGAGCTGGAGCAGAGGCCACAGAAGAACACTGCTTACTGACTTGCCCAGCCTGCTTCCCTATGGCATATAGGATCACCTGCCCAGGGTGGGTACCACCCATAGTGGACTGTGCTGTCTCATATTAATCATTAATTTAAAAATACCCTGTAGGCTTGGAACAGGATAGTCATAGGCAAACATTTTCTCTATTATGTTTTTCTCCTCTCAAATGTCCCTAGCTAGTTTCAAGTTGACAGGAGAACTATCCAGCCCAATGCATCTTTGTATTTAAATTATTGTAAGGTTTAATGAAATTAAAGTGGGTGATCATTCATTGATCTTTATTTCAGGAAATGCTGTCCTCCTGGAATGTGTTTATTGATTACTCTCCAGAAGAGAGTGAATACCTGGATCCTGCTCAGTGGAGTTTGTACAGGGATGTGATGTTGGAAAATTACAGCAACCTTCTGTTCCTGGGTGAGGATCTCATCCACAGTGAATTCTTATTTCATCATCAACATGTATTTCACTCACTTTATACTATATCTCATGGGAACATTTCAACAGCCAGTTTCATACCCTTCATTCTCAGACAAATTAGGAAGTGTTCTGTATATTGATCATTTTGGTTCTGGAGAGAGAGCTTGATGGTTAAGAGCATTAACTGCCCTTCTAGAGGACCTGGGTTCAATTCTAGCACCCACATGGCAGCTTTCAACAAACTGTCTGTATTCCAAGATCTGTTACCCTCACACAGACATATATGCAGGCAAAGTACCAATACACATAAAAATTAAAAAATAAATTAAGAAAAAAATAATTTCACTTTTTCTCCCGTTGTGTTTAACCTTTCTGTGTTTGATATATGTGTCCTTCACTCTAGTGGGACTGTTAGAAATTCAGTGGCATGAGACATGGAGTACAGGTGTTAATGAAAGTCTTTCACAATTCAGATTTTATGTTTTCTCTCTTTAAATGAAACTCAGAATCTGGATTCTGTAAATTTCTTTATGTACTGTAGTGATCCTGTCAGAAAATATTTATGGAACTGATTGTCTGGTGTCATTTCCCTATGAGCCATGCACTGGAAGGGACATGTCAATTCCCAGTAGAAGAACACCTAAACAATCTTGTTCCCTTTCTACAAACAGGACTTGCTGTCCCTAAGCCACACCTGGTGACATTTCTGGAGCAAAGACAAGAGCCTTCAGATGTGAAGAGACAAGCAGCAGCCACCGTGTACCCAGGTGTGTAGGAATGAGGGGTCAGGGGCAGCGTTAGGTCCAAATATCCCACAGAAAGGCAGACTTTCCCATGTGCCTAGAAACATGATTCTATGGAAATCATTCTTTAGGTCTCTCTTCATATCTTTCTTGTCAAAGCACATCTCTCAATGTTCATGATGGTTTAAGTCTCTTCAGCTTTATATTTCCCCGACAGCCAGCTGTTCCTGTATTTACAGGGACCTCCAAGGTTTTTCTTTTTGTTGAGCCTCCACTGTAGTGTAAGGCTCAGGGAAAGAGAACTCAGGTGCTGGTCAGACTGAGAGTCATTTCAACATTTCTTTGCAGTGATTGACAGCAGACTCATGCCAGGAGGATCTCTACACCAATGTGAGCATTGTTGGGTTCATAAAGCCAAACCCACAATTGCATCACAGAGATCCAGGCAGTGACAGAGGCTCAACAGAGTCACTTTGAATAGTTGCTTCCCCACTGATCTTAGGGAAGATTCACAATATTAACATATTGTAGAAGAGATTATATTGAGCATTAGGTACACCAATTTAACAGACTTCCTTTTCAATACTTTTACCACTAGGTCCTGACTATTCGACCTATAAAGAATAGGACAAGAAGACCTACAAGGCCTTATGTTATTGATTCAGGCTCCCCCTCAAAGAGGTATGGGTACAGTGATAGTGTGCCTCTCTTTCATAGCAGTTTGTCGATTTAGGCCTTTTAGTGATTTGCAGTGCTCCATGGTTTTGTTTTTTCTTTTTTCCCCCCATGTTAATATATTCATCATATATTAGGTCTAACTTTATTTGGATATATTCCCAGTCACAACTTGTTTGAAAAATTATAAACTTTTATGTATAGACCCAACATTCTCAGATACATCAGAGCTAGCAAAATGTTTTGTTTCAGATCACCTGTAGGAAGCATTATGGCTAATGTGACCATGAGTCCAGTTGGGTGAAGAGATCTTGTGGTCCCTTTTTTTCCATCTGGATCTGTCTTTACTGAGTATCTGTAACATTTTCTGTCTGCATGAGCAAAATTCCAAGATCACCATGCAGAGTTCTGGTGGGACTCGGCCTAGCAGCTTAAGTGTTCAGGCAGCCATCAGACAATCAGGGTTCTATTAACAATGAGAGTAACACATATTTTTTTTTTTTTTAGATTTTATATCTGCTTCCATGTATATCTGCACACCAGAAGAGGGCACCAGATCTTATAATAGATGGTTGTGAGCCACCATGTGGTTGCTGGGAATTGAACTCAGGACCTCTGGAAGAGTAGCCAGCACTCTTAACTTCTGAGCCATCTCTCCAGCCCCCCATATATTCTTATTGTACAAAAAGATGGTTCTGGTCCCAGATGTATCTGGAAGGTGACTCAGAATGATAGCCATAGTTGAACTTTCACAGTCCACCTCACCTCTTTCTCGGGCTGAATGACTTTCCTAACTGATGTGGTTTGTCCACACATGGCACTTGTGACTTAGTTTAAACAGTGCCCAGAGTTCAGCCTGCTGTGCCCACTGGCCCTGTGGCAGAGCCTCTGTCATGTATTATCTACCACTTTGCTGAGGACTCCTTATAGAATCAGGCATTGACATCTCAGCTCTGGGATTAGCTTTGTTAAGAGGAGGAAATTCAAAGCCAGGGGACAGAGCATGGTGGTTTAAACTAGAGTGTAGTTTCCATACCAGTTGGGTGGTAGGCATACAAGGTTCCCCTCATATCCTGAGTCTCCATTACGTGACACATTGAGAGCATAGTGCAGAACTAAGATCGTCCTCAGCATGAGGGAATCCACCCCTTGTTTGGTGGGACCTGAGGAGTGATTTATCTTCCCTACGGATAAGGAGTAGGATTTCCTGGTCTGGTTTCCAAAACTAGACCAGAGGGAGACAGGAGCAGCAGACACTGACAACTCCTGTTCCCCATGCATCCTTATCATGTGTTGGCACTAGAATGCCATTTAGTCTCATAGGTCCGTGTCCCATCTGAGGGTAAGTATAGTAATTGTTCTTGGGTGTGTCCTGCCATGCAAGTGTAGTGTAGATTTACCTACTTTTACTCACTCATTCAAGCATTCAATTTCAATAACCAGTTTTGTGTTTTTCTTTTCTTTTCTTTCTTTCTTTTTTTTAGTTCTGTTTTGTTTTTCAAGACAGATTTTCTCTGTATATCCCTGGTTCTCCTAGAACTGGCTTTGTAAACCAGGATGGTACCAAATTAAAAAAGATCTTTCTGCCTCTGCTTCTGAGTACTGGAATTAAAGCTATGTCACCATTCTTGACCCAATAACTTTTACTTTAAGTACCCCTGATTTTAACATTATTCCATATTAATAAAAAGAAAGTTGAACTTGAATTTGTTTCAGTTACCTGCTTTAGGCTTATCTTTGATGACATATACAGAGGACTGGATAGTAGAAGGTAGAAAATTTTTCCCCCTAATATTTTGTCTGTAAATGAATTATATTTGTATTTAACATGATTACAAACACAATTTTGGGCACTAAGCATTTTTCATCATTCATTGTGGACTCATTAACTATTTTGTCTTAATTACCTTCGTTGTAAATAAAAAAAAATAGTGACTCTCATCATATTAGGACTTAATAAAGAAAGTAATTTATCTCCTAAAAATTTCACACTGTAAAATTATGATTTTTTGAACTGAAAGTCTTTTATACCCAAATAAACTTTAAACATAAATACAGTCCATGGAGGAACTAGGAACTTCAGTCTCCTGATTCCTTTACAGTGTACTTCATAAAATCTACACCAATCCTGCAGACCTTCTCCTTTGAGTAGCTTGTGTCATCATAAAGAATACCATAAGGGGGAGCTTGGGGCCAGGGATGAGCAGGTTGAAGAGGAATAGACATGGAGTTGCCCAGACCCACTAATACAGCCTCAGAAAAGATGGTACATGGCTCATGGAGCATAGGCAGGGGGACAGCGGAATCCTGCAGCTTCCAGTAGCCTTGAATCTAAAGTGAGCTCACAGAGTGGCTGACTCTGTTCCACAAAGAGGTCAGGGAAAGTGATAAAATGTAAGGCGCAGAACCATAACTGACACAGCATAGATGGAGGGCACTATGCATTCACTCATTCAGCATCCACAGAAATAGGGAAGACCTGGATTTAACTAAAAGTTTATCCATTACTTCCTCAGTCCACATTTTTACTCTCAGAAGGAGACACATGGAAGTAGTCCCTGTCAGGCATTTTACCAGAGAGACCAGACAAAACTACCCACACCTACTAAATTGGATGTCCAGAAGGACAAGGTTGGGTTTTGTCAGGAAACACATTTGTCGTTCCAGCACTCTCTGAACCTAGTTTGATTGGGTTTACTAAGCCAGGTCCTCAATTCCATCATACCACACACAGGCCAGGGGCCTAAAGTCTAAAACTTTTAGTTCCATTGATTCAAACAATTGATTTTATGTTGTAAACCAGTGGTTCTCTCAAAACTGACAGGGGGCTGCATGAGAACATTTTCTCAGCAGGATTGTTTGGTTGGGGGATAAAACCTGGATAAAACCCAGGAAAAATCAAGTCACTTGGGGAAGGTCACTAACAGACTCAGTACTGTTTCCCTCACATCTGAAAAATTGCACACATTTCTAAATAAGTAGGTGTGAAACCATTGTAAGAAAGTAACTCCACACATGAGTTTCTTTCATGTCACTTATACTCAAGTTGAGGATAGTGACCCCATCAGAGTTCTTTGTCTTTGATGAAGATATCTGGTAAAGTCTTTCTTCATCACACACTCAGTAATTAGGATTTGAAATGTATCCCCTTTGTGTACACATATTCAAAGACTAAAACTGTCTGTACCTAGGAGTATACATTTAATAGCTCACCACTGAGCTTTCAAAAATGTGTGGTTTCCAAATACATACTCTTAGTAATGGTCTAGATAATGAGTCCCAGGACAGCAAGGTCTACACAGAGAAACCTTGTCTTCAAAAGGCAAAATCAAAAAACAAAATAAGTAATTTTGTCATCTATTCAATGACAAATATGTTGGCACAGCAAAATTTGTGTATTGCACAAGTGAACCCGAAGGCTTTTGCTTGTTGGTTTTGGGTTTTGAGATAGGGTTTCTTTGTGTGGCTTTGGAGCTGGTCCTAGAACTTGCTATGTAGACCAGGCTAGCCTTGAACTAACATAGATCCTCCTGCCTCTGACTCACAAGTGCTAGGATTAAAGGCATGGGCCACCACCGCCTGGCTGTTTTTTGTTTGTTTTTGTTTTTTTAATCATGACTCAGTATTTTCAGTTATATATTTTCTTGTCATCCAAATAAAACATAAACTAATGTCATGAAATTTTGAGCTATAAATTTACTCTTTTTGTGGACCATCGTCTTGTACAGCATATCTTTTGTGACTTCCAAAATAAAACTTTATGTGGTGAAAATTTTGTATTTAGATGATGTCTCAAAATCACACAATCACAATTGGCTTTCTCTTTCCAAGCTTGGTTACTTTATAATCATGGGTGTCTATACATATAACATCACTATCCACTTAATAGGTTTATTTCTGTTAGTAAAATGCCCTTACAACTTACTTAGCTATTAAACTTTGATTAATAAGCCATTATGTCTATGCTCTATTTGGTTGTGCCCTTATTCTAGTAGAAGTATAGATCATTTCTACCTACAATATTTTATCATTTATGCTGAGAGCCTATAAGTTTTGAAATGTATTGTAGTTTCTCACTGATGCTTCAGTACGTATGAGTAAATGTTTCCTTTTTAAAAGATTAAGTATGGAGAATATTTCCTAGCTTTTGTTCATATCTCAACTCATGCCCAACAGGAACATTACCCAATGATTATAATGTTTACAACAAGACATTGATTATAACTCAGTAAGTATTCAACACCAGAGAATTCATACAAGGGAGAAACCATGCAAATGCAAAGACTGTGGTAAGGCCCTTAGTTCTTATAGAACACTTTCTATACACCAGACACTTTACACAGGAGAAAATCCCTACAAGTGTAAAGAATGTCATAAGGCCTTCAATATGCCCTCATCACTTTTTTTGTTTTTTGTTTTTTTTTTTTTTTTTACAGGTTTTTTCTTTGTAGCTTTGGAGCCTATCCTGGCACTTGTTCTGGAGACCAGGCTGGCCTCGAACTCACAGAGATCAGCTTGCCTCTGCCTCCTGAGTGCTGGGATTAAAGGTGTGCGCCACCAATGCCTGGCCGCCCTCATCACTTTTTATTCACCAGAAAAACCACACTGATGAAAAAAACTACAAGTGTGAAGAATTTGGCAAATTATTTTCCTGTCCTTCAATGCTGAAGCAACATCAAAGAATTCATTCTGGAGAGAAACCCCACACATGTAAAGAATGTCATAAGGCCTTCCATACAGGCTCATCACTTTTTATACATCAGAAAAATCATACTGATGAAAACTACAAGTGCAAAGAATGTGGCAGATCATTTTACTATCCTTCAATGCTGAAGCAACATCTAAGAATTCATTTTAGAGAGAAACCCTGCAAGTGTGAAGAGTGTGGCAGGTACTTTCCCTCATTTTCATACCTTAGACAACATGAAGCAATTCATACACGGGAGAAAATTTTCCAGTGTGAGGAGTATGGCAAATGTTTTTTCTCATCTTTGTGCCCTGGATGACATAAAACCATCCATTCTGAAGACAATCCCTACAAGTGTGCAGAGTGTGGCAAAAAGTTTTTTCTGTTTTACATATCTCCGAAGACATCAAAGAGTCCATACTGGGGAGAAATCATACAAGTGTGAGGAGTGTGACAAACATTTTTGCTTCTCTTCATCCCTTCAGCGATATCAAACAATTCACTTTGAAGACAATCCCTACAAGTGTGCAGAATGTGGCAAAAGGTTTTTGTGCTTTAAAAACCTTCAGGAACATCTGACAGTCCATACTGGAGAGAAACCATACAGGTGTGAAGAATGTCACAAAGCCTTTCCTTATTACTTATCCCTTAGGAGACACAAGAGTTCACACTGGAGAGAAACCCTATGTGAAGAGTGTGGCAAATGTTTTTCCTCATCTTCAGGCCTTAAACAGCATAAAAAGAATTCATTCTCAAGACAATCTCTAAAAGTGTAGGGAATGTGGCAAAGACTTTATTACTTTTTGTATCCTAACTCAGCACATGATATAGTATAGTGGGTATAGTATAGCTCTGCCCATGACTTTGGACTGTCTGGTCCTCAAATAAACACACAGAGGCTTATATTAATTATAAACTGTTTGACCTATAGCTCAGGCTTCTTATTGGCTAGCTCTCTCTTAATTATTAACCCATTTTTATTAATCTGTGTATCTACACATGGACTTGGTTTATCTGGAAATCCTATCTTTCCTGGTAGCTATATGGCTCCCCTCTCCCCCTATCCACCAATTCCCTTTCTCTATTCCTGTCCAGAGGTCCCATCTGCCTAAATCCCGCCTGTCCATTGGTTGAAATAGCTTTATTCACCATTAAGAGAAACATATATTCACAGCATACAGAAGGACATGCCCCATCAGGACATTGTAAATTTAATTCTTACCTGATAATTGTTCTTACTGAATACAGTTTTATTGTGTTAAGAGTTAAAAAACCTTTGTTTTTAATTTAGATCAAAGGGGGGAAATGTTGTAGAATATTCCTTTAAACTGTGTGAAGATGTGTCACATGGTTGATTTAATAAAAAGCTAAATGACCAATAGCTAGGCAGGAGGTATAAGCAGAACTTGTGGACAGAGAGAGCTCTGGTAAAAAGAAAGATGGAGTGTCCAGTCAGACATGGAATAACCAGAATGGGCACAATGTAGATGAGGTAACAAGCACATCAAACAACATAGATTTAAAAATATGAGAGAATTTAACTTATGAGCTAGTTAGAAACAAGCCTAGGGTAAGGCTGAGCTTTCATAATTAATAATAAGTCTCCATGTCATTTTTGTAACCTGGTGTCCCTAAAAGAAAAGTCCATCTACAGGAAGCAGGCTTGGAGACTTATTAGAAAGACCTAGCAGTAGGAACCACTATGACTTCTCTAACTTGAGAGCCACTCAGCTCAGGGGCCCTCCAGCATAGTAAAAGTGGTCCCACACCACATAGCCACTGTGAGTTGGCGTCTGACCTCCCTGGCTGGTTAGGCTACTGGATACCTGGAGTTTCAGAAGGATAAAGAGGTACAGAGTGGATGCTTCTCTGTGAGGTTTTCTGGCATGCAGGGCTGTGGGAATGGCCAGTTCAGCCAGTCATATCCCGGGGCTGAGCAGAAAGGTGAGTGTCAATGACCCAGACCCCCTCCTAGTCACCAGAGAGAACCACACTGAGTCAGGAGACTTGTCAAAGCAGAGTCTACCTTTATTGTATCAGGCATGAGCTTATAGAGTGTTGAGAAAGAGGGTGGGGACCTCAGGATGGGGTGAGGTGTAAGGGTCAATAATATTCCTCCAAGTTAGCAGTAGCTGGGAGAGGCAGTTTTGCTAAGTCAGGTCACCAAACTAGCCAGGCTCAGGAAGTTCCACTATGCCTTGCATCCAGGCCTTTTTAGGCCCAACACTCCTCTACTGCTAACATGACAGCTCCAGCTCAGGAGCCCCCTGCAGCCACCACAGGCAGTCCTTTCTGGCCTCCCTCACCTCAGAATGTAAGCACAACCAAGAAGCCCAGTTTACAATCTGGTTATCTTGCATTAGGTTCCTTTGAGGTATCTGGAGACTTAAAGGTTCATCAAAGTCTTCTGACTTCATGAGTATATGAGAAATGTAATTGCATACTGGGAAGTTTTCAGCAATAGGAGCTGCTAGCAGGATAATATGAAAGATAGTGAGTTTTGGGAGAGTGTCAAGTGTGCTAAAACTGAAAAGGCCACTAGGTCATGGGCTGGACAAATATTTTGTAAGTTTGGAACAGTTTTGCTTTCATCTGAACCTGGAAGATGATTTGTAAGAGAAGATACAGCACGTTCTGAGTGAGCATGGCAACTGAAAGAGACAACTAGTGCCACTGTAAGTATACTGGGAGTTAGAACAAGTTAATGAACACCTGGACTTCCCCTACACCCACTAAGTTACCTTACACAATGAAAAGGAAGGATTGTCATGTGACCCGTTTGTGTCCCTAAATTTTTGATAGGCTGGTCTCTTATGTATGGCTACGGTAATGATTGTTTTGTCTTTACACAAAGCAGACGCTGACATGATGTTTACAGGACTACATGTCAAGTTACAGCCTCATGTATAACAGCGATACATACACAGATACCCAAACGGAGAGAATTTCACCAAGAAATGAATGATATGACAGAAAGTGGGAAACAATACTGAGGCTATTGAACAATGTATTTCTAAGTGACAGGATAAACAATGTAGACAGTGCACAATTAAATTAAAATTGCAAACAAGATGACCAGAGAGCGATAGAGGCTGATATGGAAAATTACTTGTCCCACAGGCATGAAGACATGGTCGATAAACGGCAGAATCCAAGTAAATATGGGAGAAGTTTAGAGGGCTGAGAAGTGTTCAAGGAAACATAAATGGAGTCAGGACAAGAGGGACCTTATTCATTAAAGTACTACCTCCTGTCCAAATTGATCTCTTGGGAATATACAGACTCCTATCCTTCAGATACATGGAAAGGCCATGTTCCCAGATATGATAAGGAAGATAAGTACATCTCTAGCTCACTGACAGGACACCTGTGTCTGATGAGATCACCACAATGTAGATGACTTTCAAACTCAGTTATCCAAAATGTATGGATGTTTTTCTCTTAATGAGATCTCCAGTTACCCAGAAGAAAAAACTTCTGGTACCGTCTCTAAGGAGACTTCTGTGGTGATTATTGAGGCCAGAAGACCCTTTCTCAACACGTGTGCCTCCATACTTTGGGATTAAGCCCCTGACAGTTCACAGTGCTGAAGAAAACCATGCATTGCTCCCTAGTATTCATTACTCCCTCACTCATCAAGTAGCTTGGGATTTGACCAACAACAATTTCCATTCAAGGGAAACATCCCATTCTGGTGGGGCCCTCACTAACCTTAGGAACTAAGCATGTGATGGGCATGGGGAATTCCTAGACATTTTCAAGACTCCCAGAACCCTCACTGCTGACAGCTACCTAGACAGTAAGGACTATAGGGGAAGACACTGCCTCATCAGTGGAGCTCCCTGCAAGCCATACACTGAGCTGAAGGAATGCAACATTTTAACCAGAGTCCCTCAGATTTTTGGTACTGTTGATGTCACTGCATTGAATTGTGTGTGTTTCTGCTCTAATCCCTCAACCACACTCCTGTTGGCAATCCCAGTAGTAAACTCACTAACTCATGAAGACAGGGACTTTAGTGGAATCTTTGCTATGTCTATAATTAGACACAAACCTGAGATGAGTAGACACTCTTTCTCTTCTCCATTGGAAAACCACAGAATAGAGTGTCTTTTTGATTGCTGTGAGAGAACACATGACTCATCTGTTGCTCATGTATGTATGTATGGGGCTGCCCATTAAGACACAGTCTACTTTATACTAAACTGCTTTCATCTGTATTTTCTTTGATTTCTTTTGTTTTGACTTTTCCTTTTTACTTAGATACAAGTTCTCTTTAAATTTTCCAGTCCAGCTTTTCATCCTGGGTCCATCTGCCACACAACCAAGAAGCAGTAAGGAGCACGGTTAGACACACCAAGGCTGGCTTCAAAATCATCTTTAAGAGACACTTCTCATTCCCACATTAGTGTGTTACTTCGTTATTTACAGTAAAATGGAGTCAAGGTGATTTTTAATCGCCCTTTTGAGATTAAAACCACATTATGTGGACCAGAAAACTTACAAGGCTAATAACTCTGTCAATGGCATGACTCACATTCATAATCTCGTATTGTGGTTCAGGAGGGGAACACCAGCCTCATTGCCCACGGCTGTAATGCTGACTCTGCTTCTTCCACTGGTATCTACTGCAGGCAGCCAGACACAAATCCACTAAAAGTAGAATTCTCTTTACCTGGTTCCGGGAATTCTTTCGCACAGACTTCTGGGAAATGTAGTTCAGGAGACTGTGACATCACAGAGAGCCTTCCAGGAAATCCTAATCGGGGTTTTGTTCTATACAAGTGCGTCTTCCCCAAAGTTGGGCGCGAGTCTTTCCCCGCTGCGTCTCCTGCTGCGTCTCTGACTTGGAGGTTGGTCCAGGGTGCAGCGCAGCCTGAGGCTCTGTGCGGGGTGCGGGTTCCGTCTTGGAGGGAGCCGACCTGGGCTGGGGGGAAGGCGGAGAAGCTGCCCGGGAGGTGCTGGGCTGAACTGGCTGGGATTCGGGAGGTTGCGGGTCAGGACTGGGAGAGGGCGATAGGACTGTGTCCTGAGTGATGGTTTCATTAGGACGTGCAGCCCGAGTCCGCCTTGAGCTTCTGGGACAGGATTGCTGCCTGGGAGCGCGGAGTAGATGATAGTGCAAGGTCCAGGACTGCAAGCTAGTGATGGTCAGCTGAGGTGACCACGACTGCAAGCTAGTGATGGTCACCTCTTGGTCTGTCCTTGAGTTGGTGAGCTAGTCCAGAAGCAGGGTCCCTAGGAACAGGTGAAAAGCTCACATGGCCTTGTTTTACGGTGCCAGGCTGTTGTGTCAGGTCAGCAGGGTGTGGAGAAGTCACACACCTGTGTGTAGTCGTGTGATATAAAATAGACAAACCTGTGACAGAAAAGAAACTTCAGTCTACTCTATTGCACATCCCTGTCTTCTCTGCAATTTTGAAGGGGAGGCAGGATCCTCTGGTCCTCCTCTTCTTCATAGCAAACTCAAAGGCCTAGGCTTCCCAAGTCTGTGACAGAAAACACTTAAACATACTTCTGTCCCTGCCACAGTGTCCTCCGTAGTCATTATCAAATGCATTGTCATATTTTGAGTTGAAAGGTGTGTGTGGTTGCACGGCCAACTCTTTCAAATCTGGGTTGTATTGTTCTCTTCTTTGCAGTATCTTATGAAATTAAGTCAGACCCGTGAGAGTGCATGTCCCACTGTATTGGATGCACTCCACTTACTGTTGCTTTAAGAAGACTCAGAAACAATATACAGAGTATTAATCCACAAATACATTTAGACATCCAATGTAAAAGGCAAAGCTTGTGGTAACGTTTTGAAACTCACAGTATAATTAGGTAATTCATGTTTCCAAAGGAGATACTACATTTGGCCTCCCATGTTTTTTTTTTCATGGCTTGTTCTGCTTTCCAAGTCATATAATTGTGAGTTGTGGTGACTTTAACAAAAACCAGTGGCTCTTTCATTGCCCAAGTGTGTAAGCATAGAGTTGGGGCAGAGTCCTAGGAGCTACTACTTTGTGATGTGTGTAGTGTGTACTAAGTCATTTATGTAGTACACGGGCTTCTCTGAATGGAGGGTCACCTAAGAACTACTAAGTAATGCAGAATTAGTCTTCCCCAGAATGAGCCCACTTATCATTCGTCTAATAACAAGCGGTCAGTTCTCAAAACATACACCAGGCAACCCTGAACAGAATTGGCCATTCATACTTACATATATATGCATGTAAATACATGTGTGTGTAACAATAAAAGTTAGAGAATACATCATATATTCAAGATGGACTGTTGGAGGACATGAGAGAAGCTGCAATGAGGAAATAGAAGGGAAAATGATGTACTTCTAGTGTAATTCAATAATTCTTCAGAGAAAATGGAGTCTTGTCAATTGTGACAATAATGGTGACTCTGGAAATTATTTTCAAGCAGATAAGGCTAATTAATACATGATCTTATCAAATCTTAAATGTCAGAAGTTGTAACTCACAGAAGTTGGAGGTGTAATGGTTGTTCCCAAAGACCAGTGACATCAGTAAACCAAGACTTGGGGATATTCTACAAAAATGGGTGCCCTGGGACAGTGTAATAGGAGGAAAAGCCCCAGTACTGTTGCCCTCATTATGTGTAAGCGTTATGTACGGTGCCTTTCAGAAGCCTGGAAGATTGTGTTTGAGGAGGTAACCATACATACCTGAGAAAGGCAGTCCAGCCCTTACCTGTGAAATTATTACAAAACAATGCATTAATACACATATTGCTGAAAATTTTAATGCATTAATAAAAAGCCAAAATAAAGTATGACTACTCTCGTAGGTCATTCTGTGACTTTACTCAATAAGATACTAAAAACATAAATTCTTACTTTAGAAAATTTGGAAGGGGAAAATAGCATCAGCAGTGGTATTCGTCAGCTACAGCGCACCAATGTTCAGATGCGCATGTGCAAAACATGCTTTAGGAATATCATTAACACGTCAATCAATACCTGTCAGAGAAAAGGTATAAAAGGAAAACGACGAGTGAGTGATGTCTATTCTATTTTAAACTCTCTGTTGTCAGTCCTTCTCTTGCAGTTTTTAAAAAGTATGTTCAAATACTTAAATGATATTTAGTCTGTGACTAAATATTCCCTGCTCAACCCCATGTCTCTTTGCACCATTACTGAACTCTGTAGAAAGTAAGACACCAACCAGAGCATCAAAATCTGCATTTTCATTGCATTTCACATTTATGATTATACATATTAAGTGTTGAAATGTATGTTCTCCCTCACTATGATTTTCTTCTGTGAGAAATGTCTATATGTGTGGCATATAATAGCATATGGCACTGATGAATGTTCTTTTGGGGATGCATTCATTTTACATTTCATCTGTCTTAGATGGATCATGTCCAAAGGGGCTTATAGGATATTTTACCTTGTCTTTCCTTGAAGATAAGCATGGTGATATTTTGTTTGTGATCTAATAAATAAAGCTGGCCTGATGACCAGAGTGAAGAGCTAAGCCACTAGTTAACCATAGAAGCCAGGCAGTGGTAGCACACACCTTTAATCCTAACACTTGGGAGGCAGAGGCAGACGGATCTCTGTGAGTTCAAGGCCACCCTGAGCTACACGATATTGATCCAGTCTAAAAGAAAAACAGAGCCAGGCAATAATGGCTCACACCTTTAATCCCAGTACTTGGGAGTCACAGGCCTTTAATCCCAGCACCAGGGAGGTGGAGACAGGAAGGGATATGGCTGGATGGAGAGAGGAAAATAAGGTGGGAGGAGACAGGAGCACAGGGCATTCAGTCTGAGGATTTGTGGAGACAGGATCTTTCCCACTTTGTTCTGAGGAGTCAGTCAGAGGTCAAAGGTCTCTAGTGGCTGTCACATTTACTTCTCTGTTCTTTCAGCATTTACCCCAATATCTGACTCCAGGTTTTTATTTGTAAGATCAATTAGAATTCGAGCTACAGATGATTCCACTGTGAGATCATGTGACCACCTCATAGAAGTCTGAGGAATATTACTCACCAATATCAGAAATACTTCTAGCTCTCTTTCATCCTGAGCAAAATCTAGACTTGTATCCACAGGCACATGATGCCTATTAGGGTTTCTGTTGCAATGATAAAGACCATGACAAAGGACAACTTGGAGAAGAAAGTGTTTTGCTTGTACACTGTAAAAACTTGCCACTTGAATTGATATGATAAAACGCTGATTGGCCAGTAGACATGCAGGAAGTATAGGAGGGCAACCAAACTAAGGATGATGGGAAAGAGAAGAGCAGAATCTGAGGAGTCTGCCAGCAGACACAGACAGGAGATTAATGTTCCATGTTAGTAAAGGTACCGCCACATGGCAGAGGGTAAATACGGAATATGGGTTAACTTAAAATGTAAGAGCTAGTTAGAAATAAGCCTGAGCTATCAGCTGATCATTTATAATTCATATTCAGCCTCTGAGTCAGTTACTTGGGACTGGGCAGTCAGGATAGGTAATATCCATTTACAGGGTTCATTTTAGACTGCAACTTCAGGTAAACTGTCCATCTCTGAGGGTCATCAAGGCAGGAAACTGAGGCAAGAGCTGGAGCAGAGGCCACAGAAGAACACTGCTTGCCAACTTGCCCAGCCTGCTTTCCTGTGCCATATAGGATTGCCTGCCCAGGGTGGGTACCACCCATAGTGGACTGTGCTGTCTCATAGTAATCACTAATTTAAAAAAATACCCTCTAGGCTTGGCTACAGGACAGTCTTAGGAAGACATTTTCTCTATTATGTTTCTTCTCAAATGGCCAGTGTCAAGTTGACAGAACTATCCATCCCAACACATCTTAGTATTTATATTATAATTAATTAAAAATTGGTCTGTATTTCAGGAAATGCTGTCCTTCTGGGATGTAGCTATTGATTTCTCTCCAGAAGAGTGGGAATGCCTGGAGCCTGCTCAGTGGAATCTGTACAGGGATGTGATGTTGGAGAATTACAGCCACCTTGATTTCCTGGGTGAGGAACTCATCTATAGTGAATTCTTATGTCACCATTAATATGTAGCTTCCTCACTTTGTATTTTGTCTCATGGGAACATTTCAATAGCCAGTTTCATATATTTCATTTTAAGAAAAATTGGAGAGCTTGCTCCATAGATAAAGCATTCCATGTTTCAACTGTCGATGTTGAATGCATATTTTATTCAGCAGTTACTCTAGTGGGACTGTTAGAAATTCAATGACATGAGGTACAGAGCACACCTGTTAAAGTGCTTCACAATTCAGTTTTAATGTCTTTCCCTTTAAACAAGACCCAAAATCTGGACTTTTAAATTCCTTTCTGTACTGTAGTAGTCCTGTGAGAAAACATTTAAGGAACTGATTGTCTGGAGTCATTTATTACAACATCTCTTTTCCAATAAACAGTGCACTGGAAAGGACATGCCGATTCCCAGTAGAACACCTAAACAATCTTCTTCCCTGTTCCTACAAACAGGTCTTGCTGTCTCTAAGCCATTCCTGGTGACATTTCTGGAGCAAAGACAAGGACCTTGGGATGTGAAGATACAAGCAGAAGCCCCTGTGAATCCAGGTGGGTAGGAAAGAGGGTTTCAGAGACAGAGTTGAGGTCCAAATAGCCAACAGAAAGACAAGCTTTCGCATATGCATTAAAACCTATATTGTTGTAGTGATAATTCCTCAGGTCTCTCTTTTGTTGTCGTTTTTGTTGTCGTCATCGTCGTCAAAGGACATCTCTCAGATGTTTATGATGTTTAAATCTCTTAAACTTTGTAATTCTCCAATGGTGAGCTGTGTATTTCCAGAGACTTCCAAGGTTTTTCTTTTTGTTGAGTCAGCATTGTAATGTGAGAAATGTCTGGAAGACTATACACTTTTCTCTAGAGCATGATATGAAGTCATTGTAATGCAGCAGGTTCACACATAAGTTTATTTTGCATCACTTACTCTCATGTTAATGAGTGTTAATCCTGTCTGAGTTCTTTGTGAATGATGGAAGTTTTCTAAATTTTTTCCTCAATAATAAGTATTTAAAATTCATGCCATGTGGATATATATTTGAAGATTTAAACTGTCTGCAACTAGTAGGATGTGTTTAATAGCTTATCAGTAAGTTTTCAGAATTTTGTAGGTGTGAGGTATTTTTTCTTTCGTACGTTGTAATTTGCTATGCTGTATTGTTATTTAGAAATGAGTTTATGTGCCATATATATTTTTGTAGGTGGATGAAACACATTGATAAAACACATCAGTACAGTGTAAGATAAAAACAGCTAAGAACTCTGGTTCTGTACATTTTCTTCTCATAGGGAAACACGGGTCTTCCATTTTTATGCCTTGTTCATTGTTTCTCTCCATTCAGTGCTCAATGGTTATTTAATCTTATAAATGAATGAATCTTGAAATAGGTAATTTTATCACCAGGTGTGGTGCCCCACTGTATAAAGCCAGCACTTGGGAGGCAGAGGTAGGTAGGTCTCTGAGTTCAAGGCTAGCCTCATCCACATAGCAATTTCCAGGATAGCCAGAGTTACACATAGAAACCCTGTCTCAAGAAACAAAAAACAAAGAAATAGGTAATTTTGTTACCTGTTTATTGACAAAATCCTCAGAAAAATTTGTTATTCACCAATGAACCTGAAGTTTTTTGTTATGACACTGATATCTCTGAGGTACATATTTTCTAGTCATCAATAATAAAACATAAAATACTGTCCTAAGGCTATTATTTAATCTTTCCAGAGACATTCTACTTGGCATGCAATATATCTTTTGCATCTTCCAAAATGAAATGCTTAAGATTACAATGGTATATTTTGATGTTAGTCCAATATCACATAATCACAATTAACTTTTTCTTTTCTAGATTTGGCTACTTTATAGTTTCATGGATGTTCAGCCATTTAACATCTATATTGTTTAATGGGCTTGTTTCTGTTAGTAAAATACCCTTTCAAGTTATTTAGCTATTTAACTTTGAATAATATGGCATTATATCTATGCCCTATTTGGTTGTACTCTTTCTGCAGTAGAAGTATAGACTTTTCCATCTTTTCTATCTTGTGAATTATTCGAGGTGTAGATGAGTGTTGGAATATACTATAGTTTTTCATTGATGCTTTAATATGTATGAGTAAATGTCTCTAATTTAAAGATAAGCCTTATAAGTATAAAGAACTCTTTCTACCTTTTGTTCATATCTCAATTTTTGCCCAACAGGAACAATACCCAATGATTGTAACAATTATTGCAAGGCCACTGATTATAAACCACTCCTTATTCAACACCAGAGAACTCATACAGGGGAGAAACCCTACAAGTGTGAAGAATGTGGTAAGGCCCTGAGTTCTCATAAAGCACTTTCTATACACGAGAGACTTCACACCGGAGAGAAACCCTACACATGTAAAGAATGTCATAAGGCCTTCAATACACGCTCATCACTTTTTATACACCAGAAAAATCATACTGATGAAAAAACCTACAAGTGTGAAGAATGTGGCAAATCATTTTACTATCCTTCAATGCTGAAGCAACATCAAAGAATTCATTCTGGAGAGAAACCCTACAAGTGTGAAGAGTGTGGAAAAGCCTTTTGCTATCCTTCATTCCTTAAGCAACATCAAAGAATTCATTGTGGTGAAAATCCCTACAAGTATGAAGAATGTGGCAAAAGATTTTCCTGTTTTGCAGGAAACAGAACAGAACAGGAAGATCAAAAAGTTCATACTGGAGAGGAACCCTACAAGTGTGAAGAATGCCACAAAGCTTTTCGTTTTCACTCAGCTCTTAGGATACACAAGACAGTTCATACTGGAGAGAAACCCTACAAGTGTGAAGAGTGTGGCAAATGTTTTTCGTCATCTTCATGCCTTAGACGACATCAAACAATTCACTCTGAAGACAACCCCTACAAATGTGAAGTGTGTGGCAGATGTTTTTGCTCATCTTCATCACTTAGACGACATCAAACATTCCATTCTGAAGACAATCCCTATAAGTGTGTAGAATGTGACAAAAGGTTTTCCTGTTCTGCAAGCCTTCAGGAACACCAAACAATCCACACTGGAGAGAAACCATACAAGTGTGAAGAATGTCACAAAGCCTTTCGCTATCACTCAGCTCTTAGGAGACACAAGAGAGTTCATACTAGAGAGAAATCTTACCAGTGTAAAGAGTGTGGCAAATGTTTTTCCTCATCTTCGTGCCTTGGACGACATAAAACAATTCACACTGAAGACAATCCCTACAAATGTGCAGAGTGTAGCAAAGCCTTTGTTAATCTTTATAGCCTTACTCGACACATGATAGTTCATACAGGAGAGAAATCTTACAAATGTCTTAAAAAGTTTACTTCTTCAGACCTTAAGACACACCAAATGACTTATTCTGAATAAAACTCTGAGTATGTGGAATGTGGTTAAAAAAAAAATCTTTGCTAATCATTCAGATCTTAATCCAACTCAAATGAATCCATGGTGGAGAATGTTAATTATTTGGAATGTCAGCATGAACATCTCACTTCCATAAATGCTAAGAATGTCATCAGAGAACAGTAGACTTCTCTTTGTTGTAACCTCCACATCAGTTTGTTCAAGCAGTGTGTTTGAAACTTGCCTTGATTGATGAATTTCTTCTGTAATTATAAATGTTCCACGAAAGCTTTACATTGTTATAACTTGATCCTGTGGGTGCCCTGAATCTGAGTTGTGGGTTGTAGTACAGTTACTGTTACTTTTCCCTGTGGTATCACCCAAACACCTGGAATAACATCTCACTTGAATATGTAAGAATCTCCATAGACTCATCATTGGTACCAAACCGGTGTGAAAGGGCATTTGTGTTTATCTCCCAAGGACATGCTAACAGAACCCATTTTCAGTCATATTCGAATCCAGAATAAAGAATCTCTTATTTCCTTTAGATTCAGAACAGCATTTCTCATATGTATCCAACTGTCATGTCATAGAAACTTGGAACAATATTGAAATAAGGATCTGAGCCAGTTGCACTCACTCAGCAGAAGGGATGTACTTGATTAGTGGCTATGTGATCCTCAAGTATGAAACACTGTAGGGGCAGGTCTTACTTTACTGTTGATACAGATTCTAAAGTCAACTCAATCTCAAATTTACTAATTTACTGTAAACTGTTAACACAGGGTAATTAACACCTAAACATTAACAATCACTGGCTTATAGATAATTAAATGTCTCTAATGTGTCCAGAATTGTGTTTCTAGTCATGCTAAGTACAAACGATATTTATTCACAGAGATGAGATGGGAATGAGAATCCAGTTATATCTCTCATTCTATAGTCCTCTGTATATGCTGTTGAAGTACAGCCTAAAGCACATACCTCAAAACAAGTTGAAACTTTTTTGTGTAATATGACATAAAATTAAGAACTAATTATAGTTTTTAAAATCCTGATTTGGGAAATAGAGTTCTAGACTTAGATGACAGGGCACCCCCGGACTCAAGGAGCACCATTTGCCTCAGATGGGACACAGAGTGAATGACAGTAAATTGCATGTTCTCCATGTGACATCATCAGGATGTAAGGGAAAGATTTACTGAATGTCTGCTGCTCCTGTCTCTCCTCCTACACCTGCTGTAATGACCAGGTCTTGCTTAATTAACTGGTTGTTAAACTTTGTCAATTGACAGGTTGCCTCAGGAAAAATGATTCTAAGGACCCAGTTCCTACCCCTTCATAAAAACCAAAGATTTGAAAGTAGCTAAAAGAAGTGGGGCATGAAGTAACTTAGGCCCAGTCAAGATATCCTGATTATACTGTATATCTCTATTGATGATTACAAAGTGGAGTCAGAGATAGGTTAATAAACACTAGTTTATTAGGGGAAAATACTCAAGGGAAGCGATGACCAGGTTTGCACCAGAGCAGAAACAATTCCCAGTCAGCTCAGCCGAGTGAGAGACAGAGCCACATGCTCGCTTCCCTCCTTCTTAAACCCCAAGAGGGCATGGCCAGTGATCCCTCTAATCAGGGTTTCTCCCTACATATACCCTGGAGCCTCAACAGGCAAATACATTTGTAATGTTGTCCATACACAAAGGACAATTGTTTCCTATAATGGGAAAAGTAGAAACAAATAAAAGTAGCCAGGCTTGTTACAGCACAAACCAAGGCAGACCACAGGCATGAGGCAAAGTAATCTCAAGGACAGAGGGAATGTCCTATCGCAGTTAGAGAAAGCAGGCTTGGAGACCTTAGAAAGAGAAGGCATTAGGATTCAGTATAGCTTCTCAGACTGGAGAGCCACACAGCTAAGGTTCACTCTAATCTTAAAAACAAAAAAATCAGGTCCCGCAGTGAGTTGTGGCCTGGCCTCCCTGGCTGGTTAGGCTACTGGATGGATTAGGGTTTCAGGATAAAAAGGTGCAGAGTGGATGCTCTCCTAATGCCAACATTTCAGCTCCAGCTCATGAGCCCCCTGCAGCCACCACAGGCTGTCCTTTCTGACCTCCCTCACCTCAGGATGTGAGCACAACCAAGCAGTCCAGTTTTCAGTCTGTGCATATTGCACTGGGTCCCTTGAAGATAACTGTACACTTAATAAAGGTTCATCAAAGTCTTGTGACCTCATGAATAGAAGCATCTGAGACCACTACTTGCATATTGGCAACTCTCAGTCTCAAGGGACATAAAGAATGTGTTGGGCCCCAGCCCCCACAGGGTCTCTGTGAGTTGCTTGTCAGCCAATAACCACAGGTGCAAACTGTTTTCTACTCCTGGCTTACAGCCCCAGCCATGCCCACTGGCATCAACCACACCTGGGAAAACAAGAGCTCTTACAACCTGGGGTTGTAAGTGTATATAAGGCTGCTCTCCCCTTGGAATTAAGTTGGACAGATGCACATAGCACAAGAAGCTAGATGGCTCTGCTTTTAACTAAATCTCCAGGCTTTTGCCGAATACTAAGACTTAATTTTGGCATGGACGCCAAGTAGAGTTTCCATTAGACTGAGTTGTGGCGCGGACTCCACAGACTGCATTTCCTTTCCTAGATAGAGATGAAAGTGAAACTCTCCAAGGCTGCCGGATAGAGGTTATGGTGCAGAGTAACGTATTTGTCAAATTACAATAAGGGTGTTTGATACTTCTGCTATCTTTTTATCTTAGAAATCGGCATTTCTGTCTCCTGATTTTGAGAAAATGAGGTAAGTTCAAGGCACATGTTTCTGACTTTCAAAATACTGTCACATAGGAAGAATTTCAGTATCAGAGATGGCAAAGGAGATTGAATAAGACACTGTTAGACCCCCGGAAAAACTCAGGTATCCTGGGTCCCAGGTCACGACCTCGGTCACCCCAATCACCAGGCAGATTTGAGAGCTTGATGCAAACTGCATGAGGCTTTATTGTTTTTTAACGAGCTAACCCCATGTTAGCTCGGGTCTTTCACCCACCTGCCATGGCGGATGGCTAGCATAGAGATCATGTAGGGCAGCGTAAGGGGAGTGTCTAGGGGTATGCACAGGCTCAGGATTGGTGTGCCTCCAGGCTTGGAGGGCTTGCCCTGTGTTGATTGGCCAACTGGTTATTATGGCCCATAGGCCCTCCCAGGGTGGTTGCTATGCTCCGAGCGTCATTGCTGTGCCCTTGTCCGTAAAGCACACCCAGTGCCATAAAACATAGCGCCACCAGCTAATTTCTGATTGGTTCCTTGCCACGAGGCAGGGATCTGACTTTCTAGTGACTAGGACAAGGTCAAACAAGCATGTGTTCAGTTGTTATGGCTGCCGACAGGGGCAGGCATCTGCCCTTGGTGACTAAGACAAGGTCAGACAAGCTGTTATGGCTGCCGAAATGGGGAGCTGGTCCCTTCAACACATCAAAGCTCTGCAGAAGGAATTCCAAGAATTGATCATGGGCCAGTGGTCATTACACACACTTGTATGAGACAGGAGACGTGTCCCTCCAGTTGGGATGGGAGCAGGGAGGTAAGCATGAACTAAGAACAGTGTATATGTACCTGAGTTTGTGAAAAACCAGGTGGATGTTGGTAAAATTCTAGCAGGGCTCCCACTAAAGATGAATTTCTTATGTATATTAGCATCTGAAAGTTTTTCAAGGGACTTAAGGATTGGTGGGGAAATCCTGCAATGGATTATGGGACTCCTTTGCAAATCAAAGTTAGGGAGTTGGACTTTCAACTTTGTTCAATGCTTTATATGCTGTCTGTGTCCCTGACCAACTTACTTCAGTACATGGGTTCCAAAGTTCACACAAAAACTGTTTCTCAGGCTGTGGACTCTGATCTATATATAGCTCACACAGGGATTCGGTACAGGCGAACAAGGGTTATTTATTTCCAGTAGTGCGTATTGAAACAAAGTCTACATTAGAGTCAAATGCGTTAACGTAGGCTAACTACCAGAGTAAAAAACATCAGACAGCAAGGTACAAATTCAAAAATGGGTGTGTGGGGGGGAGGGGGGACGGAGGGGGGTAGGATTTACAACCGACTTCCGGGAAGATGCCTGCAAAGAGTTCTGGGAAATGTAGTCCATGCAATTGTGACATCACAAGAAGCTGTCCAGGAAATTGCAATTCAGTTTTCGGTTTTTTGTACAAGTGCTCTTTCCACAAAGTTGGGCGCGAGTCCTGCCCCGCTGTCTCTCCTGCTGCGTCTCTGGCTTGGAGGTTGGTCCGGGGTGCAGCGCAGCCTGAGGCTCTATGCAGGGTGCGGACTCCGTCTTGGAGGGATCGGACCTGGGTCGGGGGGGAGGGCGGAGAAGCTGCCTGGGAGGTGCTGGGCTGAACTGGCTGGGACTTGGGAGGTTGCAGGTCAGGGCTGGGAGAGGGCGATGGGACTGTGCCTTGAGTAATGTTTCCTTAAGATGTGCAGCCCGAGTCCGCCTTGGGCTTCTGGGAAAGGAGAGCTGCCTGGGAGCACGGAGTAGATAGCGCAAGGTCCAGGACTGCAAGCTAGTGATGGCCAGCTGATGTTGGGCTCCCAGTCCCCACGGGGTCTCTATGGGTTGCTTCTCAGCCAATAATCATAGGTGCATCCTGTTTTGTAGTTCTGGCTTACAGCCCCAGCCATACCCCACTGGCATCAAAAACATGAGCTCTTACACCTGGGGATTTCCACTGTGCTGTAAGTGTATATAAGGCTGTCCCCTCCCTGCAATAGGACAGATGCACTTAGCACAAGCGGCTGCACTTCTCTGCTTTTAATTATATCTCCAGGCTATCGCCCCATACTCGTACTTAGTCCTGGATCGGGCGCCACATGCTGAGGTGACCAGGATTGCAAGCTAGTGATAGTCAGCTGAGGTGACCAGGACTGCAAGCTAAGGAGGGTCAGCTGATTGCCTGCTGCTGAGGTGGAGCTGGGAGCTGACTGAGCAGCTTTGAAGGGAGGAAGCAGGCTTCACTAGCTGAGCCATTCTCACATGGCTGCTGTCAGATTTCTCAGTGTCTTAGAGCAAACCGGGTTTCTGACCCCTCCTGTACTCTATCCTGCCTAGTGTAAGGGTCTTGAGTCTTGATTGTGTTTGTTTTCTCTGCCAGATAAAGAATTAAGAGAGGAAGAATGTGAGGCACAGCAAAGGTCTCAAGTGGGAAATTCTGGAAGACAGCTGACAGATCTGCCAGAGTCAGCTGCTGTAGAAAAGCATAGACTAGGGGTGAGAGAGCTCACTTGCTGCAGACATGTGGAGGGAAAGACCTGCTCTAGTTCTCCCAGAGAATATCATTTTCCCTCTTCATTCTGTCTGCACTTTTGCCATTCTCCATTGTCATCAATTTCCCTGCTCTTGGCAATCTCTTGTCACTGTCATTGGCATCACTACAAATTCAGAAACTCAAACTTCAGCTAGAGTTGCTATATCAGAATCTGTATTTTCATTTCATTTCATATTTGTGATTGTGTACATGAAGTGTTGAAAATTCCTTCTCCCTCACCATGAGTTTCTCCTCTAAGAACGTGTGTGTGTGTGTGTGTGTGTGTGTGTGTGTGTGTGTAACACAAGCATATGACTATTACACAGTATTCTGCTTTTGTATGCCATTTAGAATTACCTGCCCAGGGCAGGCATCACCATAATGGGCTGTGCTCTTTTATATCAATCACTAATTAAAAAATACCCTCCTCAGTTTGGCTACAGGACAGTCTTAGAGAGACATTTTCTCTAATATGTTTCAAATGATCCTAGCTTGTGTCAAGTTGACAGGAGAACTATCCAGCACTGTGCATTTTGGTATTTATATTCTTATTGGTTGTTGGGAGATGTTGGGTCCCCAGCACCCACGGGGTCTCCATGAGTTGCTTGGCAGCCAATAATCACAGGTGCATCCTGTTTTCTAGTCCTGGCTTACAGTCCTGGCCATATCCCACTGGTATCAAAAACATGAGCTCTTACACCTGGGGTTTTTCCACTGTGCTGTAAGTTTGTATATAAGGTTGCTTCCTCCTTGCCTTTCGCCCAATACTTTGGATTTGCTCATGGGGTGGGCAACACAAATGGTGGTTTTAATTAAAAAAAATGTAATATTCATTGATCTTTGTTTCAGGAAATGCTGTCCTTCTGGGATGTGGCCATTGAGTTCTCTCCAGAAGAGAGGGAATGCCTGGAGCCTTCTCAGTGGAATCTCTACAGGGATGTGATGTTTGAGAATTACAGCAACCTTCTGTTCCTGGGTGAGGATCTCATCCATAGTGAATTCTTATTTCACCATCAACATGTATCTTACTTGCTTTGTATGGTATCTCATGGGAACATTTCAACAGTGAGTTCCATATGCTTCATCTAAGGAATATTAGAGACATTGCTCCAGAGCTAAGAAACATGTCATTGATTTTTCTTTTTTTGTGTGTTTGAACTGTCAGCGTTGAATGTCTGTTTCCTTCACTTTGGTGGGACTGTTAGAAATTCAGTGGCATGAGGCATGGAGCACACCTGTTAAAGTGTTTCATGTTTCAGTTTCAATGGTTTTCCCTTTAAATGAGACTCAGAATCTGAACATTGTAAATTCCTCTAGTGTAGTAATATTGTCAGAATACATTTAAAGGCCTACTTGACTGTAATCATTTATTGTATTATTCTTTTCTTATAAACACTGTACTAAAAGGTACATGTCAGTTCCCAGTAGAAGAACACTTAAACCATCTTTTCCCCATTTACCGCAAACAGGTCTTGCTGTCTCTAAGCCACACCTGGTGACATTTCTGGAGCAAAGACAAGAGCCTTCAGGCATGAAGAGACAAGCAACAGCTGCCAAGCATCCAGGTGTGTAGGAATGAGGGGGTCAGGAATAGAGGTGAGGTACAGATATTCAACTGAAAGGCAGGCTTTCCCATCTGCCTTGAAACATGACATTATGGAGATCATTCTTTAGGCCTCTCCTTGTTTTTGTTGCAAAGCACATCTCTCAGATGTTTATGATGTTTCAAGTCTCTTAAGCTTGATAATTACCCAGTGGTGAGCTGTGCTTGTATTTATAGTTCCCTCCAAGGCTCATCTTTTTGTTGAGACTACATTGTAATGTAAGACTCAAGGAAATGCCACTCTATGCAGAAGTCATTTATTTGCTTGGGTTGAGTACAGGCTCATGCCAGAAAGATCTTTATACTGAGGTGAGGCATGATTGTGTTGGGTCCCAGCCCCAATGGGGTCTCTGTGAGTTGCTTGTCAGACAAAAACTACAGGTGCATCCTGTTTTCTAGTCCTGGATGACAGCCCCAGCCTTGCCCCACAGGCATCAAAAACACGAGCTCTTACACCTGGGGTTTTCCACTGTGCTGTAAGTCTGTATATAAGGCTGCTCCCTCCCTGCAAAAAAGGACAGATGCACATAGCACAAGTGTTGGACTTCTCTGCTTTTAATTAAATCTCCAGGCTTTCACCTGATGCTCGGACTTAGTTGTGGCATGGGCAGACACAAGTGGAGGTTCCATTAGACCTAGTCGTGGTGTGGGAGCCACATCTCTTTCTCAGTAGTTAGTAGATTTAGGCCTTGATGTGCGTATAGGCCCATTGTTTTCCTGGTTTGTAATGGGAGCGGGGCTAAAGGACATCCCTGATGTCTCTGGAAGGTGACTCGGGGGGCGGGGGGGTTAGATGGACTTTCACAGTCCATGTCTCTTCCTCCTCAGGTGGTTGTGTTTGTCTTACCTGGATGTAGTTGTTCCATGTGTGGCTTAGTTTCAACAGTGCCCATTGTTCAGCACACTGTGCCCACTGGGCCTGCGGCAAAGCCTCTGTCATGTATTACCTAACTCTTTGCTGAGGACTCCTTACACAATCACAAATTGACATCTCAGCTCCAGGATTAGCTTTGTTAAGAGGCAGAAATTCAAAGCCAAGGGACAGGGCATGGCTGTTTGAACTAGAGTGTAGTTCCCATATCAGTTGGGTGGCAGGCATGGGTATAAGGTTCCCCTGTACACAGGATACTCAACATCAGTTCATAAGACATGGAATGTGGAGTGATTTCGATGAGTATCTCCATTGCTTGAGATGTTTAGGGTATGGGTGCGGAGTCTAAGATCTGCTCCAGCATGGTCACCCCCTGTCTGGTGGGACCTGAGGAGTGATTCATCTTCCTTACAGATAATGGGCAGGATTTCCTGGTGTGGCTTACAGGACAGAGGGAGACAGGAGCAGCAGACACTGCAAGTCCTATTCCCCATGCATCCTTTTGCTGTGGTGAGGCCAGCATGCCATTTTCTCTTGTAGGGTCTGTGTCACATTGGAGGGTAAGTGTGCTGTTCTATCCTGGGTGTGTCCTGCCATGCAAGTGTGGTTTAGATTTAATCTCTTTTACTCAAGCGTTCAATTTCAATAACCAGTTTTTTTAAGTATACCTCATCATTGAATACTATTCAATATTAAGAAAAAAGTTAACCTTAAATATGTTTTGCGTTACCTGCTTTATGTTTAACTTGGATAACATGTACACTGGCCTATGTAATAGAAGAAGGTATAGACTGGTCTCTTCCTTGAATATTTTCTCTGCAAATGAATTACAGTTGTATTTAGCATGACTACAAACAGATATTTGGACACATTAAAGATATTTAATAATTCATTAGATGACTCATCATTAAGTATATGTCTTAATTATCTTTGTTGTAACACTCTACAGTGAATTAGTGACTCTTGTAAGATTGGGGTTCTGTAAATGGAAGTAATTTATCTCTTAAAATTTTGAATCCTAAGATTTATATTTTTGATCTGAAGATACATTATACAAAAATAAACTTTAAACAAAATACAGTCTATGGAGAAACTGGTAACCTCACTGTCCTTGTTTCTTTATGGTGGACCTTTACAAAATCTGAATAAGCCAACAGGTCTTCTACATTAAGTACCTTGTTTTATCACAAAGAATACAATCAGAGGAGAGAATAGAAAGGTTAGCCTTTATATGAAGACACCTGTAAAAATAAAAAGGTGTACAATTAATTATCAATACAGTTCTTTGTGGTGATATTTTATTTATGCTACAACAAGTAAAGCTTGCCTGAAGATCAGAGGGAGAGCTAGCCACTAGTTAGCCACAGAGGTCTGGAGGTCTGACTAGACAGACAGGAAGTCATATGGCTGGGGGGAAGAGAGGAATATATGGTGGGAGGAAACAGGAATTCACTCTCTTTTGGGGCTGAGAGTCACTGATGTAAGAACTCTGTAGTGGCAGGCTGCTCTGCTTCTCTGATCTTTCAGCTTTGACCCCCCTAATATCTGACTCCAGGTTTTTGTTATTAATACCAATTAGAACTACAGTTCTTGTTATGACTCAGTCTCTCCAAATCTCTATAGATTAACAAAATTAGGAAAGACATAAGTGACTAAATAGTCTACTTTAAGTAGTTTGTGTTAACCCTGAATAATATTTTGTAACTTAGGAAATTTTGATGTTAAGTATGTTATCTTTAAGTCTCATCCACCATAAGGCCTGTATAATATAGTCAGACCTCCTGTCACCGACAGGTCTTCTGGTTTTGGTCCTCTCTTTATATAACTTGTCTAAAGTGATTTAAGGCCCCTTTAAAAGATATGACCTCAAAATTATGTCATTTGTTTTAAATCATTTCACTGATGATGAGATAGAAAATTTACATCTTAGCAAGAGCTTTAATAAGATATCAGTAGCCTTGAGTGAGAGAACATTTTTCACAAAGAAGAACCAACAGGGGAAGTATACAACAGGAGTTCATTCCATAACTGACTCCAGAATCAATTGAGACACCCCTCCCTTCCCCAGGCATCTGATTCTTTACATATACCCCCTTGATTAAGCAATGTCAAATGAGACAAGATAGTGTAAGTAAATTCATCATTTGATATAACAAAATTTCCCTAAGTAGAGGTTGTGAGGCAGTACCTATTTTCATGTGGGAGCCCTTATCCAGTACAACAGGTTTCCCATCACTGTACCTCTGTTTTAGTTTTGCTGCCATGTACACCCTAGTATCTCCAGAAAACCTTGAGACGTCTTGCAGTCAAAAGCCTGGCTCCTTGCAACTATCTGGGAGGAGTGCCCAGATACTCAGAGGAGAATTCAGTGACCTTGGCTGGCTCCTTCTTTTGATTAATACTAGCATTTAACAAGCCCAGCTATGATTACTTTTAGTGGGCACAGCTGGAGATATGAAGGAGCTAGAGGTAGGCGTTCAGCTTAGAAGATACTGTGATAATAAAAGAAGGTTGAATCCAAGCTACACAGCGAAAATAATGTGATGAATAACAATTACTGTTAAACCATTGGGCCTTTCATAGAGTCTTTATGATTTAGATAGTATCTAAACTTGTCATGATCATCCTTAAATTAAGAAAGCAGTAAACATCTAACAAAATTAAGTTGACTATTATTTTGAAGTTATTATTGAGAGATTATAGACAGTGTCTTTTTTATCCTTTTTAACGAAGAGGATCCCATTAGTTGTTTTTATGATGTACATCTTTCTACCATGAGGTAAATTAAATAACAGTCTCTATATAAAATAGTTTACTTCTTAGTGTCTTTTCTTGGGTTGTCCTGTTGTTCTCTTTCTGCCTGTCAGTGAGTCAGGGAGCCAGCTTGACCCAAGACAGAGGCTTTAGAAGAAATTCTGAGACAAATATTCTTGTGTTTGAAGTGGCTGTGGTAAATATATCCCCAGAGCCAGGCATTCAGTAAGCTAAAATAGTATACGATTTAAAAGACATTATCTATATTCAAAAGACACTTGTTTATAAGACTGAGTCCAGTGATTAAAATATCCAGAACTGGTTTGTGTCTGCAGATGTGGGCAGATACCTGAGTAGTTTTATATGCATTTTCCCTGTTATAAAGATATCAAGCTTTAGAATAATAGAATTATTCTATGAGACGGGCATATTGGCATCTTTGTGGATCAACCTCTAAGCTTTAAATAAGTACCTGTAGCCTAGCAATATTTAAACAGAAAACCATAAAATGTAGACACCTAAACAACTCAGAAAGTCCTGGAAGTGAAAGGAAGAGTATCCAGGTTTCATGGAGCAAGACATGGGCTGACCTCAGCCACAGGGCAAAGGAGTCCCACAACCACTGTTTTCCATAGAGTGAACCATGTTTGGATTATAAAGCTAAATCAAATTACCTCATACCAGAGGCTGGCCAGGAGCCTAAAACTTCAAAAGTGTCAGTTTCACTGATTCAACAATTTGTCATCAAACAGGGAATCTTCCAAAGCTGCAGGCGAAGGCTACTTGAGAACATTTTCTCAGTAGGATTGGATAGTGAGTTAGGGGAGCAGCTGGATAAAACTCAGGCAAAATGAAGTCCTTTTGAGCAGTTCAGTAGCAGACTTTACACTGTTGGTACACATCTGAAAACTGCACACTTCTGAAGACCTAGTGCAAAACCACTACAGGACAGTAACTTCACATGTAAGTTTCTTTCATAGCATGCGCCTTCATATTAATGAAAGCCATCAGAGTTCTATATGAATGATGAAAATATTTTCTCATTTTTCTCCTATCACACACTCAGCAACAATGATTTAAAATGCATGGACTTTGGGGACATACATTTAAACGGAAAACAGCCCACAACTAGGAGAGTGTGTTTGATTGCTCATCAGTAAGCTTTCAGAATCCTGTGGATTCAAGATTTTTTTTCTTTATTTTGCAGTTTGATATTCTGCATTAATATCTGACAGGGTGCACAGCCCTACAACCATTCAACCTATATATTTACATAGGTGGAATATCCAATTAAAAAACACATCAAGACAGCATAAGATAAAAACATCTATGAGGTCTAGTTCTGTGAACATGAGAACTGTGTGTTTCCACTTCATGTGTAATCACAAGGTGTGCGTGTTTGTTCCTTGTACATTGACTCTCTTCATTCATTGTTCAATGGTTGTTTACTATTATAAATGAATTAGTTCTTAGAAATTAGATAATGTGATTATCCATTCACCTGCAAACATGTTGCCTTCAGTCAAAGTTCTGTTACTTACAACTGAACATGAAGGTTTTTTCATAACCTCATATCCATCAGGTATATATTTTCATGTCATGAAAATAAAATGTATAGGACCACCCTAAATCCTGGAGATATATTATTTAATACCTGTGGACCATCTACTTACTTGCAGCACATCTTTTTTGCCTTCAGCTTTACACTTAAGATAAAAAATTGTATATTTCTGCCAGTCCTGTCTCACAGTCACAATGAAGTATCTTTTTTCTAAGCATGGTTATTTTATAATTTCATATCTGTCTTGCCATATAACAGCTGTATTTTTTAATGGTCTTATTTTTGTTAGCAAAATGCCCTTAAGAGTTTCCACAATTTTAGGTGTCACAATTTATTTAGCTATTAAACTTTGAATAATATGCTACTATCCATTATTTCTATATTCTATTTAGTTGTGAATTTATTCCAGTTGTTTCCACCTACAGTATTTTCTGAATTAAACTCATTGCCTATTCGTGTTGAAATATATGGTAGTTTCTCATCTAAGGTTAAATATATATGAGTAAACATTTCATTTTATCTGTGTGAATTTGTTGCTAAGCTTTTGTTCATATCTCACCTTTTGCTCAACAGGGACAACACCCAATGAATGTATTGAATCCAGCAAGGTCTTTGGTGGCAAATCATTCCTTATTCAATGCCACAGAACGCATACAGGGGAAAAACCCTACAAGTGTGAAGAATGTGGGAAGGCCCTTAGGTCTCGCTCAACACTTTCTGTACACCAGAGACTTCATACTGGAGAAAAACCCTACAAGTGTGAAGGTTGTTATAAGACCTTCAATACTCTCTCTAAACTTTCTGTACACCAGAGGGTTCATACTGGAGAAAAACCGTACAAGTGTGAAGGTTGTTATAAGACCTTCAATACTCTCTCTAAACTTTCTGTACACCAGAGGGTTCATACTGGAGAAAAACCGTACAAGTGTGAAGGTTGTTGTAAGACCTTCAATACTCGCTCTAAACTTGCTGCACACCAGAGGGTTCATACTGGAGAAAAACCCTACAAGTGTGAAGAATGTCATAAAGCCTTTAGTACTCGCTCAACACTTTCTGTTCACCAGAAAAACCATACTGGAGAAAAGCCCTACAAGTGTGAAGAGTGTGGTAAGTCATTTTACTATCCTTCAATGCTGAAGCAACATCAAAGAATTCATTCTGGAGAGAAACCTTATAAATGTGAAGAGTGTGGCAGAGCTTTTTATGATCCTTCGTTCCTTAAGAAACATCAAAGAATTCATTGTGGAGAGAAACCTTACCAGTGTGACAAGTGTGGCAAACTGTTTTCCTATTCTTCACACCTTAAAATACATCAAAGAATTCACTCTGAAGACACTCCACACAAGTGTGGGGAATGTGGCAGAGCCTTTTCTAAGCTTTCTGCCCTTACTAAGCACAAGTTTGTTCATTCTAGAGAGAAACGACACACGTGTGAAGAGTGTGGCAAAAAGTTTGCCAGTCCTTCAAAACTGAAGAGACATGAAAGAATTCATACTGGAGAGAAGCCCTACGTATGTGTAGTGTGTAGCAAGATCTTTTGTACTCATGCAGAGTTTTCTATACACAAGAGATCTCACACTGCAGAGAAACGATACAAATGTGAAGAGTGTGGCAAAACCTTTTGTATGTTCTCATACCTTCCACTGCATAAGTTACGTCACACAGGGGAGAAATCTTACAAGTGTGAAGACTGTGGGAAAATGTTTTACTCTACTGTAGAACTTAAAAAACACCAAATAATTCATACTGGAGAAAAATCATACAAGTGTCAAGAATGTCCCAAAGCCTTTCGTAATCAGTCAGGCCTTAATAGACACAAGGCGGTTCATACAGGAGAGAAACTCTACAAGTGTGGAGAGTGTGGTAAAGTCTTTTCCTATTCTTCAGACCTTAAAAGACATCAAAATATTCATTCTGAAGACAATCCACACAAGTGTGGGGAATGTGGCAAAGCCTTTGTTAATCTTTATAACCTTACTCGACACAAGACAGTTCATACTGGAGAGAAATTCTACAAAAGTAAAAGATTTACACATCTTTAGCCTTTAAAGGAAGTCAAATAATTCATTCTGAATAATGAAAGACCCCGAAGAGGCACTTTCGTAGAGGGAGACCCACACACCCAGGAACCAGCGAGGCCACGAACTGGATGCAAAAAAAACAAGGGGCTTTATTGGAGACGCAGGTACCTGGGGCGACTTAGCTTCTGTGTGGCTAAGCGCGCCCGCCCCAAGGGAAAGGCGTCCTTATATAGGGAAAAAGGCGCAAGCTAGGAGCAGGGATTCTATTTGATGGTTCAAATGAGGCACAGAGCCATTCCAGATCAGCATATTCTCAAGGTCTGGTGTCTGGTACAACAGACTTGATTCCTCCCTCCGCGCCCAGGTGGCTGACCTTGGGGGCGGAGACCTTGGGACGGAGCGGTCCGGCGGGGGCCGGGGCCGGCCTTGCGCGGCGGCGGGGAAGTGCCGGCAGCTGTGGGTATCAAGGGTCAGGGGGTGCAGGAGAGGATGTATTCGCCAGCTGCATGCGGAAAACTTAAAAGAGAAAGCTAAGGGCGGGGGTCTTTCAATACAAATTCCACGAGTGTGTGGAGTATGGCAAAATCTTTGCTAATCATTCAGACCTTATCCAACTCAAATGAATCCATAGTGGAGAATATTAATTATTTTAGAATGTCAACAGAAATATCTAATTTCCACCAATATAAATGCTAAGAATGTCACCAGAGAACAGTAGAGACTTCTCTTTACTATAACCTCCCCTCCTGTTTGTTCAAGCCATGTTTTTGAAACTTGTCTTGATTTATGACTCTTTATTCTGTAACTATAAATGTTCCATGAGACTGTTACCATGTCGTAACTTTGTCATTTGGGTTCTCTGAATCTGAGATCTAGGCTGTGGAATAGTTACTGTTGGTTTTTCCCAGTGGGGTCATCCAACTGCTTGTGATAACATCTCCCCTGGGTGTGTAAGAATTTCCATAGACTTCTATTTTTCACCAGGTTGGACTTTTGTGAAATGGTCTGCATTGGTACCAATCTGGGGTGAATGGGCATTTGTGTTTATCTCCCAAGGACATGCTAACAGAACCCATTTTCAGTCATATTCGAATCCAGAATAAAGAATCTCTTATTTCCTTTAGATTCAGAACAGCATTTCTCATATGTATCCAACTGTCATGTCATAGAAACTTGGAACAATATTGAAATAAGGATCTGAGCCAGTTGCACTCACTCAGCAGAAGGGATGTACTTGATTAGTGGCTATGTGATCCTCAAGTATGAAACACTGTAGGGGCAGGTCTTATTTTACTGTTGATACAGATTCTAAAGTCAACTCAATCTCAAATTTACTAACACAGGGTAATTAACACCTAAACATTAACAATCACTGGCTTATAGATAATTAAATGTCTCTCATGTGTCCAGAATTGTGTTTCTAGTCATGCTAAGTACAAATGAAATTTATTCACAGAGATGAGTGGGAAGGAGAATCCAATTATCTCTCATTCTACAGTCCTCTGTACATGCTGTTGAAGTACAGCCTAAAGCAATACCTCCAAACATTTTAAATTTCGTTTAATGGGATATAGCTTCTATAACCATATATGTAAACATATATTTGAAAATTATTTTGGAAAATGAATGCTTGAATAAAAAGCAGATCTGTCTGCTGTCTTCCAGAATTTCCCACAAGTGACCTTTGCTGTGCCTCAGATTTTTTCCTCTCAAGCCTTTAACTGGCAGAGGAAATGAACACAATGAAGGCACAAGACCCTTATACTACACAGGACAGAGTACAGGAGAGGTCAGAAACCCTGTTTACTCTAAGATACTGAGAAATTGACAGCAGCCATGTGAGAATGGCTCAGCTAGAGAAGCATGCTTCCCCTTTCCCAAAGCAGCTCAGTCAGCTCTCAGCTCCACCCCAGGAGCAGGCAGTCAGCTCACCATCATTAGCTTGCAGTCCTGGTCACCTCAGCTGACCATCACTAGCTTGCAGTCCTGGACCTTGCGGTATCATCTGCTCCCAGGCAGCTCTCCTGTCCCAGAATCCCAAGGTGGACTCGGGCTGCACATCCTATGGAAACCATCTCTCAGGGCACAGTCCCATCGCCCTCTCCCAGTCCTGATCTGCCAACTTGCGTGTCCCAGCCAGCTCAGCCCAGCACCTCCCAGGCAGCTTCTCCGCCCTTCCCTCAGCCCAGGTCCGTTCCCTCCAAGACAGAACCCACACCCCGCACAAAGCCTCAGGCTGCGCTGCACCCTGGACCAACCTCCAAGTCTGAGAAGCAGCAGGAGACGCAGCGGGGCAGGACTCGCGCCCAACTTTGGCTAATGTCACAGTGCCGCAGACTACAATTCCCAGAAGTCTGTGCGAAAGAATTCCGGAACCCAGGTAGACAGATTTCAACTGTTAACAGTTATCTGGTCCTAGGACCAGTTCTTAGAATAGCCTGCTTCCTTTAACTGTGATATGACATTCCCACTGACTTTGACATTCCTTTGCCCTCTGACTGTGTGGTCTGCCTTGGTTTCAGCCCCAACAAGCCTGGTTACTCTTTTTTTTCATGTTTCTATTTCTTAAATATATAGAATCAATTGCATTTCAGGTATTGCTGATATTACACATGCATGAACATTTGCTTTTGAAGCTAAGGTTTGTTGTCCCCACATTAGCCATATGCACGTGCATCTCTAAGGGTCCTCTTATGTCCTGTCCTGGGTCAGTGTCGCTGACTCTGAGACAGGAAAAAGGACATCAACAAATGGTAAAGAAGACATTGTGTGATTAAGAACAGCTAACAAGGCTGCCTGAGACCAAAGGAGACTACTATTGTTTATCTCCTGGTGTAAAGATGTCTATATAAATGCAGATAATTTACCCAGTCATTTTTTCCCAGCTTGCACTATGTAGTTTGCTGAGGCCTCAGGTTAACTGTGGAAGCAAAATTGTACAGGGTCCAAAGATAAAAAAAAAAAAAAGCAGTGCCTGCTCCCACAGTCATGGAAGAGCAGCCTGCAACCAGCATTTCCTTCCAGTGGCCTCAGAATTCAATACAGGTTGGGCTAGCAGCTCACTAGGCAGCCAGGTGGGCACATGGAGTCAAACTCTTCCTCCCCTTGGACCCTGTCAGCCTGCTGGAGGCAGGTACTAAACTTCAGATGCATTGCATACACTATCTACAGGCCGTGGTTAGAGCCACAGGCCTAAAGTAGCCTTTGAGACCACAAGAGCACAGCCTATGGGTGCTGCAAAGAACACTGGAACCTCACAAATCAACACCTCATATCCCTAATAACCTCACCCCACAGTCCCCACTATTTCAGTTCTGGGCTTATATGGGATCCTCATACCTTACTATAGAGATATGTGTACCCCCTTGATGGGGAATCTTCTTCTGTGTATATGGTTGTCTTCTTGGTTGATGAATAAAGCACTGTTGGCCAATAGGGCAGCAAGATAGGTGGGACTACGATATGAGGATTCTGGGAAGTGTAGGCAGAGAGGAGTCAACATGTGATCCTCAGAGGAGAAGACGCATGAGTCTGGCATTCTTGTAAGATAGGACCTTGTAAAAATACATATATTAGTAGTTATGGGTTAATACTTAAGACAGAGTTAGCTCTAGACATTGCCCAGCAGCATTGTAACTAATAGAGTCTCTGTGTGTTATCTGGGGGCTCTGAATCGGCGATGGGACCCATGCCAGAAACCCGCAGCACCCCGTTTATTGCTTTTTTATTCTCAATTGTAAAGAAGCTAAACCAACATAGATATTCATGAACATAATAATTGAAAATAAGTTGGTAAATATAAATGTATGTGCTTATTATACATTCACATACAGAGAAGGGATGCTATTTAGCCCTCAAAATAGTGTACTCAAAAGATTTACAGAAAAATGATGGACATCAAATGCATATAAGTTGAGGTCACCCAATTGTTGATTGTTTCACTTTTTGTGGAGGGTGCCACCCAGCTCCAAAATAAACATATGGATTGTTATTTACTTAATTATAAATGCTTAGCATTAACTTGTCTTGTTTCTTGCCAGCTTTCCTTAACTTAAATTATCCCCATCTACCTTTTGTCTCTGGTCCTTTCCTTTTCTTACTTCTATAATCTTACTTTCACTCTTACTCCATGGCTGAGTAGCTGGGTAGCTAGCCCCTGATGTCCTCTGTTGGGCCCCAGCACCCACAGTGTCTCTGTGAGTTGCTTATCAGCCAATAACCGCAGGTGCATCCTGTTTTCTAGTCCTGGCTCACAGTCCCGGCCTTGCCCCACTGGCATCGACATCTAGTTGTGAAAACACCAACTCTTGCACCTGGGGTTTTTCCACTGTGCTGTAAGTCTGTATATAAGACTGCTTCCTCCCTGCAATAAAGACTGACACACACATTTTCTTAGCACAAACGACCGGATGTCTTGTCTTTCATTTAAATGGCCAGACTTTCGCTTGATACATTAGACTTGTTTGTGCACTCCTCCTTCTCTGTCTTTTTTTTTTAAACCCCAATTTCTCCTTCTATTTATTCTTTCCATCTGTCAGCCCCACCTATCCTTGTTTCTGCCTCTCTTATTGGCCATTCAGCTCTTTATTAGACCATCAGGTGTTTTAGACAGGCACAGAACACAGCTTCACAGAGTTAAACAAATGCAACATAAACAAAAGTAATATACTTTAAAATAATATTCTACACATCCCCTTTTTAGTCAAAAAAGATTTTAATTCTAGCAAAGTATAACTACATACAACAAAAACAGTTATCAGGTAAGGTTACATTATATTTCATTATAGTTCATTTATATTTAGGAAATTTAGAGAAAATAATCCATTATCTATCCTATCTTAGTGAGTCCAAAGTTTTATACAAAATTTCTTTATATCATAACTAAGAAAAAACAATGACTATAACTACCTAGTCTTCACCTCCATCAAAGACCCAGAAGGTTGTAATATTATCTAACAACAGAGACATTAGGCTACCTGGACACTCATCCAGAGTTCCCCTGCAATGTTGGGGCATCCACTTTCAGCCTACAGGCCTAAAGTATCTGGCAGACGTTTTATGAAGTAGGAATTTTAGGAATTTTGGACTGTCCTGTCTTATTTTGGCAAAGTTCATTAGTCACTTTCCCTTGTGTCTGGCAGACTCTTCTGTGAATCAGGAATTTTGAAGGACTCTCCTGCTTTGTTTTGACATAGTTCAACAGTTTTTCCTGTGTGTCTTGCATATCTATAAGGGGTTTCTTCAATGATCATCATCTCTGAAGTAAACAGTAGTAGATGTGTGTCATTGTCATGAAAAACCCTGTGTTAACAAAACATTTTAAATACCATATTCTGTGGATATTTGAAGTGTTTGAAGACCATCTAGCTATCCAAAAAATATCTCTATATGATCTTGAAAACATGCCTACCATATCTACAAATCTGATTGTTAGATGACTAATTACTAACCTGTTTCCTGATTATCCTAAATAGTTTATAATAATAGCTTTCAAAAATGAGAATTTTACCTTATATATTTAAATGACCTACATAGGTACAATACCTTAAAAGTAGAAACTATATAGTGTGTTGTAAAAAAGTTATATACAAAAGTCCTTTAAACAAGAGTAGAAACATATACAGTGTAACAAATACAACTTTAAATTTGTATCAATACACCATATTCCCCTAAATGATAACAAACATTCATGACACACCAAATAACCAAATACAATCCCCAAACCACAACGAAATCTTGGGAATGTGGACCTTGTTTTCTCTTCAATACTCGCTCCTGTCTGTGGATGAAGTGTCTTTAGGGTCCCAGAGAGAAAATTTGAGATAATGGCCAAGTCCTGGGAAGACCCACTATAGTCTTTGTTCACAGATATCACCTATCAAGAAAATTCTTTCTGTGACTGTCTATACCCATTTTCTTTTCTTTCTTAAGCCTACGCCATTGTTAAACACACTGGAACCTACTGAGGGGTTTTTCCATCTGTACCTTTTATTATTGCATATCTTTGAGCCTTTTCAACTGCAAGAACAAACTTTAAACTGCTAAGTGGTGTGTCTGGAGCTATGGTGGCTGTCTCCATCCACTTCCTCAGCTGTGAAAGCAAAACCTAAAGCATAGTCAGGTTGGAAATCTGGGACCAAGAACTGTATTCAACCTCCCTAGAGTTCTAGAATGATACTGCTTGCAGTGTGGCAGGCATTTTTACTTAGATTTTTGTTCCTACTTCACATACTGGCTGCTTAAGGGCTCCCCAGCAGGCAGAATCTCTTAAAGGAGCTGTATCCTTTTGTTCAAGCTTTCTCAGGCCCTATGTAAATTTGAGGCCCACGGTGGTATGCCAAAATATTCTTGGTTGTTTTATTCTTTGGGGGGGACCGGCCACCCAGCTCCCAAATAAATAGAGTCTTATTATTTTCTTAAGTATAAATGCTAGGCCTATCTTGGCTTGTTTCTTGCCAGCTTTCCTTTTATTGCCACCTACCTTTGTCTTCTGGGCTTTTACTTTTCTTACTTCTATACTCTTACTTTCACTCTTACTTTGTGGCAAGGTGTGTAGCAGGGTGACTGCCCCCTGCCTTGTCCCTCTCCAGCTCCTTCTTTTTTTCTCCCAGATTTCTCCTTCTATTTATTCTCTCTACCTGCCAGCCCCACCTATATCCTTTCTCCTGCCTCTCTATTGGCTGTTCAGTTCTTTATTAGACCATCAGGTGTTTTAGACAGGCACAGTAACAAAGCTTCACAGAGTTAAACAAGTACAATATAAACAAAAGTAACACACTTTAAAATAATATTCTACAACATTTTCCCTTTTCTGTCAAAAAAGAAAAGCAGATTGGATAATGTAAATCAAGAAAAGCAAGTCAAAACGTGGCCAGGTATAGATAGATAATAATAGGACTCCATGTGTGACTGATTTGAGTGCTGAGGGCTAGGCCTCCCAAAGAGCAAAAATACCATACAACACAAATGTGTATCCATTAAGGTTACTTCCATTCATAAGGAAATCTCCCTCTTGTGTTCTGAGGAAATTACTAGCTAGGTCTGCAAAGACTCAAACAGGACAAAAACATAGACTCACATACACACAGCAAACTGATCTTTGTTCGAGATGCTTGGCTGACCACATTTTTAAAAAACAGAAACTTCAGCTGGGTGTTGGTGGTGCACACCTTTAATCCCAGCACTCGGGAGGCAGAGCCAGGCAGACCTCTGAGTTCGAGGCCAGCCTGGGCTCCAGAGCGAGTGCCAGGATAGGCTCGAAAGCTACACAGAGAAACCCTGCTCCAAAAACTAAAAACAAAACAAAACAACAACAACAACAAAAAAACAGCATCTTCACAGCAGACTTTCTCTGTTATTATCTATGATGGAAATTAAATCTGGAAGCATATTCTCTTTGCTAAGTAATCTGGAGGTTTATTCATGTCTCTGCTTTCTCTAATGTGCATATGACATTTTCATGTTAATAAACTATTTTTAAGAAAACTCAATGATGGAAGGTATGTGATGTATGGTCTTCTAACTTTCTAAACAGCAAAATCAGTTGCCTGCTATACTTCCTTCCTAACTCTAAAATGATGGATTACCAGGAGCAAAACCAGTTGTGATCACTATGGATGTAGGAGGGAGAGAAGGAAATGTGTGTGTGTGTGTGGGGGGGGCATGCCTTATTATTCCATTATTATTGTATGGCAGGGATTAGCCTGTGTAAGTGTTGTCTAGGTAGTAACAGCCACAGTATGTTCAAGCATGAAATGGTACTGACATGTCTAGCAATGTTTCAGTGTTCTAGAAATGTTTCAATATTTCTAATGTCACACTGCAGACATCTACTATATCTGGCTCTGACAGCCTTTCTCCGGCTTTTCCTTCAGGAATTCCTAACTTTGGGCTTTAGGTGTGTGTAGGGAATTTCTTTTACAATGTGTGACACAGGTGTCACTTTTAGATTGGCTAATATTCTTTATATTTTGACTAATTTGCATCTATGTTTATTCATCATCTACAACACAATTAAAATTTTCTGGTGCGTATTGAAGGGTTGCTGACACTGTCAGTATAATGATGAGAACTTGAGTTCAACTAGATTGTGTATTCACTTATTGGAATTAGTTCTAATTAGCATTATATTCTCTCTAGGGCTTATCACCAAGCTAGGCACAAGTATATCACCAAATTAACATCACTTCAGTTACCATCAGTGGAATACACTTTAAATCCAATCAAAAAATGACTGCATACTCTCAGAACTTTCTTGCCGTTATTGCTCTGCGAGCACTGTTGTTTATCTGAAGGACAGCAGCTGCACCTGATACTCTCACTGCCTCACCTGATGACTGGGCTTCTGCAGCTGCTGCGGCCACCTTGCTCCTAAGGCCTTAGACTGGAAGTGCATTCTCTTCCTTTTAACTGAGTTTCTATCCTTTTAGTCTACCAGTAAGAGTTAAGATGCTGGTTGAAAAACCTACTACCTCAGAGAGAAAGAGCTTCCTATATACCAGGGAAATATTACAGGAGCTTAGAAGACTCCACTGGGAAAAACACCAGTAACTATGCCACAGTGCAGATCTTAGATAGGAAACCAATGGACAAATTTATGACATTGTAAAGGTTTCATGGAACATTTATAGTTACAAAAGAGACTTACTAATCAAGGCAAGTTTCAGGCACGCTGCTCGAACAAACTGTTGGGGGTTACTGCAAAGAGAAGTTTCTACTGTTCTGTGATGACATTCTTAGCATTTGTGAGATGTTCATGCTGACATTCCAAAATAATTAACTTAATATTTTCCATTTTGCATTCATTAAAGTTGGATAGGATCTGAATTCTTAACAAAAATTTTGCCACACTTCACACTCTCATGGAGTTTGTAGTCAGAATGAATCATTTGACATGTTTTAAGGATTGAAGAAGTAAACTTTTAAAGACATTTGTAGGATTTCTGTCTTGTAGGAAGTGTATTGTGTTGAGTAAGGATATAAAGATTAGCTAGGTCTTTGCCACATTCATCACACTTTTAGAGACTGTCTTCAGAATGAATTTCGTTTTTTGTTTTCTTTTTTTTAATGTTGTCTAAGAGATGAAGATGAGGAAAACCATGTGTCACACTCCTCACACTTGTAGAATTTCTCTCAAGTATGAACACTCTTGTGTTTCCTAAGGGATGATTGATAATGAAAGGATTTGTGACATTCTTCACACTTGTATGGTTTCTCTCCAGTATGAACTGTCAGATGTTCCTGAAGACTCCTAGAATAGGAAAACTGTTTGCCACATTGTACACACTTATAGGGACTGTCTTCAGAATGGATTGTTTGATGTATTCTAAAGGAAAATGATGAGTAAAAACACCTGCCACACTCTTCACATTTGAAAGGATTCTCTTCACAGTGAATTGTTTGATGTCGTGTAAGGGATGAAAAGAAGAAAAAAGATTTTCCACACTCCTCACACTTGTATGGTTTCTCCCCAGTATGGACTCTCTGATGTTCTTGGAGGTATGTAAAGGAAGAAAACCTTTTACTACACTCTGCACACTTGTAGGACTTGTCTTCAGAATGGATTGTTTGATGTCGTCTAAGGGATGAAAATAAAAAAAAAGATTTTCCCCCCTCCCCCCTCTTGTATTGTTCTTCCCAGTATGGACTCTCTGGTGATCTTGAAGGTATGTAAAGGAGGGAAACCTTTTGCCACACTCTGCACACTTGTGGGACTTGTCTTCAGAATGGATTGTTTGATGTCGTCTAAGGGATGAAGATGTGCAAAAACACTTGCCACACTCTTCACACTTGTAGGCTTTCTCTGCAGTATGAGCTGTCTTGTTCTCACTGAGGAGAGCAGGCTTAGTAAATCCCTTTCCACTCAGTTTACACTGGTAAAGTTTCTCTCCCGTGTGCATTGCCTTGTGGTTCTTAAGGCTTGAGTGACAACGAAAAGCTTTGTGGCATTCTTCACACTTGTAGGGTTTCTCTCCACAATGAATCTTTTGATGTTTCTTCAGAAATGCAGGATCATAAAAAGCTCTGCCACATTCTTCACACTTGTAGGGTTTCTCTCTAGAATGAATTCTTTGATGTTGCTTCAGCATTGAAGGATAGTAAAATGATCTGCCACATTCTTCACACATGTATGTTTTTTCATCAGTATGGTTTTTCTGGTGAATAAAAAGTGATGAGCGTGTATTAAATGCCTTATGACATTCTTTACACGTGTAGCATTTTTCTCCAGTGTGAAGTCTCTGGTGTATAGAAAGTGTTTTAGAAGAACTAAGGGCCTTACCACATTCTTCACACTTGTAGAGTTTCTTCCCTGCATGAATTCTCTTGCGTGGAATACATAGTGACTTATAATCAATAGTCTCATTAGAAATGTTATAATCATTGGGTATTCTTCCTGTTGAGCAAAAGTTGAGATATGAACAAAGGCTAGGAAATATTTTCCATACTTAATGCCTGTCTTTTTTAAAAGGAAACATTTACTCATAGGTATTGAAGCATCAGTGAGAAACTACAATACATTTCAAAACCTATAGGCACTAAACATAATTGATACAATATTGTAGGTAGAAATAATCTATACTTCTACTTGAATAAGAGCACAACCAAATAGAACATAGACATAATGGCATATTATTCGAAGTTTAGTAGCTAAATAAGTTATAGTGGCATTTTACTATCAAAATAAATGAATTAAACAAGAGAGATGTTATACAGCCGGACATTCATGAAATTACAAAGTAACAAATCCCGTAAAGCAGAAAGTTAATTGTGACTCTGAATTTCAGCTGTTATCTAAATACAATATTTTTATCCTCCACATAGAGTTTTATTATGGAAGGTACAACAGATATGCAGTACAAGATGTAGATGGTCCCCTCCCAAAAGTTTAAATTTATAGCTCAAAAATTCAGGACAGTACTTTATGTATTACTTAGAGGATAAGAAAATATATACCTGGAACGTATTTAGTCATGATAATAAAAATGCCAGGTTCAGAGGTTCACCTTCACATTACACAAATTTTGCTGAGACAACATATTTGTCAGTTAATAGATGAAAAAATGACTTGTTTCCTTTTTTTGCTTTCTTTTTCAAGACACGGTTTCTATGTTTAGACCTTGCTGTCCAAAATTCATTATCTAAACTATGCTGGCTCAAACTTAGAGGTCCATCTTCCTGTCTCCCAATTGCTGGAATCAATGGTGTAGATCATCATGGTTGCTCAATAAAATTGTGTATTTCTAAGCTTTACTCATTCACATGATTAAACAGCTATTGATGCCTGCATGGAGGGAGACTACATACACGTTTTGATAACCGGAGACTTGTGTTGACACACGAAGTAGAAATTCACAGAGCGGAGGTTGTAGATATTTTGTAATCTTACTTTATCATTGTGTTCTATCTATCCACCAAAATATATAGGGAATGCATATCAAATGATTATGAGTTATACACAACTCCAAAATAACACCAAATCACAACATAAAGAAAAAAGTTTGAACCCATAAAATTTTGAAGAGTTACTGGTGAGCTATTAAGTGCATACTCCTCCTGACAAACAGTTTTAATCTTTGAATATATATCCAAAAGGGGATGCATTTTACATCCTTATTACTGAGTGTGTGATGAAGAAAAGCTTTAGAAGATAATTTTCATCAAAGACAAAGAACTCTGATGGGTTCACTTTTGTCAACATGAGGAGGATGCACCAACATTGTGTGGTAACCTTGGGTAACCAACTGTCCAGGCAGCCAGCTGTTTCTGTCATTGCTCACATTTTTTGGAAGTCGCTTGCTTGTACTTCCTGTTTATGCTGGTAATATTATTTCCTTCTCAAATCTCTGATGGAGTTGAAGACTTTATAATTTTCCTTGATACCAGATTCAGAAAAGAAATTCACTAAAGAAGTGTACATGTATAGGGTTGAGAGACAGTAAAAATAGTTTTGGCCAGGCAGTGGTGGTGGTGTACACCTTTAATCCCAGCACTCAGGAGGCACAGGCAGGAGGATCTCTGTGAGTTAGAGACAAGCCTGGCCTATAGAGCAAGTTCCAGGACAGCCTCCAAAGCCACAGAGAAACCCTGTCTCGAAAATCAAGAAAAAAAAAAAAAAAAAAAAAAAAAAAAAAAAAGACAGTTTTGGTAATGCAAGCTAGAATAGAAGGTGAATTGGGTACATCATTTTGTTGTCACCAAGATAGGATAGATAATAGAGTCTTTTCTCTGACTTTGTCAATTGTTTATGGACTAGACACTGTTGATGTAATTATTGCCTGTATATAATGTATATACTAATTATATATAGTTTTTCTTATATTATTTATTTCCTTTTTTATTTTAGACAAAGACAGGGAACTCTGGTGACACTGTGCTCTTACAAATCAAGCCTGCCAAAGATCAGAGAGCAGAGCTAGCCACTAGTTAACCATAGGGACCAGGCAGTGGTGGCTTACACCTTTAATCCTAACACTTGGGAGGAAGAAACAGTTAGTGATAAGGCAGGTAGAGGGGGGGCTAGGATCTTTTTGATGTGAGGATTTGGCAGAAGTAAGAAGTCTTTCTAGTGGCTGACTCCTTTACTTCTCTGATCTTTCAGCACTTATCTGACTCTGGGTTTTTATTATTAAGACCAATTAGAATTCTGGCTACATGTCCTTGCCTCAATGGATGACAGTATACCTATCCAAACTAGACCAGCAGGACACAAAAGAAAGTGACTTCCAAATTCTGCCAAAGGAAGATAGGACAGTCCTTCAAAATTCCTTGCTTCTCAAAAATGTCTGCCAGATATTCTAGGCCTGTAATTCAAAGATGGATGCCCCAAAGTTTTTTTGTTTGTTTGTTTTTGTTTTTATTTCATGTACACTGGTGGGTTTTGTTTGTTTGTTTGTTTTTTGAGTTTTTTTTTTTCTTTTTTGCCTGAATGTGGGTCCATATGAAGGTGTTGGATCCCTGGAACCGGAGTCACAGATACTTGTGAGCTGCCATGTGGGTGCTGGGAATTGGACACAGGCCCTCTGGAAGAACAGCCAGTGCTCCCAACCACTAAGCCGTCTCTCCAGCCCCAACAATGTGCTTTTAAAAGTTCTTGGGTCTTCTTTTTTTTTAAAGATTTATTTATTTTTATATATACAGTGTTCTGTCTGCAGGCCAGAAGAGGGCAACAAATCTCATTACAGATGGTTGTGAGCCACATTGTGATTGCTGGGGATTGAACTCTGGACCTCTGGAAGAGGAGCCAATGCTCTTAACTGTTGAGTCACCTTTCCAGCCCTTATAGGGCCTTTGATAGAGTGAAAGAATATATAAGTATATATAAGAATATATAAGAATATTAAAGTTTTCCTTAGGTGTGATAAAAGGTAAATTAGATATAAAACTTTTTTGACTCATGAAGATAAAATCGATAATAAAAATATTTTCTCTCAATTTGGAAAATACAAACGAACAGGATCTTGTAACCATAATGCTTCCTTGGCAACTGATTTGATATATATATACTTTCACTACATTAAAATTTTCCTTTTTCATTAGAGAAGAATTGGGGAAAGCTGTGGAATAACCCTTCTGCACACTGTGAAGATGTGTTGCTTTCATTGTTAATAAAGAGCAGAGAGAAACAAGATGATCATGATGCGTTGAAAGTACAACCACATGGTAGAGAGTAGATCAGAAATACGGGTCCATTTGAAATGGAAGAACTAGCTAAAAGCTGGGCATTGGTAGTGTATACCTTTAATCTCAGAACTCGGGAGGCACAGGCAGGCGGATCTCTGTGAATTCAGGCCAGCCTGGTCTACTGAATGAGTGCCAGACCAGGCTCCAAAGCTACAGAGAAACCTTGTCTTGAAAAACAAAAGAAAACCAAATAAAGAAAACAAAACAAGAAAAGAACTAGGTACAAACTAGCCTAAGCTATTGGCCAAGCATTAATATGAAGACTCCGTTTGGATAATTTTAGAGTGGCTGCCAGGATAGGAAAACTCCACCTAAATATGGCATTCCAAGGTGGTGCAACTCCATCCACATCAAACCTGAGAAAGCTTTAAATATTTCTAAACACAAAAAATGGAGTCAAAGGCAGCTTCCGGGTCTCATGTTTCTCATGTGGTCTGCAGGTCAGAGACTTGTGTCCTGGCAGCTGCCTGGTATCACCAGAGTGCTGCACGGAGGGTTTGGAATTTTGCTCATACAGACAGAAAGTTATAGATGTTCAGTAAACACCCATCCAGATGCAAAAAAGGGTCCACAAGATCTCTTCCTCCAATTGGACTCATGGTCATATTAGCCATAATGCTTCCTATAGGACTAGCCACAGTGGCTACCTTGACTAGATCTGAAACAAAATATTTTAGTAGATCCAATGTATCTGGAAACATAGGGTTTATACCTAAAATTTTATAATTTCTCTAACAAGTTGAGACCAGAAATATATCCATATAACAGTTAGACCTAATGTGTGATAAATATATTAACTTGAAAAAAAAAAAAAAAAACCAAAATCCAAAGACCATGGAGCCTTACACTCAATGAAAGACCTAACTCTACTAACTGCATGAAAGAGATGCACACATAGCTGTACCCATATCTGGTTTGATGGGTATCCTTGAATCAAGAGTGTAAAACCTTGTAAGTCATCCTATGCTACTCTTCCTAGGTCTAATGGTCATGCCCTACCGAAACAACTGGTGGTAAAAGTTTTGAAAAAATAAACAACCTCTGTTAAATTGGTGTACTTAAGGGCCCAATAAAAACCCCTTCTACAATGTGTTAATCCTTGGAATCTTCCCTAAGATCAGTGGGGAATGAACTATCCAAAGTGACTCCAGTTTGTCTGAATTGCATCCAGCTGCTCCCCACCTCCAAATTGTTCTGACCATCAGAACTCAAACTGTTGAGCCTCTGTCATGCCTGTGTCTCTGTGATGCAATTGATGTAGAGAACCTCCTGGCATGACTCTGCTATCAACCTCTGCAAAGAAATGATGAAATGACGCTCAGTCTGACCAGCACCTAGTTCTCTTTCCCTGAGACTTACACTACAGTGGAGGCTCAACAAAAAGAAAAACCTTGGAAGTAACCATAAATAAAACACAGCTCGATGTTGGAGAAATAAGAAGCTAGAGAGACTTAAGCCATCATAAACTTTTGAGAGATGTGCTTTGACAAGAAAGACATGAAGAGAGACCTAAAGAATGATTCCCATAGAATCGTGTTTCTAGGCACATGGGAAAGTCTGCCTTTCTGTGGGATATTTGGACCTAATGTTGCCCCTGACCCCTCATTTCTACACACCTGGGTGCACGGTGGCTGCTGCTTGTCTCTTCACTCCTGAAGACTCTTGTCTTTGCTCCAGAAATGTCACCAGGTGTGGCTTAGGGACAGCAAGACCTGTTTGTAGAAAAGGGAATATTATTGGTTGAGTGAGTGTTCTTCTACTGGGAATTGACACATCCCTTCCAGTGCATGGCGCCTAAGGAAAGAGATGATGTAAGAAATGACTGCAGACAATCAGTTCTGCAAATGTTTTCTGTCACGATCACTACATTACATAAGGGAATTTACAGCATCCAGATTCTGAGTTTTATTTAAAGGGAGAAAACATGAAAACTGAATTGTTAAACACTTTCATTAACAACTGTCTTCCAAGACTCATGCCACTAAATTTCTTTTCTTTCTTTCTTTTTTTCTTTGTTCTTTTGTTTTTTTGTTTTGTTTTGTTTTGTTTTGTTTTTTTGAGACAAGGTTTCTCTGTGGGTTTGGACCTGGAACTCACTGTATAGACCAGGCTGTTCTCAAACACACAGAGATATGCCTGTCTGTGCCTCCCTAGTGCTGGGATTAAAAGTGTGTGTCACCAACGACCAGCTGCCACTGAATTTCTAACAGTCTCACTAGAGTGAAGGAAGCATACATGCAACACAGAAAGGTTAAACACAAAAAGAGAAAAGAGTGAAATGATTCTTTAATAATGTATTTCATTTTTTATGTGCTCTGGTGCTTTGCCTGCATGTATGTCTGTGTGAGGGTGTCAGATTTTAGAATTACAGACAGTTGTAAAGTGCCATGGGTCATGGGAATTGAACCCTCATCCTCTAGAAAGGCAGTCAGTGCTCTTAAACACTGAGCCATCTCTCCAACACTGAAATGATTCTTAATATAGACATATCCCTATTTTGTCTGAAAACGAAGGATATGAGACTCACTGTTGAAATGTTCCCATGATACCATACAAATCGAGTAAGCAACATGTTGATTGTGAAATAAGAATTCACTGTGGATGAGATCCTCACCCAGGAATAGAAGGTTGCTGTAATTCTCCAACATCACATCCCTGTACAGACTCCACTGAGCAGGATCTAGGCATTCCCTCTCTTCTGGAGAGAACTCAATGGCCACATCCCAGAAGGACAGCATATCCTGAAACAAAGACCAATGGAGGATAACAGACTTTAATTAAACCATTAATGATATAAATACCAAGTTACATTGGGCTGGATAGTTCTCCTGTCAACTTGACATTAGCTAGGGTCATTTGAGAAGAAAGGAAGATAATAGAGAAAATGATTACCTAAGACTGTCCTGTACCCAAGCCTAGAGGGCATTTTTTAAATTAGCGATTGATATGAGATACCACAGTCCACTATGGGTGGTACCCACCCTGTTCAGGCGATTCTATATGGCATAGAAAAGCAGGCTGGGCAAGTCAGTAAGCAGTGTTCTTCTGTGGCCTCTGCTCCAGCTCTTGCCTCAAGTTACAGCCTTGACTTCCCTCAGGGATGGACATTTACCTGAAATTGCAGTCTATAACAAACTCCTTCTCCAAGCTGTCTTTCTTCAAGGTCTTTATCACAGCAATAGAAACCCTAACACAGGCATCATGTGTTTATGGATACAAATCTAGATTTTGCCCATCATGAAAGAGAGCTAGCAATTTTTCTTACATAGTTGAGTAATATTCCTCAGACATATCCGAAATGGTCACATGATCTCACACTGTATCCATCCTCAAGGGAAGACAGGTAAAAGATCCTATAAGCCCAGTTAGATGAGATTCATTTAAGACAGACAAAATGTAAAATGAATGCATTCACGGAACTTACATTTATTGCCATGTCCCCCTATACACCACACACAAATAGATCTGTCACAGGAGAAAGTCATGGGGAGGGAGGAGGAATTTCTCAGCAGTTAATGCTCAGAATCATGAATATGAGGTGAAATGAAAATAGAGTCTGATGCAGCAGGTCAGGCTGTCATCTGGGTTTCAGGATTTCTACAGAGTTCAGTAATGATGCAAAGGATAGTGACAAGGGCCATGAGAAGGAGCAGGCCAGAGTAAGAACTCACAGACTAAATATCATTTAAGTATCTGGTCATGTGACAAAATAGTCAATCATGGGACTAACAACACTTTGAGAATTTAAAATAGAATACACATCACTTGATCCTTTTTTTATCACTTGATCTTTTTGCCATTTTCCCTTTCCATCATTTCCCTGACAGGTATTGATGGAGGTTTGTGGTATTCCTAAAGCATATCATGTCCACACATGACACCTGTGCATCAGTGCTGTAGCTGAGAAATATGACCGCTGATGCTATTTTCTTCTTAACAAATTTGCTAATTTTAGAATTTATGTTTTTCATATTTTATTGAGTAAAGTCCCAGAGTGGACTATGGGAATAGCCACACCTCATTTTTCCTTTTTATCAATAAATGAAATATCAGCAATTTATGTAGTAATGAGGTATTTTGCAATAATTTCATGGTAAGGCATTAGACATTCTTAGTTATGGCATGGTGTTGTGGAATATTATTTAAAGGTGTGTTACATTTGTTTATGCTGAGGAACATCTGTTTAATGATGCAAAGATGTGTTGCATTCTTTTATGTTGCTTTTGTTTAACTCTGTGAGGCTGTGATTTTTTTGCCTGTCTAAAACACCTGATGGTTCAATAAAGAGCTGAAAGGCCTATATCGAGTCATGGGAAAGTACAGGCGGGGATGGGAGGCAGAAAGACTAGGAGAAAAAGGAAAAGAGCATTAGGAGAGGAGAATCTAGGGGCCAGACACCCAACCAGCCATGGGATAAGAGTGGAAAGTAAGATATACATAAGTAAGAGAAAGGTAAAAGCCCAGAGGCAAAGGTAGCTGGAATAATTTAAGAAAAGATGGCTACAACAAGCCAAGTTAAAACCGAGCATTTATAAGTAATAATAAGCTTTCCTGTGATTTATTTGAAAGCTGGGTAACATTCCCCCGCCCCCCCAAAAGCTAAAGAGACGACAGAGTAAAAAGAGCAAAATGATCCTCAAACACAATCTTCCAGGCTTCTGAAATGTACCCTACATAATGCTTACATACATTCAGCACTTAGGACAAAAATACCGGGGGCTTCACCTTCCTATCACACTGTGATAGAAAGCTTCATTATTCAGGAAGTGTAGCGGCATTTTTTTTTGGGCCTCCAACCAGCTCCAAAATAATGAGATGGAGACTTATTAATTATGAAAGCTTGGCTTTTCACCTTATGCTTGTCCCACCAGCTCTTATAACTTAAATTAACCTGTTTCTATTTTTCCTATGTTTTGCCTCCGTGCTTTTACTTTTCTTTCATTTTCTATGTCCTGCTTTCTCTGCGCCTGCTAGCTGGAACCTGGAGTCTTCCCCTGTCTGTGTAGCCTAGATTCCTCCTCTTACTCTCTCTGCTAGGAAGTCCCTCCTACATGTCCTGCCTAGCTGTTGGCCATTTAGCTTTTTTTTATACCAATCTGGTCCTTAAGCAGGCAAGGCAAACAAATGCAAGACATCTTCATATAGTTGAACAAATATTCCATAAACAAATGCAAAATCTCTTTACATAGTTGAACTAATATTCAAAAATAAGGAAGTCTCCAAGTGTTGGCTCTCTGAGGACACTGATCAATGAAAGAAACCATTACATCTCCAACTTCTGTGCCTTACAATTCTTTATGCTTAACATCTCTCTCTTGCATGAGTTACAATTCATTAAATTTAACATATTGATGAGATCATGTGTTACCTTTATCTGTGTGAAATAACTTCCAGTTTCACCAATATTGTCACAATAGGCAAAAGTGTATTTATTCTCTGAAAAATTATTGAATTAAAATATGGCATTTCCCCCTCTATCTCCTCATTGCAACTTCTCTCATATCACCCAACAGACTGTCTCAAAAAGATGCTGTATTCTCCTCTAATTATTATTGTTACATACACAGCACGTAACGGTTTATATCTGCATGTAACTATATAAATATGGCCAATTCTGTTCAGGTTTGCTTGTGTGTGCACTTTGAGAACTGACCACTGGTTCCTGGATGAACAGTGAGTGGGATCACTCCTGGGGAAGACTAATTCTTCCTCTCTAAGCAGTTCATAGGTGCCTGTACTTCTTAGTTTAGCCATCAAATTGTCCCCTGCAGGGGATCTTGTGCCACTGTCATTGTTCAGGGCTTGCTCAGGCAGTCATATAGTTGGGGTATCATGGTTGCAGCTTCCCTTCACTTTCTAGAAGGCTTAAAATCACAGCAGACTTCCTGGACACCTAACTCTCATAATCAATTACCCTCCCCCCCCCACACACACATTCGCTGAGCCTTACGTGCAGGAATTGTGGTACAGTGTTTCTTTTGGCTCAAGGCACTACAAGGTAAGAGTTCTCTGCACTTTGTAAATTTTAGTATTCTGCAATGCTCTCTTTGCTGCAGCAAGAAGCGCCTTTGATGAGAAGTGACAGCTCCACTTCAGTGTAAGTCTAAGGAAAAGACTCTGGAATTCAGTTAGGAATTAATATGGGTTAGTGGTCTTGGTATGTTCTCCTCTACGATTCCAGACCTAACAGTCACCAGAGGCAGCTCCCAGGCATTATGTATGTCTGCCCATCCCCTTGAAGTCCCATTAGACAGCTGCTGCTAAGGTGAAGATATGACAGGCAGTGCGGCACCTCTAGAGGTATCATACCATAATGGTCATTGTGTGGTCCATGGGCATAACAGCTAAACAGGACTATTTATTGCTTCTCCCTTGAGCTTGCAAAGCACTTTCCAGCATGAAGCAAACTCACCCTAAGGCAGGAGACCTTCAGGGCAGATCCAGCTCCAATCCCCTGAGTCCTGTGTCTGAAGGGCATGGTGTTTTCACCACTGGGACGGGGAGCTTACCATCACATGACTTTTGGGACAACTGGGATATATCCTCTGCAAAGAAAGGCTACACAGAAAAATGTCTTTTGGTACAGGACAGAGTTGAGCAGCAATGAGGAGAAACAGGCAGGATGTAGCATTTTCGTGAATACAGCACCCTGTAATTTCTCAAGAGAAACTGAACAGTTTTGGAAGCTTCTTTATAGCTAATATAGGATGTTACCACTTTTAGAAGTGAGAAAAACAGATTCCACTCTTTTTTAACCAGGGCTGTGCTTCCCAACATGGGGGTCACGACCCTTGGGAAAACCTTCACCTCCAAAAGTACTTACATTAAAACAAATAACCTTAAAATTACAGTTATGAGGTAGCAAGGAAAGGGATTTTATGGTTGGAGATCACCACTATATGAGGAGCTGTATTAAAGGATCTCAACATTAGAAAAGGTAAGACTGCAGAATTAGGGGTCACTAAGAAGAGGGAAAGTTACCAGCATGGAGAAGGGCAAGGGCCCAGAGAAGATGAAGACAGAAACATTAACCTCTGAGAGAACTTGAGCAGGTCCCCAAAGCAGAATTAACTGTAAGGATCGCTCCCCATACTGCCCAGCACAGCATACCACCAGTCTACATGGGGAAGTGCCTGCTATCCTGGGGCCAATCTCCTGTGGGACACTGTTGCTGCAGGGCAGTACACCTGTAGACAGGGTATCATTTCAGAGAGAATTTCCCTAATACTATTAATGGCAAGCATTTCAGGGGAATTTGAAACTGGCAAAATGTATTTTATATGAAGACAAAATGCAAATACTGTCTAGGACAACAGGGGGCACATTGCCATTCATTAAAAATTGCTACATATTCTTACTATAACTGGGAGGTGGATATAGTACTCCACTTGAATAGAGGCTTGTTCTAGAGGGAAGCCTATAACAACAGAATAGACAGAGTAGATGCAAAATAAGAGCTCCAGCATCTCCTGTTGTTGGCACTCAGAGATAATCTTTTCAGAGTCAGACAAAACTGAAGACTAGCAGGTCATTGGTGAGAAGTCAAAATGATATGCAAAGTGAGTGCTAGATTCCTGGTCAGGATCTGAACAGTAGTGACCCTCCATTCAAAACAGACAATGTCCTGATTACATAACATAGTGCTTAAAATATGATGGCAGGCATCATGAAGTAACAACTCCTAGATCTTTGTCCCAGGGCTTTATTCACATAACGGTGGCATGAGATAATCACCAATTTTTGCTTCAAACCACCAAGTTTTTCAATTTTATGGCCTAGAAAAGAGATGAAACCATGAAAAAATGGGAGACCAAATACAATATCTTCATGGAAACATGAATTATATAATATAATTTCAGTTTCAAAATCAATATCACATGCTTTGCTCTACAGATTCAAAGCCTAGATGTGCTTGTGGATTTTAATAGTCTACATATTGTTTCTGAGTCTTCTTAAAGCAACAGTGCATCCAATACAGATTTGGGACATGCACTCTTACGGGTCTGACTTAATTTCATATACACACTGCAAAGAAGAGTCAATGCAATGCAGATTTGAAAGAGTTGGCCATGCAACTACTAACACCTTTCAACTCAAAATATGACACTGCATTTTATAATGACTATGGAAGACATTATGGCAGACACTTTTATAACCAGAGTTGACAATGTAATGAAAATCTGTGCTGTCCAGGTTTATTACTGGCATGTGTTTGACCCCTGCTCAAATTTTTGAAATGTCTCTCCATGGCCTCTGACATAATCATAAGGATTGGTCAGCAGGATCTGAATGTCTTCACCCTCCTCCCCTTCCCCTCCAGAGCTTTCCAGAGATGACATGTCTAACACAGCAAGGTTCATGCATGAGGAAAGAGAGAAGACTGTGAACAAGGGGACCTGGATGCCACCTGTGGAAGAGCAGGAATCCAGATAGGGCAGGGCCCGGGGTGAAGGACGTGGAGGGAGTAGTTTTGTCCTGGCTAACTGTAAGAAGCATCTGCTCACAGTGGAACCTCTGGTGTAAGAACAGGGGAAGGCATCCCAGCTGTAGCAGCAGAAAAAGAGCTAGGAATGTAACCACAGTAGCCGCATCGGTCAAGAACTGCAGAATGGAAACGAAGAAATAATGGAGTCTCGGATTAGAGAGGAAGGAGCAAAGTGGGAGAAATCGGGAAAACCAGAAGAAATCTGCATCAGGCCATGATGGTAACTAACAGATTATATCCAAAAAGAATGAATATTCATTACAAAATGGGAGATGTATTCAAGCAAGGCACGGAAAATGGTTCCTTATACAGTAAATGCAAATAACTGTGCTATCACCAAAATTTAATGTCTTTAAAAAAAATATATTAGTGACAAAGTACAAATTACATGCGGAATGTGTTACCAGAAGTTAAGCACATGTAGTTCTTAAGTTCTTAAGTGCTGATTGCATGGATCTGTCATGGTGCTCACAGTAAGAAACATGAAATGAACCACAGAAAGTATTTATTACATCCATGAAGTATGCCCAAGTGATTTCTGTCACACACTCAGGCAGCCTAGGCCTTCAATATGAAGCAGGGGAGGACCAGAGAGAGGGTCCTGCCTCCCCCTCACAATTGCAGAGATGACAGGGATGTGCATAGAGTAGACTGAAGTTTCTTTTCTGTCACAGGTTTGTTTATTTTAAATCACAGGAACACACACAAGTCTGTGAGTTCTCCTCACCCTGCTGACCGGACACAACAGCCTGGCACCGTAAAACAAGGCCATGTGAGCTTTTCAACTGTTCCTAGGGACCCTGCTTCTGGACTAGCTCCCCAACTCAAGGACAGAACAAGAGATGTTGACTCAGCCATTGTGGTCCACCCTACATTAGAAATGGTGGTCTTCTCAAAGGTTAATACAACCCAGCACTAAAGGTGAGGTGTGGAGTCAGCTTCTCCAGTCCCTTCTTCCTGCTGAGGGTCCCTTTGTGTATGGGCTGCATGTGTGTTCTCTCACCCATGGTCAAAGCTTTTCTAAAGCAGCTGACTCTGGCAGATCTGTCTGCTGTCTTCCAGAATTTCCCACCTGAGACCTTTGCTGTGCCTCACATTCTTCCTCTCTTAATTCTTTAATGGGCAGAGAAAATGAACACAACCAAGACATCAAGACCCTTATACTAGGCAGGATAAGGTACAGGAGGGGTCAGAAACCCCGTTTGCTCTAAGACACGGAGAAATCTGACAGCAGCCATGTGAGAATGGCTCAACTAGTGAAGCCTGCTTCCCCACCAAAGCTGCTCACTGAGCTCCCAGCTCCACCTCAGGAGCAGGCAATCAGCTGACCACCACTAGCTTGCAATCCTGGTCACCTCAGCTGACCATCACTAGCTTGCAGTCCTGGACCTTGCGTTATCATCTACTCCCAGGCAGCTCTCCTGTCCCAGAAGCTCAAGGCGGACTCGGGCTGCACGTCCTAAGGAAACCATCTCTCAGGGCACAGTCCCATCGCCCTCTCCCAGCCCTGACCTGCAAACTTCCGTGTCCCAGCCAGTTCAGCCCAGCACCTCCCAGGCAGTTTCTCTTCCCTCCCCCCAGCTCAGGTCCGCTCCCTCCAAGACGGAACCCGCACCCCGCAAAGAGCCTCAGGCTGCGCTGCACCCTGGACCAACCTCCAAGTCAGAGAACGCAGCAGGAGACGCAGCAGGACTCGCGCCCAACTTTGGGGAAAAACATGCAGTAGTACAGGGAAGACGTAAAAGAATTTCCTGGACGGCTCCCTCTGATGTCACAGTCGCATGAACTACATTTCCCAGAAGTCTGTGCGAAAGAATTCCGGTAAACTGGGTAGGGAGAATTCTAACATTCTGGATTTGTGTCTCACTGTCTGCAGTAGATACCAGAGGAAGGAGCAGAGTCAGCATTACAGCCGTGGGCAATGAGGCTGGTGTTCCCCTCCTGAACCACAATACGAGATTATGTTGAGTCACGCCATTGACAGAAATATTAGCCTTGTAAGTTTTCTGGTCCACATAATGTGATTTTAATCTCAAAAGGGCGATTAAAAATCACCTTGACTCGGTTTTACTTTAAATAACGAAGTAATACACTAATGTGGGAATGAGAAGTGTCTCTTAAAGATGATTTTGAAGCCAGCCATGGTGTTTCTAACCGTGCTCCTAGCTGCTTCTCGGTTGTGTGACAAATGGACCCAGAATGAAAAGCTGGACTGGAAAATTCAAAGAGAACTTGTATCTAAGTAAAAAAGAAAAGTCAAAACAAAACAGACAGATGAAAGCAGTTTAGTATAATGTAGGCTTTGTCTTACTAGGTAGTCCTACATATACATGCATGCATGCATACATACATACCCCTTGCTGTCTGTACTGACACAATGTAACCCATGCATGGATCTGACTCCACAGCTTGTAAAACAGTTGTGTGTGAACACTGGAATCCTATGTAGAGGATTTTTAGGGATAAAGAGATGGTATAATCATTCTCACATTTGCTTGCAAAGATCTCCCATAATCCATCTTGGGATTTTTCCATGTGTTCTGTCCCTTGAAAACTCAACTGTACTCTATATAAGCAATTTAATTGTGAGAGCTCTACTAGAATTTTACCAGTGTCTCCATGGTTGTTCACAAACTCAGGTCCACATTCACCACCAGGTGAGCTAGGAACTCATGCTTACCTCCCAAGAGACCCTGGTCCTGGATCACAGACTTAGGACTGAAGCACAGATAGCCCCAGTGTAGTGTTTTCCAAATTTCTGACATGATTATATGGTGAGGTTTCAATTCCACTTAGCTATCACCTGCATGTTCCATGAAGTGTGACTACACCGGGGACTGTTAGGAGGGTCACTGAACATGTGACTAGTGATGTGATTAAGTGGTTCTCTCTGACAGTGTTGCAAAGCTCCATGTTGACCTACACATTGCTGAACCTGAAGAAACTTTCCTAAAACTGGAGTTTTGTGCATGAAGTCCCTACAGAGGGCTGTCACCTTTCAAATGAAATTGCACTTCCACAAGATAGACTTCCATGGATGTCCTCTTGGTTCAGAGCAAATCAATGTGGGCTCCATACAAAGTGCCAGGATTCCCCAACTGTAGTTAATCTCTCTGAGAATTACAGCTCATTTCACATTTCCTGTAACTTTAAAGTCACTGAATATAGCACCTGTTGGCATTCAGGCCTGCCTGGCCTGCTTCCCTTGGCGATCTAATAGTTTGTTACCCCTGCAAACATACCCTGCAAGCACCAGTTCCCTTGCCTGCTCTGTGGTCTCTCTGCACATGTCCTCTGCGCCTCCCTTTTAAAGGTAGAGCTCCACCAGCTTTTTCTCGTCTCTTTCTCATTCCCTTTCCCTAATAATGAAACCCTCCCCGTGAGCCCTGTTATATAGCCTGACTCCTTCCCACTGTTGTTTTGTTTTGTTTTTTTTAATTAACAGCACCTATAGGTCCATACAATTGAGTGCTTGTGCCCCTGCTGGAAGGAACTATATTTGAATGATTAGAGGGTTTGTAGTGTATCCCTGCAGGCGGGCTTTGATGTTACAGAATCCTACTCATTACCTGTCTCCTATTGGGAATCAAGTTATAAGCTCTCTGCTCCTGTTTGAGGATCATGCCTGCCTACCTGAAGCTATGCTGTCTATCACAGGACTTTTACACAGTGAAACCATGAGCAACAGATAAGTCATGTGTTCTCTCACAGCAATCAAAAAGACACTCTATTCTGTGGTTTTCCAATGGAGAAGAGAAAGAGTGTCTACTCATCTCAGGTTTGTGTCTAATTATAGACATAGCAAAGATTCCACTAAAGTCCCTGTCTTCATGAGTTAGTGAGTTTACTACTGGGATTGCCAACAGGAGTGTGGTTGAGGGATTAGAGCAGAAACACACACAATTCAATGCAGTGACATCAACAGTACCAAAAATCTGAGGGACTCTGGTTAAAATGTTGCATTCCTTCAGCTCAGTGTATGGCTTGCAGGGAGCTCCACTGATGAGGCAGTGTCTTCCCCTATAGTCCTTACTGTCTAGGTAGCTGTCAGCAGTGAGGGTTCTGGGAGTCTTGAAAATGTCTAGGAATTCCCCATGCCCATCACATGCTTAGTTCCTAAGGTTAGTGAGGGCCCCACCAGAATGGGATGTTTCCCTTGAATGGAAATTGTTGTTGGTCAAATCCCAAGCTACTTGATGAGTGAGGGAGCAATGAATACTAGGGAGCAATGCATGGTTCTCTTCAGCACTGTGGACTGTCAGGGGCTTACTCCCAAAGTATGGAGGCACACATGTTGAGAGAGAGTCTTCTGGCCTCAATAATCACCACAGAAGTCTCCTTAGAGACTTTACCAGAAGTGTTTTCTTCTGGGTAACTGGAGATCTCATTAAGTGAAAAACATCCATGCATTTTGGATAACTGAGTTTGAAAGTCATCTACATTGTGGTGATCTCATCAGACACAGGTGAGGTGATCTCATCAGTCACTGAGCTAGAGATGTACTTATCTTCCTTATCATTCCTGGGAACATGGCCTTTCCATGTATCTGAAGGATAGGAGTCTGTATATTCCCAAGAGATCAATTTGGACAGGAGGTAGTACTTTAATGAATAAGGTCCCTCTTGTCCTGACTCCATTTATGTTTCCTTGAACACTTCTCAGCCCTCTAAACTTCTCCCATATTTATTTGGATTCTGCCATTTATTGACCATGTCTTCATGCCTGTGGGACAAGCAATTTTCCATATCAGCCTTTGTCTTTCTCTGGTCATCTTGTTTGCAGTTTTATTTGTGCATTCTCTACATTGTTTATCCTCTTACTTCAGTAGCCTCAGTATTGTTTCTCACTTTCTGCCATATCATTCATTTCTTGGTGAAATTCTCTCCGTTTGGGTATCTGTGTATGTATCGCTGTTATACATGAGGCTGTAACTTGACATGTAGTCCTGTAAACATCATGTCAGCGTCTGCTTTGTGTAAAGACAAAACAATCATTACCGTAGCCATACATAAGAGACCAGCCTATCAAAAATTTAGGGACACAAACGGGTCACATGACAATCCTTCCTTTTCATTGTGTAAGGTAACTTAGTGGGTGTAGGGGAAGTCCAGGTGTTCATTAACTTGTTCTAACTCCCAGTATACTTACAGTGGCACTAGTTGTCTCTTTCAGTTGCCATGCTCACTCAGAACGTGCTGTATCTTCTCTTACAAATCATCTTCCAGGTTCAGATGAAAGCAAAACTGTTCCAAACTTACAAAATATTTGTCCAGCCCATGACCTAGTGGCCTTTTCAGTTTTAGCACACTTGACACTCTCCCAAAACTCACTATCTTTCATATTATCCTGCTAGCAGCTCCTATTGCTGAAAACTTCCCAGTATGCAATTACATGTCTCATATATTGATGAGTTCACTTTGATGAATCTTTGTTAAGTCTTCAGTTACCTTAAAGGAACCTAATACAAGATAACAATGAGAGTGTAAACTGGGTTTCTTGGTTGTGCTCACATCCTGAGGTGAGGGAGGCCAGAAAGGACAGCCTGTGGTGGCTGCAGGGGCTCCTGAGCTGGGGCTGCCATATGGCAGTAGGGGAGCATCCACTCTGCACCTCTTTACCCTTCTGAAACTCCAGGTATCCAGTAGCCTAACTAGCCAGGGAAGCCAGACCCCAACTCACAGTTGCTCTGTGGTGTGGAGTCACTTTTACTATGCTGGAGGTTCCCTGAGCTGAGTGGCTCTCAAGTTAGAGAAGTCATAGTGGTTCCTACTGCCAGGTCTTTCTAATAGGTCTCTAAGCCTGCTTCCTATAAACAGACTTTATCTTTCATGGCATGGACTAATTAATTATGTAACATGAGCCTTAGATTAGGCTTGTTTCTAACTAGCTTATAACTTAAATTAACCCATTAAATCTATGTTCTTCGATGTGCTCATTACCTTATCTCCATTATGCCCATCTTGGTTATTCCTGGTGTGGCTGGTGACTCTGCCTTTCTGCCAAAAATTCTGCCTATACCTCCTGCCTAGCTATTGACCATTTAGCTCTGTATCAAATCAATCTCAGCGACCCATCTTCACTCAGTGTAACGTAACAGTCCACATTTACTCCCCCCCTTTTTTTTGTCCAAAAAAGAGGTTTTAACTCTAACACAATAAACTCTACACAATAAGAACAATTATCCTGTAAGGATTACATTTACAATGTCCAATCTGTTTGCATTTGGCAAATTTAGAGAAGATACTACATTATCTATCCTATCTTAATCCCAAGTATTACCTCTAAACTGTTATTAACTAGTATTACCACCCTAAAAATACCTGTTTAGACTTAAAACATCTTTTGAGAAAAGCTACGTAAGTTTTTGTTTCTCAACCTTACAAATTTACATCTTATGTAATTATGTAAATTTATGTTTTTTTTTTTTTTTTTTTTTTTTTTTTTTTTTTTTTTAGTTTGGTAACAAGGAACTACAGTTTGGTAACAAGGAACTACATTGGGGCATTCATCTTTCACCTACAGGTCTAGAATATCTGACCTACTTTTCTATGAAGCAGGAATCTTGAAGGACTGTCTTATGTTGTCTTGGCAAGGTTTGGGAGACACTCTCCTTTTTATTCTGCTTACCCAATTTGGACACCATAGTGCCAGCAGTCGAAGGAAGGGCAGTTCCTTTGTCATTGGCTAGCTTTTGCAACAAAGAGAGCAAACTCTGTATTTGGGTTCTTTGATGCCCGTAATACTCTGTGTTAAAGCAAATTGGTACTACCAGGAGCACATATATATCACAGTTATGAAAAGTTGTATGTTATTAAAACATCTTAAATGCCATATTTTGTAGGTTTGAGGTATTTGGAGATCACAGATCTAGCTAAAATAAATCTTTGTATGTTCTTGAAAAAAAAATACCTAACATGACTATAGATGATTGACTATTAAACTGTATTTCTTTATTATATTAAATAGCTTTCAAGGACTAAAACTTTACATTCCATTTTTAAATGAGGTGCATGGTTACAACATCTTAAACAAGAATAGAAACATATACACATAATAACAAAAATAACCTTAAATTTGTATCAAAATACAAAAATCCATACCAATGCAAAATATTTGAGACTAGTGGTTGTTCAAAAGTAGACTCAAGTATCTACTCTTTTATAGAAGTTATTTTATTTCATGTCCTTCTTTTTCTGGGTCTGATGATCTTACTTTAAAACCAATTTTGTGGATCATTGGTTTTTCCTGGGATGTGTCATTCGCATGTTTTTTTTTTGTTTTTTGTAAACCCTCACTCTGCTTCTGTCTTCAAAGACATTTATATAAACTCTTTGCAGCTATTCATTTTACTCTATTAAAAGACCTTCACAAAGCTCCTGTTTATTCTGGCTTACAAGCCTGTATACCTTTTGCCATCCTCATTGAGGGTTTTCATGGCTCACTTTCAGTTTCAAAAAATGATACTACTTACCAAATCTTTTGCCTTAACTGCTTTATTACCAATTGTGTCAATTTAACTATGTCCCCAGGAACTTTTGTAGTTGTCCATCAGCCTCCTTGTCTTCTTCCTGTTAACCTATCTCGACCTTGGTATGATGATCTGGGTATTTATGCTATGGAAACTATTGCTAATCTGCTAAGTGCTTTATTGCAGCCCTGGTATTGGGTATTACTGCCTTTATTTCTATCATTGGAACTATAACTGCCTCTACTGCAGCCCTTGTACAACATGAATACATTGTCTAAAAATGTTTCTGATTCTTTCTTTACTCAAGAATCTGTTGATAAGGGCCTTGTTAATAGGGTTAATGCACTGGAGGAAGCAGTTTTATACATAGGTACAGATTCAAAATATTATGGTTAGACTTACTGTTTGTTATACAAATTATAAATTAATTTGTGTTACACCATTGTCTTACAATGGTTCTGATCACCCATGGGAACAAATTCAGGCTCAATTAGAGGCATATGGAACAGTTCTAATGTAAGATGAATATTCATGCACAGCATCAGAGAGGATAAAAATCTCATTTTTTAAATTCAATTACCTCTTTTATAACTATAAATTTTTTTCGGACATTTATCATTAATTTGGTTGTGGGCCCTTGGTTTATTTTTAATTTTAATCTTTTTCTTTCCAGTCCGCTACAAAAAAAAAAAAAAAATTAAGACTTGCCCTTCTCATAGTCCTTCGGGATGTCATCCATGAGTTTCAATCAAAAACCAAAAACGGGAAGATACTGGGAGTCATGTGACTTCTTGGGAGACCTGAGAATAGCATGAACAAATTCTTCCTGTGGCAAGGCCCTGGAAAATCTGACCCATTTTTGGCAAGGCTGACGGGTAGTTTGCTGCATAATTCTGGGCATGACCCCAGGAGCCTATGTGCTACCTGCTCTTCTTCCTTTCCTTATACAAGTTATCTTTCTTAGAGCTATAGATAAAATGGCTATTTACAAAAGGAAAACGTCCCTCTGATGACTATACTCTGGCTGAGGCAGAAGGGATGTTCTTAAAAATATACAGTGGATCTGATTTAGCCCCTAAAGCCTTTGATGTTTCAGGCGTGATCATGAACTCAGGCTTTCTCAAGAACAGGATGCTGCCTTTCCAGTGCACCTGTGATTAGCCTGAAAGAATCACAGAAGTGTGGGACCATTTACAAATCTGTGTATTCAGGAGAGACTTATTTTAAACACAAGAGTCTTGGAGAGATGTTACTCAATAGATGATATCGGGGCTAATGGGGACAGTCTAGGAAGAGAGAATCATAGAAACCCACAATGCCCTCATTTTTAACAGCTGTGCCAATACTGTAGCACGCCTTTAATCCCAGCACTCGGGAGGCAGAGGCAGGCGGATTTCTGTGAGTTCGAGACCATCCTGGTCTACAAGAGCTAGTTCCAGGACAGCCTCTAAAGCCACAGAGAAACACTGTCTCAAAAAACCAAAAAAAAAAAAAAAAAAAAAAAAGGATGAGCAGTGCCAACTATTAAGAGTAAGCTTTCTAGTTGTATAGTTTACAGGATAAAACCTAGAATATTACCTACAGGAGACACTATAGTACAGAATGAAGAATGAGAATTTAGATTTGAGTAGAGGTAAACACTAACCCTTAGAGGCAAAATTCTCTTTCATTTTGCATGACAATAAATGCTGCCGACAAGACATACTGTTTGATCTGCTGGTGTCCTTAGTTAGAAAACTTTCTTTCTTGCTTGCTATACTGCTTATGCTTTTAATAGTAAAGCTATGAATCAAAGTAATGATTTCCAGTGGGAAAGTTGGGGGACAGAAAGGGAATGAAGTATGGGGAAAAAACTGGCAATTACTGTACTTATAACTAGAAACTCCAGGAAACATATGATTGTAAAATTGTTCATGCAAACTATTGAAACTGTATAAATAAAAATGGCTCAGTCACTGTGCTGACTTCCGTCCCAGGTCATTGGACTTGTTGGGAATTAGGAGTTAGTCTCCCAGTGCTCATGGCTTGTTATCACACTACCTGTATATCCTGCTTCCTTGTCAGCTGGCTGGCATCTCCTCAGCTGGCATCTCATTACTCTTCTCTCTACCCTTCTTTCTCCCAGCACTCATGGAGTTTGTAGTCAGAATTTGATGTGTTTTAAGGGCTGAAGAAGTGTAAATTTTTTAAGACATTTGTGGGATTTCTCTCCAATGTGAACAATCATGTGTCCAATAAGGGTTATAATGGTTAACACTCTTTACCACATTCCCCACATTCTTAAGAACCCCCCCCCCCAATTGCCTAGGGATGAAGATGAGCAAAAACGTTTGCCAACTCTTCACACTTGGTTTTTCTACAGCATGGACTGTCTGATGTTCCTGAAGTTGTGCAAAGTAGGAAAACTTTTCCACACTCTCACACGTGCAGGAATTGTCTTAAGCATGGAGTGGTATATGTTGTCTAAGGCACGAAGATGAAGAAAAACATTTGCACACACTTCACACTGTTAGGATTTCTCTGAAGCATGAACTCTCTTGTGTCTCCAAAGGGATGAGCTATTTCGAAAGGCCTCTTGACATTCTTCACACTTGTATGGTTTCTCTCCAGTATGAATTGCTTGATGTCCCCGAAGACTCCTAGAACAGGAAAACCGTTTGCCACATTCTACACACTTATAGGGACTGTCTTCAGAATGGATTATTTGATGGCGTCTAAAGAAAAAGGATGAGTAAAAACATTTGCCACACTCCTCACACTTGTAGGGATAGTCTTCAGAGTGACTTGTCTGATGTCGTCTAAGGGTTGAAGATGAGAAAAAACATCTCCCACACTTTTTACACTCGTAGGATCTCTCTGCAGTATGAACTCTCCTGTGTTTCCAAAAGGTTGAATATTTACGAAAGCCTTTGTGACATTCTTCACACTTGTATAGTTTCTCACCAGTGTGAATTGCTTGGTGTTCCCTAAGACTCCTGGAACATGAAAACCATTTGCCACATTCTACACACTTATAGGGGCTGTCTTCAGAATGGATTGATTGATGTCGTCTAAGGGATGAAGATGAGGAAAAACATTTGCCACACTCCTCACACTTGTATGGTTTCTCTCCAGTATGGACTGTCTGATGTTCTTGAAGGTGTGAAAAGTAGGAAAACCTTTTGCCACACTCTGCACAAGTGTAGGGATTGTCTTCAGAATGGATTGTTTGATGTCGTCTAAGGGATGAGGATGTGCAAAAACACTTGCCACACTCTTCACACTTGTAGGCTTTCTTTGCAGGATTAGCTGCCTTGTTCCTAATGAGAAGAGTAGGCTTAGTAAATTCTTTTCCACTCAGTTCACACTGGTACGATTTCTCTGCAACATGAATTCTCATGTGTCTCCAAAAGGATGAGTGATAACGAAAGGCTTTGTGACATTCTTCACACTTGTATGATTTCTCTCCGGTATGAATTATTTGATGTATCTGAAGTCGTAGAGAACAAGAAAACGTTTTTCCACAATCTTCACACTTGTAAGGATTGTTTCCTGAATGAATTCTTTGATGTTGCTTAAGGTATGAAGGGAAATAAAAGGCTTTGCCACATTCTCCACACTTGTAGGGTTTTTCTCCAGAATGAATTCTTTCATGTTGCTTCAGCATTGGAAGATAGTAAAATGATTTGCCACACTCTTCACACTTGTATGTTTTTTCAGCAGTATGAGTTTTCTGGTGTATAAAAAGTGATGAGCGAGTATTAAAGGCTTTATGACATTCTTTACATGTGTAGGGTTTTTCTCCTGTGTGAAGTCTCTGGTGTATAGAAAGTGTTTTATAAGAACTAAGGGCCTTACCACAGTCTTTGCACTTGTAGGGTTTCTCCCTTGTATGAATTCTTTGGTATTGAACATGTACTGAATTGTAATCAATGGTCTTGTTGTAAACGTTATAATCATTGGGTGTTGTTCCTGTTGAGCAAAAGTTGAGATATGAGCAAAAACTAAGAAATATTTTTTATTCTTGTAATGCTTACTTTTTTTTTTTTTTTTTAGACATATTAACAAGTTTATTATAGGCCCAGCAGAGTAGAGAGACTAAGAAAGAAGAGAAACAGGGCTAATGGCTGACCGCCATGGCCGGTCGCCATAGAGAGAGAGAGAGCGTAAGAGAAGAGAAGAGCAGAAGCAGAGAGAGTAGAAGAGAGAGAGAGAAAGAGAGAGAGAGAGAGAGGTAATGCTTACTTTTATATGGAGAGATTTACTCATACATATTGAACCATCAGCAAGAAACTACAATATATTTCAAAACCAATAGGCATTGAGCATGGATGATAAAATATTGTAGCTAGGAATAATAAATACTCCTACTAGAATAAGGGCACAACCAAATATAACATAGGCATAATGGCATATTATTCAGTTTAAAAGCTAAGTTTTAAGAGTATTTTAGTAACAGAAATAAGCTCATTAAACTCTAGTGATATTATATATCTAGACACCATGAAATTATAAAGCAGCCAGGCCTGGAAAAGAGAAACCTAACTGTAGGGAGTCATCCTAGCCCCACCCAATAGTCCTGGGGCAGGTACCAGGTGGACCTGGGGACTCGCCCATAAGGGCGGGGTGAAGGAAAGCCGGGATGACGTAAAGGGGGCTTTTTTAAGGGCTGCACATGGGGACGTGGCTCTCTCTTTGTTTTGGCCGCGCTGGCTGTGTTCTTAACCTAGCTCTGGCCTGTGTTTCACCCGGCTGTGCTTGGAAATAAAGAGACCTTAATCCAATACCTAACCGTGATTGTGTGATTCTGAATCATCCTCAAAATACAAAATTTTTATCCTCTACATAGAGTTTTATTTTGGAAGTTACAAAGGATATGCTTGCTGCACAAGAAATAGATGGTTCATAACAAGATCAAACAATACAGCTCAAAAACTCAGGGCAGTGTTTTATTTGGATGACAAGAAAATGTATACCTGTAACATACTGAGTCATGGAAAACAAAACAAAACAGAAGAACAATAACAAAAAACCCTTCAGGTTCACCTGTGAATTACATTAATTTTTGCTGAGACAACATATTTGCCAATGAATAGATGAAAAAATGAGTTATTTCAAATTTTGTTTGTTTTTATTTTTTCAGAAAAGGGTTTCTCTGTGTTGATCTTGCTATCCTGGAATTCATTATATAGACCAGGCTGGCCTCAATACCAGAGATCCACATTCTTCTGCCTCCCAAGTACTAGGATCAGTGGAGGAGGTCACCATGCCTAGGCAATAAAACTGTGTATTCCTAAGATTTATTCATTTACAAGAGTAAACAGTTATTGGGCCCTAAATACAGAGACAATGAGCAAGGTATGCAAACAGGAGACCTGTGTTAATCCATGGAGTAGAAATCAACAGAGCAGAGCTCATAGATATTTTATAATCTTACACTGTCTATATGTATTTTATGCTGTCTCTGCTATTGTTGTGTGCCTTACATTTTATCACTTTCCCCGACCCCCTTGGGGAACAGAGTCAGCCATGCTCTGAGTTCACTTTGATTCAAGGCTCCTGGACACTTTGGGATTCCTCGGTCCCCCTGCCTGTGCTCCATGAGTGGTGCCAACATCCACCATGAGGCTGTATTAGTGGGTCTGGGCAACTCCATGTCCATTCCTCTTCAAGCTGCTCATCCCTGACACTGAACTCCCCATTAAGGTCTTGTCAAAAACAAAACAAAACAAAAAACAAACAAACCTAGTCAACTCCCAGCCACGTTCCCTCAAAGGAATACTCTAGCTGGTGGGGACTGAGCTGTATGATCTCACTGGTCTATCCATGTGCAATAAGACCTACACAGGGACAGTGTCTTCTCTTTCGCAGAACACAGGTCACTTGGTACCCACCGCACCAGAGCATGCAGAGTGGGCAGGAGTGGTCCAAGAAGCTTAGACAGCTTACAGGTCTGGGGCTCTAGCTCAGTGTGAGGACAAGATGTTGCAGCCAATCTTTCTATGTGTTCGAGTCCCTTACCTGCACTGCTTGTGCATAAAGACAGGAGATAAAAGCCCAGGTGGGTCTTTTCTACTGAGTTTGCAAGCCTGCTTCCTCTGAGAAAAGACATTCTGTCTATTCTTGGGACTCCTTTACCCTGTGCCTTCCTCTCTGCTCCACCAAGTCCAGATACCCTTGCTTTCACTTCTAGAACTTTCTGAGTTGCTTCGATGTCTAGTTTTATGGTTGTCTGTTTAAATGTCTCTAGGCTGCAGGTACCTATCTATCTAAAGTGTAGAGGCTGATCCACAGAGAATCAGGGTGTCCCTGTTTCATAAGAATCAGTATATTATCCTAAACCCTGAAATTTTTATAAGAGGAAAAACACATAGAGAACTATCCAGGTTGTCTGCCTACATCTACAGACACACACTATAGTTATGGATATTTAAATTAGTGTGCTCAGTCTTATTGAGACACAAATGCCATTTGAATATAGACAGCATTTTTATAAATCATCCTATGCTGCTTTAGCTCACTGAAAAGCTGGCTCTGAAAAAAGGATATTCCCTGCCCACTTCAAACCCAAGCACATTTCTCTTATCCTGGGTCAGGCTGACTCCCTGACTCTGTGGCAGGCAGAAGGAAAACAATAGGACTGCTTGGGAAAAGACACCGTGTGCTTGAGAACACCTAAGAGGTGAACTATTTCCAAGAGAGGCTACTACTAATTATGTCATGGTAGAAAGAAGTGCAGAATAAGAATAACTAATGGGACGCTCATTATTGAAAAGGATAAAAAGACACTCTGTCTAGAAGCCATCAATAATAACTCTAAAATCATAGTCAGCCAAATTCTGTTAGATGCTGTTAACATCACTTTAACGATGATCACAATAAGTCTGCATAGTGTCTAAATCATAAAGTCCGTCTTTTGTTTCCTATAAGGGTGACCTGGAATCTTTCAAGGCATAATGGTTTAACAGTGTGTGCCCAGGTGATACTAATCTGTCACATTACTCTCACTGTGTAGTTTGGGATTCACCCTTCTTTTATTGATTTAACTGATGTTGTACCGTATCTTCTGAGCTGAACAACAACCATCATCGTAACTCTAGCTGTGCCTGCTGTAACCACATCTGGGCTTGTAAAATGTTAATATTAATCAAAAATGGAGGACACAGACAAGGTCCCTGAACCCTCACCTGAGGATCCACTCGGCCTCCCAGCTAGGTACATGAGGTTTTAAGGTTTCCTGGACACACATGGGTGTATAGGCCAGAAAAACTAAAACTGGGCTGCTGGATGGATCTGCAGGGCTGTAATATGTACTGTTACATGTACTGTTACACATAAAGCTGTTACATGTACTGGCTAAGGGCCATAAAGCTGTTACATGTACTGGCTAAGGGCCCACATGAAAACAGATACTGTCTAACAGCCTCTCCTTTGGGATGTTTTCCTACATCAAATGGTAAATTTACTTGTTAAACACAGAATGTCTCACTTGGAATTGCTTGATCAAGGGGGTATATGTAAAGCATCAGATGCCCGGGGCCCACGGGAGAGGTGTCTCAGTTGATTCTGCAGTCATTTTCTGATTGAAATTCTGTTCTCTACGTCCTCTCTTGGTGATTACAAAACCTGTTCTAGTCCAAGTCTACTGACATCTCTAAACCTCTTGCTGACATGTCACTTTTCTTTGTATGAATTAGTGAAATCATTTCAAAAGATACAGTTGAGTTTATATCTCTAATAAATAGGTTAAACTATTTCATCTGAAAGGGCAAAACGTTTAAGGCTTAAAGCCAAGTCACATTAGGTCTATGTAATACAGGCATTATGGAAGAGGAGACTTAAAAATAATATACTTAATTATCAAAATTTACTAATGTCCTTAAGGTTATAAAGTTTTATTCATGTTTTTAAATACTGACTTAAAGAATTCTATCCAGTCACTTATGTCTTTGCTAACTTTGTTAAACTGTAACCATTTGGAGAAACTGAGTCACGACAAGAACAATTCATTGTACTTCTTTTTATTCTTGTAGGTGTTTCTTAAAAGGTCAGCCTTATTATTCTCTCCTCTGACTGTATTCTTTCTCAGGAAATGAGCTAAGTAGTGTAGAAGGTCAGTAGGACTAATTCAGATTTTATAAAGGTACAGTATAAAGGACTGAGGAGAGTCAGGTTCCCAGTTCCCCATGAACTGTATGTTTAAAGCTTATTTTTAAACACAGCTTCAGTTCAACAATTGTTTCTGAGGCTGACATTTTTAACAGAGATAAATTATTTCCCATTTAAATCCTAATCTGATGAGAGTCACTACTTCATTGTAAGATGGTAGAACAAAAAGACACTTAATAATAGTTATTGAGAGTCACCTACTGAGAGAGTAAATATACTTAGTCTTCCTAAAATTGTTTATATAGTCATGATAAGTACCAATGTAATACAGGTACACAGACAATATTAGAGGGAGAGAAAAACATGTCCTCTGTACATGTTGTCAAACAACTAAAAAAAAAATTTTAAGTTTCCTTAATATATAATGATATTCAAAATCAGGTGTACTTTAAAAAAAAAAAAAAAAAAAACCCTGTTTATTGAAGTAAATTGCTTGAGTAAAAAGGGTTAAATCTACACTACACTTGCATGGCAGAACATTACCAGGACAGGACAGAGACCTATTGAACTAATGGAATTCTAGTGCCAACACAGGATAAGGATGCATAGGGAACAGGATTTGTCAGTGTCTGCTGCTCCTGTCTCTCTCTGGCCTGGAAACCAGATCAGGAAATCCTATTCGATATTTGGAACGAATCTGGATCACAGCTCATGTCCCACAAGACAGGATTCCCTCATGCTGAGGAGGATCTTAGATTCTGCACCACACTCTAAATGTGTCAAGTAATGGAGACACTCACTGCAATGTCTCAGCACTCCACATCTCCTGAACTGATGGTTGAGGATACAAGGGGAACCTTGTACCTATACCTGCCAGCCAACCAGTATGGGAACTACACTCTAGTTCAAACAGCCATGCCCTGTCCCCTGGGCTTTGAATTTCCTCCTCTTAACAAAGCTAATCCCAGAGCTGAGAGGTCAATGCCTGGTTATGTAAAGGGTCCTCAGCAAAGTGGCAGATAATACATGACAGAGGCTCTGCCACAGGGCCAGGGGGCACAGCAGGCTGAACTCTGGGCACTATTTAAACTAAGTCACAAGTGCCATGTGTGGACAAACCACATCAGTAAAGAAAGCCATATGGCCTGAGGAGGAGGTGAGGTGGACTGTGAAAGTTCAACCAGGGCAGTTATCCTGAGTCACCTTCCAGAGACATCTGGGACCAGCTCTTCAGTTCTGCTCCTATTACCAACCTAGAAGCCAGTGGACATATACACACTTGGCAGAAGTTTGGAAAATCAACATGTCTTTGATAACAAAGATATGAAGGAGAGACCTAAAGAATTATCTCCACAACAATACCGTCTTTCAATGCACATGGGAAAGCCTGCCTTGCTGCCGCTGAACCCCCTCATTCCTACCCACCTGGGTGTACAGTGTCTGTTGCTTGTATCGTCATATCACATGGTCCTTGTGTTTGCTCCAAAAATGTCACCAGGTGTGGCTTTGGGACAGCAAGACCTGTTTGTAGAAAAGAGAACAGGATTGTTTAAGTGTTCTTCCACTGGGAATTGACATGTCCCTTCTAGGATGCTGTTTATAAGAAAAGAGATGTTGTAATAAATGACTGCAGACAATCAGTTCCTTAAATGCTTTCTCACAGGACCACTACAGTATAGAAAGGAATTTACAATGTTCAGATTCTGAGTTCCATTTGAAGGGGAAAACATTAAAAGTTGTAGTTCAGGTTCAGCAGAGTCCCTGTATCTGGGATGAACATTAGGATGAATAGTTTCCACTCTATCAGGAGTGAATCTTAGAATGAATGCTCTTCACTACATCTGGCATAAACGTTACAGTGAATATTTGTTTTCTAGAGGTCCCTTGAACTTGAAGAATCATTGTGGAAAACAGTAAAGAATCTCTGTGGAAAACAGTGATACTCTGCCAGGATTTGTAGAATTGTTGATCTAAGAGGTGTTGTGCATGCAGCCTTTGAATGACTTTGGTCTCAGGACCCCTCTGGCACATCTGAGGCTCTTGGGTTATAGTGTATTGCAAACAATAAAGGACAAAAGTCACAGGGCTATGTGATGCTTACCTCGAAAGACATACAGATTACATTAGGGACCTTGGTATACGCAAAAAACAACTTTGTGTAAAAATCAGTAAATTTGCCCTTGCACTTCGGCTGCTCAGGTTTCAGTTCATCAGAGGCTGGACCTTCCTGCTGTCATACACACCCTAAACTTTCATCTTGGAGTGAGCTTTTTTTGACAGACCCACACAACACAGAACACCCTAACAAAAACTGAATTGTGAAGCAATTTAATTAACAGGTATGTTCCACGCTTCATGCTACTGCCTTTTTAACAGTTGCCCTAGAGTGGCTGCTGAATGAAATATACATTCAACACTGACAGTCCAAACACAGAGAAAGAAAAACACTGCAATGTTTTTTGCTGGGGAGCAATCACTGTTTTTTCTTAAAATGAAAGATATTAATCTGGCTGTTGAAATGTTCCTGTGAGACACCATATAAAGTTAGTAAGATACATATTGATGGTAAAATAAGAATTCACTGTGGATGAGAGCCTCACCCAGGAAATTAAGGTTGCTGTAATTCTCCAACATCACATCCCTATACAGACTCCACTGAGCAGGCTCCAGGTATTCCCTCTCTTCTGGAGAGAACTCAATGGCCACATCCTGGAAGGACAGCATTTCCTGAAATAAAGACCAAAGAATGATATCACAGTTTTAATTAAAACCACTAAAAATAATATAAATGCCAAGATGCATTAGGCTGGATAGTTCTCCTGTCAACTTGAGACTAGCTGGGGTCATCTGAGAAGAGAGAAGCATCATTGAGAAGATGCCTCCCTAAGTCTGTGTGTAGGGAAGCCTATGGCATTTTCTTAATTAGTGGTTGATATGAGACAGGACAGCCCATTATGGGCAGGTGATCTATATGCTTTTTTTCAATTTGACACAAGGTCGAGTCATCAGAGAGGAAGGAGCCTCAGCTGAGGAAATGCCTCCATGAGATCCAGCTGGAAGGCATTTTCTCAATTGGTGATCAATAGGGGAGGGCCCAGTAGGTGGTGCCATCACTGTGCTGGTGTCCTGGGTTCTGTAAGAAAGCAGACAGAGCAAGCCAGGGGAGGCAAGTCTTCAGCAAGCAGCTCCCCTCCCTGGCCTCTGCATCAGCTCCTGCCTCTGGGATCCTGCCCTGTTTGAGTTCCTGTCTTGATTTCCTTCAGTGATGAACAGCTCTGTTAAAGTGTAGGAAAAACAAACCCTTTACCCACCAACTTATTTTTTTTTTGGTCATGGTGTTTCATCACAGCAACTGAAACCCAAGTCTTATATACTTTTTTGGGGGAAGGAGGCTGTGCAGTTCTGGATCTCACTCTGGAGACCAGGCTGGCCTTGAACTCGGAAATGCGCTTAACTCTGCCTCCCCAGTGCTGCTGGGTTTAAAGGCGTGTGCCATCACTGCTGGGTGGTTTTATATGCGTTGTCATGGGTAGAAGCACAAGATACTCCTATCTGCAGGATGTCATTGTTCAGGTGGTGTTCCAGCAGTCCTGTTTCATCACTTCTCCCACTCAGGAGCTTGTAAAGCCCCTTCTCTCACAGGTTTGTCTACTTTAAATCACAGGAACACACGTACAGGTCTGTGAGTTCCTCCTCACCCTGTTACCTGACCCAAAAGCCTTCCTAGTCCCCATTCTGCTCTGCGGGTCTCTCCCTCCACATGCCTGCAGTATGTGTGCTCTCTCACACCTAGTCTAAACTTTTCTACAGCAGCTGACTCTGGCAGATCTGTCTGCTGTCTTCCAGAATTTCCCACCTGAGACCTTTGCTGTGCCTCACATTTTTCCTCTCTTAATTCTTTATCTGGCAGAGAACACGAACACAATCAAGACTCAAGACCCTTACACTAGGCAGGATAGAGTACAGGAGGGGTCAGAAACCCCGTTTGCTCTAAAACACTGATAAATCTGACAGCAGCCATGTGAGAATGGCTCAGCTAGTGAAACCTGCTTCCCCACCAAAGCTGCTCAGTGAGCTCCCAGCTCCAACTCAGGAGCAGGCAGGCAGCTGACCATCATTAGCTTTCAGTCCTGGTCACCTCAGCTGACCATCACTAGCTTGCAGTCGTGGTCACCTCAGCTGACCATCACTAGCTTGCAGTCGTGGTCACCTCAGCTGACCATCACTAGCTTGCAGTTCTGGACTTTGCGCTATCATCTGCTCCGTACTCCAAGGCAGCTCTCCTGTCCCAGAAGCCCAAGGCGGACTCGGGCTGCACGTCCTAAGGAAACATCACTCAGGGCACAGTCCCATCGCCCTCTCCCCAGGCCTGACCTGCAACCTCCCGAATCCCAGCCAGTTCAGGCCAGCACCTCCCAGGCAGCTTCTCCGCCCTCCCCCCAACCCTCCAAGATGGAACCCGCACCCCGCAGAGCCTCAGGCTGCGCTGCACCCTGGACCAACCTCCAAGTCAGAGACGCAGCTGGAGCTACGGCACAGCAGGACTCACGCCCAACTTTGGGGGAAGACGCACGTGTGGAGGCCAAAGCCGGAAAAGGCTTTTCTGGACTTCTCTCTGTGATGTCACAGTCGCAGGGACTACATTTCCCAGAAGTCTGGGGGAAGGAATTCCTGGAATCCTGCCTGTTGATAGTTACTCTTGACTTGTTTCTGGCTGCCTGCAGTAGAGGATGGGAAGAAGAAATGGAGTCGGCTGGACAGCTGTTGGCCTGAGAAAAACCAATCACACGAATGTCTGATTAAAGCAAGCTTTATTTTACAGTAGCACCAGGAAGTGCCCAGTTGGCTTTCTCTCCCAAAGTCGGTGTTTCAGAGAGCAGCCCCCTTATTGCCTTTTGGGGCAAGGATTGGGGTTAATTAAGAAAATAAAAACAGCTGTCAAGATAATTGGCAGTTATAAAGGAGGATTTTTGTTTTTTTTAAGGGTAGACAAAGTCCTTAACAGGGAAATAGAGCAGTAAAAACTAGTTAAGAAGGAAAATGGAGAGTCTGGATCACACACATTATTGTGTTGTCTATAGATGTTTTGACTGTTAATGAGAAAGTAAGTGCTGGGAGACATTTGATTATGGAAGCTCCTAGATTATACAAACCTACGTATTTTAAAAATATCTTGACTACAAATTTTAAGTCAAAAGAAGTTACTTTGGGAAAGAGTTTCTGCTTTTATTTCCAAAGAAATGAGAGGCTCTGGATTCATTCTTGGTTAAGAAAAATCAGGTTAGATGGAGGAAGACCCCTTGAAAAATCTCCGATGCGAACGTTTCAGAAAGCCTCTGTTGCAGTTTCCTCTGGGTTTTACATCCAGAACAGCTTCAAGGCTGCTGGCTGAGATGATCCAGATTCACAGAATACTCCAGTCAGGACTTGACCATAATCCTAAATTTTCTCAAGGTCCCCCAAAGATTACCAGTGATCCCCAAAACAACAGGAAGTAGCATAGAGAACTATGCCCAGATTCCCCCCAAATCAATTATGAATATTAGTCTTTGATTAGGGGTCTGGTTACAAATTGATATTGGTTATAGTCAAAAAAAAAGGCTAAACAAAAGATTTAAATTCATAGATCTCTTTCTAAAAGAAGGGTGATATGATATAGAAATGATAGAATAAAAGGGTACATTATTGAGTCTGGTAATCCAAAAAACAATTATTAAATATTTTATATTAGTATGGATTTTGGTTTGTTGATAGAAATTTAAAGTTAATTTTGTTTAAGGTATTTATGTAACTCACTTAAAAATGTAATGTACAAATAAGAAATATAAATTATAGTTAATCACCAATCAAACACAGACATGTTAGGTATGTTTTCAAGGTCATACACAGATATATTTACATAGATGGTCTTCAATCACTTCAAAGACCTACAGAATATGGCATTTAACATGTTTAATAATGTAAGGCTTTTCATGAGAGTGAGAGATGAATTCTTCTGGAAGCAGTAAACTACTTCAGAGAAGTAGTTTCTAAAAGAAACTCTGTAAGAAGTTTGTTTTCTTTATGGAAAAAGCTAGCCACGTGGGCAAAGAAACTGACCATGCCTCATTTACTGACAGTTACTGTCTGAACTGGACCAGCAGTACACAAGAAGGGCGACTGCTTAACTTTCACAAGACAAGGCAGGACAATCCTTCAAAATTCCCTGTTTCACAGGAAAGTGTGTCAGATATGCTAGGCCTATAGGCCAGAGTTGATTGCCCCAGTGTTGCACAGGAACTTTGGTTGACTCTCCAAGCAGCTTGATGTCCCTGGTTTTGATAACATTTGCCTATTCTGGGTCTTTGGTAGACTTCAAGACTAGCTAGCTATAGTTTAATTTTTCCTAGTTATGATAAGTAATAATTACAGTACAAAACTTTGGGCTCACAAAGATAGATATTATTTTCTCTATTTTTGCCAATTACAAATAAGACTAGATATGGTAACTAATTCTTACTGCTTTTTCATTTATAATTTCACAATGTTAAATTCAAAACCTTCCTTTTTAATTAGACAAAAAGGGGGAAATGTTGTGAATAATCCTCTTGTACACTGTGAAGACTGGTCACATGAATTTGTATAATAAAACACTGATTGGCCAATAGCCAGGCAGGAAGTATAGGCAGGGTGACCACACTAAGGATGATGGAAAGGAGAAGAGTCAGAGAAGTTACCAGCAAACACAAGGAACCAAGATGAAAATACCCTACTGAGAGGAGGTGCTAAACATAGACAAGAATTATGGGTTAATTTAGGTGTAAGAGTTAGCTAGTAAGTATAGGACTAGTTAGCTAGTAAGTATGGGACTAGTTAGCTAGTAAGGCAGCTAGTAAGTTTAAGGCTGTGTACACTGCTGAGACAGAAAGCCTCTGTTAATGCTATTGCTCCCTCTGTTGACTGTGCCTCTGCATTTACGGCTGCTGCCTGAGCCTTCACATTGGTTTCACTAAGGTCTATCCTTTTATTATACCGATAAGGATTCAGGAGCCAAATGCTGGATGAAAACCTGACAGATCAGAGAGGCAGCACTTCTTCTCCACCAAGGGGAGATATTCCAGGAGCTTGTATGAGTCCACTGGAAAAAAACAACAGTAACTATGTCACAGCTCAGACTTCAGATTCCTGGCAACCATGGACAAAGTTATGACATGGTAAAAGTTCTATGGAACATTTATAGTTACAAATGAAAGAGACTCATTAACCAAGGCAAGTTTCAAACAAGATGCTTGCACATACTGGGGCGGGGGGGGGGGGGGGGGCCAAGAAAAGGAGAATTTATTCTAGCATTTCTACCCCGTTAAGTTAGATATTCATGTTGATTTTGCAAAAATAATCAACTTGATATTCTCCACTATGGGTTCATTTGACTTGGGAAATGTGGTGATATATTATTTATGATTTATCAAAGCTTGCATGAGGATTCAGAAAGCAAAGCCACAAGCCAGGCACACACCTTTGATCCTAGGATTCGGGATTAAGAGGTAGCCGGATCTCTGTGAGTCCAAGACCACCCAGATCTAAACAAGACTGATTGAGTCCTAAAGAGAAACAGCTCACACAAAGATGATCTCAGCACCTGGGACCGCACAACTTTAATCCAAGCATTAGGGAGGTATATAAGATGGGAGCAAGATCTCAGTATCAGGCATTCATTCTCCAGTCACACTGGCATTTATTTGCCAGCCACATTGACAATAGGAAGACATATATATTCTCCAGCAACACTGAGGAGAGGCAGTAGTTTGAGACTTGGTGAAGGCCAGGCGGTGGTGGTGCATGTCTTTAATCCCAGCACTCAGGAGGCAGAGGCAGGCAGATCTCTGAGTTTGAGACCAGCCTGTTCTACAAGAGCTAGTTCCAGGACAGTCTCCAAAGTCACAGAGAAACCATCTTGAAAAGAAAAATCAAACAAAAAACAACAACAAAAAAGTTTGAGGCTTGGTGAAGAGCTCGTGAATCAGCCCTTTCAGCCTGAGCCAGAGGTGAGAGACAGTGGCCAGCTACTTTGCTTTTCTGATCACCAGCTTGAAATTTGAACCCCAATACCAGTCCCAGTCTTTTATTTATCCTGTCACAGGATAAGATCTGGATTTTTAGCAAAAATTTCATACTCAGTGACTTTTTAGTCAGAAAGAATCATTTCCTGTGTTTTAAGTGTGGAGCAAGTAAAGTTTGTATAAATATCATGTGCTGAGTAAGGCTATAAAGGTTAACAAAGTGTTTATCACACTCTGCACACTTCTAGGGATTGTCTTCAGAATGAATTTTCCCTTTTCTTTTATGCTGTCTAAGGCGGGAAGATGAGGAAAAACCTTTGTCCCAGTCTTTACGCTGGTTGTGTTTCTCTCCATTATGGACTTTCTTGTGTCTCCTAAGGGATGAGTGACAATGAAAGGCTCTGTGACATTCTTCACACTTGTATGGTTTCTCTCCGGTATGGACTGTTTGATGTTCTTGAAGATGCCTAGAATAGGAAAACCGTTTGCCACATTGTACACACGTATAAGGATTATATTCGGAGTGGATTTTTTTATGTCGTCTAAGGGATACTAATGAGTAAAAACATCTGCCACACTCTTTACACTCATAGGGTTTGTCTTTACTATGCATTGTTTGATGTCGCCGAAGAGATGAAGATAAGTAAAAACATTTGCCACACTCCTCACACTTGTATGATTTCTCTCCAGTGTGAACTGTCTGATGCTCTTGAAGCTTTGCAAAACAGTAAAACCTTTTGCCACACTTCTCACACTTATAGGGATTTCCTTGAGTGTGAATCGCTTGATGTTGTTTAAGATATGAAAATGAGGAGAAACATCTGCCACACTCTTCACACTTGTATGATTTCTCCGCAGTATGAATTCGTTGATGTGCCTGAAGGAATGAAGGAACATAAAAAGCTTTGCCACACTCTTCACACTTGCAGGGTTTCTCTCCAGAGTGAATTCTTTGATGTTGCTTCAGCATTGACGGATAGTAAAATGACTTGCCACATTCTTTACATTTGTAGGTTTTTTCATCAGTATGATTTTTCTGGTGTATAAAAAGTGATGAGCGAGTATTGAAGGCCTTATGACATTCTTTACATGTGTAGGGTTTCTCTCCAGTGTGAAGTCTCTGGTGTATAGAAAATGTTTTATAAGAACTAAGGCCCTTACCACATTCTTCACACTTGTAGGGTTTCTCCCTTGTCTGAATTCTCTGGCGTTGAATACGTAGTGAGTTACAATTGGTGTCCTTGTTATATGCATTGTAATTCTTGGGTCTTGTTCCTGTTGAAGAAAAGTTGAGATATGAACAGATGCTCGGAAATATTCTTCATACTTATAATGCATATCTTTTTGAAAGGAAACATTTACTCATACATGTTGAAGATAAGTGAGAAATTGCAGCATATTTCAAGCCTATAGGCACTAAACATAAATGATAAAATGTTATAGGTAGAAATGGTATATACTTCTACTAGAATAAAAGCACAACCAAACAGAACATAGTCATAATAGCATATTCAAAATTTAGTAGCTAAGTAAGGTATAATGGCATTTTACTAGCAGAAATAAACCCATTCAACAAGAGAAATGTTATATGGCGGGACATCCATTGAATTATAAAGTACAAAAACCTGGAAAAAAATAAGAGTTAAACGGGATTGAATGAATTTGAGGCATCATCTAAATACAAAATTTTTATCCGTCACATAGCTTTATTTTGGAAGGTTCAGAAGATATGCTGTACAAGAAGTAGATGGTCCAAAACAAGATTAAATTTATAGCTCAAAAATTCAGAACACTATTTAATTTTTTATTTCGATAACAAGAAAATATATACCTGAAGCATAACAAGTTATAATAAACAAAAACTTGAGGTTCACCCGTGAATTACACAAATTTTGCTGAGACAACATATTTCTCAGTGAATAAATGATAAAATTACTTATTTCTCTTCTTTGTTTTTGCTTTTTTAAGGCAAGGTTTCTCTGTGTAGACGTTACTCTCCTGGAACTCACTATCTAGATCAGGCTACCTACAAATCCCAAGCGCTCTGGGATCAGTACAGTAGGTAACCATGCCAGGAGATGGTATTTCCAAGATTTATTTATTTACAAGGGTAACAGCTATGAGCCCTAAATAGAGGGACAATGAAGAAGCCATGCAAACAGGAGGCTTGTGTTTACCCATGAAGTAGAAAATCACAATTTTGTAATCTTACACAGTCCTTGTGTGTCGTATCCATCCAAAATATATAGGGAATATATAACAAATTATTATACATTATACACAACTCCAAAATAATACCAAAGAATATCAAATTGCAAAGTGAAGAAAAAAATTTGAACTCAACAAAATTTTGAAAACTATTAAACACATACTCTTAGTCACATAGACTTTGAATCGACATTTTAAGTTCTTATTAATGAGTATGTGATAAAAAAATTAGAACATATCTTCATCAAAGACAAAGAACTCTGATGGGGTCACTTTTTTCACCATCCGTACTTGTGACACAAAACTCATGTTAGTTTCTTTTGGGAGGGGAGGGTGGGCGGTCTCAAGACAGGGTTTCTCTGTGGCTTTGGAGCCTGTTCTAGAACTAGCTCTTGTAGACCAGGCTGGTCTCAAACTCTGCCTCCGGAGTGCTGGGGTTAAAGGCATGTGCCACCACCACCAGGCGTGAAGTTAGTTTCTTACAATGATTTCACACCTAGTTATTTAGAAATGTGTGCAATTTTTTAGATGTGAAGAAAATAGTACAGTCTGCTAGTGACCTGCCCCAAGTAACTTGATTTTGCCTGAGTTCTATCCATCTGCTCTACCAACTAAACAATTCTGCTGAGAAAATGTTCTCATGCCGCCTTACTTGCAGCTTTGAAACATCCACTGGTTTATAATATAAAACAAATTGTTTGAATGAATGGAACTAAAAGTTTTGGATTTTCAGCCCTAGACCTGCCTCTGGTATGATGTAATTTGGGGCTTGGCTTTATAAATCCAATCAAACCAAAGTTAAAGTGTGCTGGAATAACCAATGTATTTCCTGACACAAAACCAAACCTTGTCCTTCTGGTCCTCCAATGTGGTAGGTGTGGGTATTTTTGTCTGGTCCAGATTCTGGGAAAAACAAAACAAAACAAAACAAACCCTGACAGGGACTCCTCCCTGTGTCTCCTTCTGAGAGTAAAGATGTGGACTGAGGAAGTAATGGATAAACTTTCAGTTAAATCCAGGTCTTCCCTATTTCTGTGGATGCTGAATGAGTGAATGCATAGTGCCCTCCATCTATGCTGTGTCAGCTATGGTTCTGCGCCTTACATTTTATCACTTTCCCTGACCTCTTTGTGGAACAGAGTCAGCCACTCTGTGAGCTCACTTTAGATTCAAGGCTACTGGAAGCTGCAGGGTTCCGCTGTCCCACTGCCTGTGCTCCATGAGCCATGTACCATTTTTTCTGAGGCTGTATTAGTGGGTCTGGGCAACTCCATGTCTATTCCTCTTCAACCTGATTACCCTAGCCCCGAGCTCGCTCCCCCTTATGGTATTCTTTATGATGAAACAAGCAGGATTGGCTTAGATTTTGTGAAGTACAGTATAAAGGGATTAGGAGATTGAAGCTCCTAGTTCCTCCATGGACTGTATTTATCTTTATGGGTATAAAAAATTTTCAGTTCAACAACTAATTTTTGAGTGTGAAGTTTTTAGCAGAGGTAAACTGCTTTCATTTGTTAAGGCCTTATTGGATGAGAGTCATTATTTTGTTGTAAGCTGTTACAACAAAGGTAATTCATACATAATAGTTAATGATGAGTCACCTAATGAATCATGAAATATACTTAGTGCTCAAAGTTATGTTTATAGTCATGCTAAATACAAACATAATTCATTTACAGACACAATATTAGAGGGAAAAAATTTCTACCTTCCATTATGGAGTCCTCTGTACAGGTCATCAAAGGTAAGCCTAAAGTAGGTAACTGAAACCAACTTGTTTTTGCTTAATAAGGAATGATATTAAAATTAGATATACTTAAAGTAACTGGTTATTGGGCCAGGAGTGGTGACTTAACTTTAATCACAACACTCAGGAGCTGAAGCAGGAAGCTCTTTCTGACTTTGGTGTCAGCCAGGTTTACAAAGCCAGTTCTAGGACAGCTACACAGAGAAACCCTATCTTGAAAAACAAAACCAAAGAAAACAACAAAACAGAACAAAAACCTAGAAAACTAGTTTTTGAAATTGAGTGACTGGAGTACACTTGCATGGCAAGACACAACCATGTGTTGTGGTCACTTCTTAAGTAAGGTTAGCAAACTTACCCTAAGACTTATTAGATTAATGGCATTCTAGTGTCAACACAGGATAAGGATGCATGGGAAACAGGAGTTGTCAGTGTCTGCTGTTCCTGTCTCCCTCCAGCCTGTAACTCAGATCCGGAAATCCTATTCTATATCTGGAGTGAAGATAGATCACAGCTCATGTCCCACAAGACAGGATTCCCTCATGCTGAGGAGGATCTTAGATTCTGCACCACACCCTACATGTGTCAAGTAATGGAGACGCTCACTGCAATGTCTCAGCACTCCATGTCTCCTGAACTGAGGACTGAGGATACAAGGGGAACCTTGTACCTATACCTGCCAGCCAATTGGTATGGAAACTACACTCTGTATTCCTCCTCTTAACAAAGTTAATCCCAGAGCTGAGAGGTCAATGCCTGGATGGATATAATATTTAAACTAAGTCACAAGTATCATGTGTGGACAAACCACATCAGTAAAGAAAGTCATATGGCCTGAGGAGGAGGTGAGGTGGACTGTGAAAGTTCAACCAGGGCAGTCATTCTCAGTCACCTTCCAGAGACATCTAGGACAAGCTCCTCTGCTGTGGAACCATCTTTTTTGTACAATATGAACATGTGTTATTGTCATTATTACAGTCAATGGCTAGGCAGGATTTTCTGCAAATGCTGGGCCATACTGTATGCATGTTTTTACTCTGGAGTATTGTGGTTATCTAGGTCATTTAAAAATGTAATGTATAGCCAGGCATTGGTGGCACATGCCTTTAATCCCAGCACTCGGGAGGCAGGGGCAGGTGGATCTCTGTGAGTTTGAGACCAGCCTGATCTACAAGAGCATAGTTCCAGGACAGAGGTGATCTAGGCCCTATTGAAGAACTCTGCCTACACTCCTTAGCCCTACTCCCATGCCAAACCAACCAGAAAGCCAATGAAAATCTACACTGAGGAAGTTTGAAAATCAACAGGAAACCTTGAGAAGAAGTGACCACAAGATCTCTTCCTCCAATTGGACTCATTGTCATATTAGCCATAATGCTTCCTATAGGGCTAGACACAGTGGCAACCCTGACTCGATCTGAAACAAAACATTTTAGTAGCTCTGTTGTACCTGGGAACATCAGGTTTATACATAAAAGTTTATAATTTTTTAACAAGTTGTGACTGGGAATGAATGCAAATAAATTAGACCAAATATATCATAAATACATTACCTTGAAACAGAACAAAACAAACCTCCCCCCCCAAAAAAAACATGGAGTGTTAACACTCACTCAAAGGCCTAATTCTACTAACTGCCATGAAAGAGAGGCACACATAGTTGTACCCATTATCATGTTTGATGAGCATCCCTGAATCAAGAATGGAAGGCCTTGTAGGTCATCCTGTCCTACTCTTCCTAGGTTTAATGGTCAGAACCTACTGAACCAACTGGTGGTAAAAGTGTTGAAAAAATAAACAATCTCTGTTAAATTAATGTACCCAATGTTCTAACAGAATCCCTTCTCCAATATGCTAATGCTTTGAATCTTCCCTAAGATCAGTGGGGAATGAACTATCCACAGTGACTCCAGTTTGTCTGAATTGCATCCAACTGCTCCCCACCCCCAAATTATTCTGACCATCAGAACTCAAACTGTTGAGCCTCTGTCATGCCTGGGTCTCTGTGATGCAATTGTGTTTTTGGCTTTATGAACCCAACAATGCTCACTTTGGTGTAGAGATCCTCCTGGCATAAGTCTGCTCTCAACCTTTGCAAAGGAATGATGAAATGACGCTCAGTCTGACCAGCACCAAGTTCTTTTTCCCTGAGTCTTACACTACAGTGGAGGCTCAACAAAAAGAAAAACCTTGGAAGTAACCATAAATAAAACACAGCTCGATGTTGGAGAAATAAGAAGCTAGAGAGACTTAAGCCATCATAAACTTTTGAGAGATGTGCTTTGACAAGAAAGACATGAAGAGAGACCTAAAGAATGATTCCCATAGAATCATGTTTCAAGACACATGGGAAAGACTGCTTTTCTGTGGGATATTTGGACCTAACGCTGCCCCTGACTCCTTCATTCCTACACACCTGGGTGCACGGTAGCTGCTGCTTGTCTCTTCACACCTGAAGACTCTTGTCTTTGCTCCAGAAATGTCACCAAGGGTGGCTTAGGGACAGCAAGACCTGTTGGTAGGAAGGAAACAGGATTGGTTGAGTGTTCTTCTACTGGGAATTGACACATGCCTTCCAGTGCATGGCTCATAAGGAAAGAGATGGTATAATTAATGACTGTAGACAATCAGTTCCATAAATGTTTTCTGACAGGATCACTACAGTACATAAAGGAATTACAGTGTCCAGATTCTGAGTTTCATATAAAGGGAGAAAACATGAAATCTGAATTGTGAAAGATTTCATTAACAACTATACTCCATGTTTTATGCCACTGAATTTCCAACAGTCCCATTAGAGTGAAGGACACAGATATGCAACAGAGAAAGATTAAACATAAAAAAGAGAAAAACAGTGGTGGTGCATGCCTTTAATCCCAGTGTTCAGGAGGCAGAGGCCGGTAGATTACTGTGAGTTCAAGGATAGCCTGGTCTACAATGAGAGTTCCAAGACAGCCAGGGCTGTTATGCAGAGAACCCCTGTCTTGAAAAAAAAAAAAGACAATAAATAAATAAATAAATAGGAAAAATCCAAAGAGGAGAATTTATGAAAAAGTTAGCAAGAAAAGCAAACACTGCCATCTCTTCAAAATGTTAAGTAACAATGCGTGCCCAAATGCTTGGGAAACAGAGGAGGCCAAGAAGAGGGAGAAAGAGGAAGTGAAAGAGAGAGAGGGAGAGGGAAAGAGAGAGAGGAGAGGATGGATGGGGTAAGAGGTGGAAGAAGCTGGTTATCAATTATCAGAATCCCAAATAACCACTTAAATAATTTTACCACATAGACATGCATTGTTCTTTTATTTGCATCTGTGTTTATAAACTATATATGGGCAGGGCTAGAGAGATGCCTTAATAGTTAAGATCACTGGATGCTCTTGCACAGGACCTGGGTTCAATTTCCAGAACATACATGGAAGCTCTGAACTGGCTGTAACTTCAATTTCAGAGTGTCTACACCCTCTTCTGGCCTTGGTGGGCACTGGGTACACATTTTATGCCCACTGATACATGCAGCAAAATAGCCATTCATATAAAGATAAATAAATATTTTAATTAAAAAAAAGAATTCACTATGGATGAGATCCTCACCCAGGAATAGTAGGTGGCTGTAATTCTCCAACATCACATCCTTGTACAGATTCCACTGAGCAGGCTCCAGGCATTCCCTCTCTTCTGGAGAGAACTCAATGGCCACATCCCAGAAGGACAGCATATCCTGAAATAAAGATCAATGGAGGATAATACACTTCTAATTAAGTCTATTAATAATATAAATACAGGATACATTGGGCTGGATAGTTCTCCTGTCAACTTGAGACTAGCTGGGGTCATTGGAGGAGAAGCATCATTGAGAAGATGCCTCCATAAGTCTGTGTGCCAAAAAGCCTATCCAATTTTTAAATTAGTTATTGATATGAGACAGCACAGCCCACTATGGGTGGTACCCACGCTGGGCATCGATCCTATATGGCACAGGAAAGCAGGCTGGGCAAGTCGGTCAGCAGTGTTCTTCTGTGGCCTCTCCTCCACTTCTTGCCTCAGGTTAAACAACTGTCCAATCACCAAAATTTAATGTCTTTAAGAAAAGCATGTGAGTGACAAAAGTTTAAATTATACATGGAGTGGGTTAACAGAATGAATCACAAGTAGTTCTTAAATCACCACAGTGCTGATTGCATGGATCTGTCACTGTAAGAAACATGACGTGAACAACAAAGTTATTTATCACATCCATGAGGCATGTTCAAGGGTTTTCTGACACAGACTTGGGTAGCCTAGGACTTGAATTTGCTATGAAGCAGTCCCCCTCACAACTGCAGAGATGACAAAGATGTGCAATAGAGTAGACTGAAGTTTCTTTTCTGTCACAGGTTTACTTTAAATCACAGGAATATACACAGCTCACCCTGCTGACCTGACCCAAAAGCCTTCCTAGTCCCCATTCTGCTCTGTGGGTCTTTCCCTCCACATGCCGGCACTAAGTGAGCTCTCTCACCCCTAGTCTAAGCTTTTCTACAGCAGCTGACTCTGGCAGATCTGTCTGTTGTCTTCCAGAATTTCATACCAGTGACCTTTGTTTCTCCTCAGATTTTTCCTCTCTTAATTCTTTATCTGGCAGAGAAAACGAACACAATCAAGGCTCAAGACCTTTACACTAGGCAGGATAGAGTACAGGAGGGGTCAGAAACCCAATTGCTCTAAGTTAATGAGAAATCTGACAGCAGCCATGTGGAATAGCTCAGCTAGTGAAGCCTGCTTCCCTCCAAGCTGCTCAGTGAGCTCCCAGCTCCACCTCAGGAGCAGACAGTCAGCTGACCATCGTTAGCTTGCAGTCCTGGTCACCTCAGCTGACCATCACTAGCTTTTAGTCCTGGTCACCTCAGCTGACCATCACTAGCTTTTAGTCCTGGACCTTGCGCTATTATCTGCTCCCAGGCAGCTCTTCTGTCCCAGAAGCCTAAGGCGGACTCGGGCTGCACGTCCTAAGGAAACCATCATTCGGCGCAGTCCCATCGTCCTCTCCCAGCCCTGACCTGCAACCTCCCAAGTCCCAGCCAGTTCAGCCCAGCTCCTCCCAGGCAGCTTCACCGCCCTCCCCCCAGCCCAGGTCTGCTCCCTCCAAGACGGAACCCACACCCCGCACCCCGCACAGAGCCTCAGGCTGCGCTGCACCCTGGACCAACCTCCAAGTCAGAGACGCAGCAGGAGACGCAGCGGGGCAGGACTCGCGCCCAACTTTGGGGAAAGAGCACGTGTATAATCTAAATCCGGAAAAGGGTTTCCTGGACGACTCTCTGTGACGTCAAGTCGGATGGACTACATTTCCCAGAAGTCTGCTCGGATGACTCCCTTTGTGATGCTCCTCAGTCTTCCTGCGTTTGTATCTGGCTTCCTGCATGCAGTAGAGGATGGTCGGAAGAAAATGAGATCGCTGGACAGCGGTTGGCCTGAGGAAAAACCAATTGCCCGAATGTCTGATTAAATCAAGTTTTGGGTTTTGTTGTTGTTGTTTTGTTTTTGTTTTTGTTTTGTTTTGTTTTCAGGAGCGCCAGTAAATGGGCCGTTGGGTGTCACTCCTCATTGCCTTTTGATGTCCCTCTTTGGCAAAGGATTGGGGTTGAAAAAAAAAAAAAGTCGAGATAATTATCAGTTGGAAAAGATGCAATAAAAAGGTCATATGTGCCATAGGAAATACCTGTCGAAATAACTTGCGGTTAGAAATGATTAAATAAAAAAGAGGGTGAATTTATGTTCAATAATCCATCATGTGGGAGGGGAATGAATGATCAAGCTGTCTCGACATTTTCTTAAGGCAAAAATGCAATCACCACAGGTTATTTTTGTATGCTATATAGTAGGCATACACCATGGGGTCCTATTTCAGTACCGTAGAAACAGGTAAACAGGTTTTGCTGAGTTCTTTAGTCTCAGGAAACAGGAAGTCGTTCTTGTGATGTATGGAGACTTAACAATGGATAAAAAACTGGTTTCTTAACAACAATGTTTTGGTTTCAAATGGAGACTCGGTCTGGTGTTCACCTCCAGATATACAACTCAGGATGACTGGACTTGAGTCGAGACTGTGACATAATTATCAGGCTCCCAGGTCATTTCTGCTCCATATGTTCTGATTTTTATATCATACACTTAAAAATCACATTGGCTCTGTTGTACCTCAAAATGATGAAGCAATACTGTGTGGAGTAATCTTTTCATACACTGTGAAGATGTGTCTCTGCCAAGGCACCTTCTGATGGGTGTAATAGATCTGAATGGCCAATGGCCAGGCAGGAGAGGACACGTGGGATTTCTGGGGAGAGAGAAGAGATTAGTCTAGCTGCCCAGAGGCATCATCAAGACGAGGACCAAGTCACGCATACAAAATGATGGAGCCATTTTTAAAAAGCCATTGTGGTGTCTGCACCATGAACAAGTCTAATGTATCCGGCGAAAGCCTGGAGATTTAAAATGAAAGACAAGACATCCAGTTGCTTGTGCTATGTGTGTCTCCTTTTTTTCATCTTTACTTCTCTGTCTCTCTCTCTATTGAGGGGAGAGAGCAGCCTTATATACACTTACAAAACAGAGGAAAAACCCCAGGTGTAAGAGCTCATGTTTTTCTCGTACTAGATGTGACACCAGCGGGGCAAGGCCGGGCTGTAAGCCAGGATTAGAGAACAGAATGCACCTGTCAACTCACAGAAACCCCATGGGGGCTGGGGCCCAACAGCCATATGGCAGAACCTGGATTAATAAAGGCAGGTTAATTTATAAGAGCTAGTTGGGGACAAGCCAAAGCTATAGGCCAAGCTTGCATCATGAATGAGAATTTGCCCTGTTATTATTTACCAGCTGACAATGGTTAGACAAGTAAGTAAAAGTGTGCAATACACTGACATGGGAGAGAAAAGTATCTCTTTATGATGATTTTGAAACCAGTGTGCCTGAATGTGCTTCTAAGTGCTCTGACAAATGGACCTGATTCAAAACTGTACTGGAATATTTAGAGATCTTCCCTATAAATAAAAAGGAAAAAAAATAAATGAACAAAACCCCAAAACAACACAAAGGAAGAAAACCAGTACCAATAGCAAGAACAACAACAACAAAACTATATAAGTAAAACATTCATGGTAAAGCAGTTTGAGTTTACTTTAGGCTTTGTCTTAGTATGCAGTCTTACATATAGATAACTCAGTGCTCTGTGCTTACCCTCTTCATGTTCCAGACACGGATCCAAATCCACAGTTTGTAAAAATAGTTTTTCTGTGAACATTAGTATCCTTACACTGTAGGAGGTTCTTCAGGGACACAGAGAAGGCATAATCACAGAACAAGGTTAAAATTCAACTCTCTGACATTTACATACAAAGAACTCCGTAATCCATCTCAGGATTTGTCACCTGTCCTTAACTCCCTTGAAACTCTCAACTGTTAATCTATGTAAGAAATTCAGTTTGTGGAGGGCTCTATTAGAATTTTAACCATGTTCCCCTTGAAAGACACTTATATGGTGTAAGTGAAGGGACCAGCTCCCCATTTTGGCAGCCATGACAGTAACACGTGCTTGCCATGATCTTGTCCTAGTCACTAGCAGTCAGATGCCTGCCTCGTGGCAAGGAACCAATCAGAAGTTAGCTAGTGGCACTATGCTTTACAGCTCTGGGTGTGCTTTACGGACAAGTGCACAGCAATGATGCACAGAGCATAGCAACCACCCTGGGGAGTCCTATGGGCCGTAACAACCAGTTGGCCAATCAACACAGGGCAAGCCCTCCAAGCCTGGAGGCACACCAATCCTGAGCCTGTGTGTACCCCTAGACACTCCCCTTACACTGCCCTACAAGATCTCTCAGCAGCGGGTTCAAACTGTCTTTTGCGAGCCATCCAGCATGGCAGGTGGGTGAAAGACCCGAGCTAAAATGGGGTTAGCTCATTAAAAAACAATAAAGCCTCATGCAGTTTGCAGCAAGTTTTCGAATCCGCCTGGTGATTGGGGTGACTGAGGTCGTGGGCTGAGACCCCGGAGGTCTGAGTTTTCTGGGGGTCTAACATAAGGAGCCTTGTAACCAGGCAGGCAAAGGCCTGGCTGGAGGGAGATTAAGACAGAGGCTACAACCAGGCAGGCAAAGCCCTGGCTGAAGAAAGATTATAGGAAAGGGAGCGCAGGCCCACCATGTAGCCCAGCCATTGTAGATAAGAGTGAAAATGTGTGAAGTGTGGTAAAGTGTGATTAGCACGATTTAGCGAATTATTTAAGGACCAGCTCAGAACTAGGAATTTTAGAGTATACCATGACTCTATGTCCTGGAGCTCTCCTCCACTAATCTGACAACCAGTCCATTAAACTGTGACTCGACAGCCTGAATCCAGAGGAGCCTGAACCTGTGGGCCTCACCAGGAGAGGTACCCCCTGCTGTGAGCCTATTGTCTGTGGTTCTTAGGATTGTTTGCTTATGCTTGTGTGTTGCTTTGACATAGTGTGAAGTAAAACTTATACTCAAAACCAACTCACTGAGTCTGTCATTCCTACCAGGTCAAAACCTGGTAAGGGTTCGAGACATATGGTTTGTCTTCAGTGTGAATTGTTTGATGTACCTCAAAGAATGGATAACAGGAAAATAATTTGCCACATTCTTCGCACTTGTAGAGTTTCTCTTCAGAATGAATTTGTTGATGTTGCTTTAGCATTGAGTGATAGTAAAATGATTTGCTACATTCTTCACATTTTTTTTTCATCAGTATGATTTTTTCTGGTACTTACAAAGTGATGAGTGAGTATTAAAGGCCTTATGACATTCTTTATGTGTGTAGGGTTCCCATATTGTCGTGGCCCGGCATGTCTCAGCCCCAAACCACAGGAGCCATGAGGTTCGGCCTGAGTGGGGGAGCCTGGACTTGGAAACTCCTAGCAACCCAATGGCGATAAACACCAGACACAGGCATCTTGTCATCTTTAGAGAGCTCTCAGTTCCATGCTGCAAAACTGGAGTCTCTTCTTTATTCAGCATCTTCCTGGCTGTTTCCTAACCGTGTTTCCTTGACCCTGAGGCCATTTCTCTCCCAGGCAACCCCTCTGCCTGGAACCTCCTCACTCTCTCTGTTCTCACATGTTACATACACCTCACCCTCTGCCCCGGTGCAGGCCTATTCAAATGCTTAGTTCTGTAGAGATGAAAACTAGGAGGCGTTTTCCACTGAGGCTATGCCATTAAACAGCAGATTAGCTAGCATCTGCAATACAATTGTAGACCAGAGCTCCCGGTTACTGCAACCGGAGGTTTGGACCTCCAGAAATCCTCTAATGGAATTTTCCTGGCTCCCCGACACCATATGAAGTCTCTGGTGTATAGAAAGTGCTTTACAAGAACTAAGATCCTTAGGACATTCTTCACAGTTGTAAGTTTACTCCAATGTATGAATTCTCTGGAGTTGAATACATAGTGAGTTAAAATCAATCAGCTTATTGTAAATGTTATAATCATTAGTTCTTGTTCCTGTTGAATAAAAGTTGAGATATGAACAAAAGCTATGAAATATTCTTCATACATGCCTAGATTTTGTTAAAGGAAACATTTACTCATAAATATTGAAGCACAAATGAAAAAGTTTATTTCAAGATGTATAGACTCTGAGCATCAATGATAAAATATAATAGGTAGAAATAATCTGTGCTTCTAGAATAGGGGCATAACCAAATACAACATATACATAATGATATTTTGATTGAAGTTTAATAGCTAAGTAAGTTGTGAGGGCATTTACTGACAGAATGAAACCCATTTATAAAAAGAGATGATATATAGTCAGACACCCATGAAATTATAAAGCAGCCAAGCCTGGAAAAACAAATTTTAAATGTGATTGTATGAATTTGGGCCATCATCAAAATAGAAAATATTTATCTTACACATAGAGTTTTATTTTAGAAGGTACAAAAGACATGCCACAGAAGAAGTAGATGCTCCACTAAAACCATCATAAACATCTAGAGATGTGCAAGACATGAAGAAAGACCTAAAGAATGATTCCCATAGAATCGTGTTTCTAGGCACATGGGAAAGTCTGCCTTTCTGTGGGATATTTGGATCTCAACTCTGACCCTGACCCTGCATTCCTAAACATCTGGGTGCACGGGTGGCTCCTGCTTGTCTCTTCACTCCTGAAGACTCTTGTCTTTGCTTCAGAAATGTCACCAGGTGTGGCTTAGGGACAGCAAGACCTGTTTGTAGAAAAGAGAACAGGATTGGTTGAGTGCTCTTCTACTGGGAATTAACACATCCCTTCCAGTGCATGGCTCCTAAAAA